GCCTACAAGCGTATACTTTAGAACCCTGGCAGAGATTTGCACAGTCGACCCGGCGCCGGGGCACGACTGCCTTAGGTAGTCTCCAGCCAGCCCTACAGCGAGCCAGACCAGCAGTGCCATGGTCTGCGACGACTAGGTAACAGCCTACGCTTAGACTCTTGATCGACTCTAGACAAGTCCTGCACCGGCAAGCAACGGTATTCGTTTCATCACCCTCTCAGGTTAACTCAAGCGCCTGCCAGTTCCAGTATCATTCTCAACTACGGTCCCGCACCTCGACGGCGAGAAGACTATCACGTACAACATAGGACTTATCGCCACGATATAACCGTACAAGTGGAGTCAACAACTAGGCAGCTCTCCAGCCCTTCGCCAGGAGCACAGGGATACATGAGTCAGACGATTATCGACGTGCTTCTAGGAAGGCAAGACAAGGCGAGGCAGGTATTTTACAATAGATAACTAATATGCGCGTAAACACGGAATCTTTCACCTCCCTAGCGGAACGAGCCGAAAAGGCCTCTCGCGCAGCTTTCAAGCCAAGACAAGCGAAAGCGAGATCCTGCCGGCAATGAGCCGGTCTGACAGTTTTCCGACGAGCAATGATACTTATGTACGAGTCTTACTTATTCCGCCGACCGAGAATATTATAATTTCCAGAAACTTACCTACCTATAGTAGCAAGATATAGAGAACCTCTTACATACCTATGGAGTTGACAACGCCGCTCTCTACCCACCAAAACCCTCCTCCCTCTTCCCCAAGTCAAAAAGAGGTCCGAGCGAGCCCGCAGGCACGAGACACCTAGGACATGCGAGGCTGCGGCGAGATGAGTGGCGTAAGCACGCAAGTAAGCACCTAACCTAACCTAACCTAACCTACCCTATTTTATATGTATGTACCTAGATAATGTATGTCAGCAAAAAAACCCCAGCCATACTAACCTACATACATACATCCCATCCCATCCCATCCCCGAATCCACAACGCGTCGTTTCACATCCGCGTGGGGGGACAGTCCCCTCGGAACCAGGATAATGTGTTTCCTCCCACGTGCGGGAAGAGCGTCGGAAAGAGTCTGCCTGCCTGTCTGCTTGTTCAGGGGAGGGGATACACTAGGTAGGTAGGTAGAGATGGCATCTCAAAAACTCTCGTCTTACCTAAATGCATGTGTCTTTGCCGCAGACGTACATATATATACAGGAGATAGACAGGAACACGATAGTAGGTAGTTTCCGATGAAGAAGGATACTTTCGCCTAAAGTATTATGAATAATAAAGCGGTCGCTCATATATACTGTAAGATATTATACAATATAGTATAGCTACCTGTTAATCCTAAAAAAGAATACTCTGCATTCTGTTCTGTTCTGCGCGTCTTGAAAAATACCTAGGAGGTAGGTAATCAATGAATGTCGGTGTCTTGACGTGGATCCCATGAGGCTTTTATTAAGCGGTGTCTTTTCGACGTGCAGCAGATAATCATAATAACGGGACTTATAGGTCCCACGGTTGGGGCCCCAGGGCGACGATCGGGACGAGGTTGGTCGTGTCGGAGAATAACCATCTTCTTTGCTTGCTCCTCTCTTCCAGAACAACGCGTCGATTGGGACTAGCTACCAGGGTTAGGATCTCGCGATTGGGATTGTGATAGGTATCTGTGTTTATAGGGATGTTCCCAAGATACGGATACATGGCTAGTCTAGTATGTTATGTGATGGCACTCGGATATAATATATCACGCACAATGCACACGCACACGCACACGCATATACATACATATATACGTACATAACCGGTATTAGTGTAATATAATACCTATACCAGACGGAAAGGAAAAGCAGTGGGCTTTAAACAGACAAATACACGCAAGGAGGACAAGCCCGACCGCTCACTCTAGACAGAAATTAAGAGTTGCGGCACGGGATATTCAGGAGGAGGTAAGCCATTCATACCTTAGGTACATACGGACAGACAGACAGACAGACTACTGCGGCCCTCGTCACATTTTTTTTTCGCCTGCCCCGATGCGATGCGTGACAAACGGCGCACTGCTACCGTTTCCACGGGATTCCTCCAGCCAACTGCGCTTTTGCGCCTTGTATTGCCGTCCGAGAGTTGTAGACCGAAGCGGCATAATAGATTTTTGTCGAGTCCGTGCTTGCTTGCTTGCTTGCTTGCTTCTTTTCTCCCATTGGTATAGGTATACCTACATCCCTCCCTCCCTACCTACCCAATGTATGTTAGGCATGTAGGTAGGTATGTATGTATAGTCACGGTGCTCGAACCCGTCTTCGTGATCAAGAAAGCAGCCGGCATCGTCACATTTGGGGTCCTGGGTCTTGGCAAGCAAGATCCCAATCTACTTACCCGCTGGCGAGGCCAGGCGCGATCGTCATCCACTTCCCGCGGGTGTGCGTGTGTACCTACCTATAGGTACGTATGTATATATGTTTTTGCCCGGCTGCCGTTTGCAAAGAGAGCACTTCTTAAGCATTTGCCTCCGGTGGATGGCCACTTCGGCAGCGGCCGTCCGCGTCGCGGTAGGCAAAAACAAAACAAATAACAAAGGCTTTTCCCCATCTACATCCTCACCGCCGGTCGAGGGAAAGGAGTTGGTTCTGATATCTGGTTTCTGGTTTCTGGGTTTGGTTTGTTCTTCCTATTCCCAACGTGGTATAAAAGAAAAGCCCCTCCTTTCCCCGTACGTTATGTTATGCTGGGTAGGTACCTATATATTTACCCTGCAGTCAGTCAGTCAGTGTACAACTCATATTATATTTCATCTCCATCCGTCTGCCTTCGGCGGGATTGAAACCCCCGTTGAGAGAGAAGGGGGCCGGCGGATGAAGAAGAAGATCTAGGGACTCGACTCGACTCGACTCGAGAGTATTCGTAGGTATGTACGGATTAGGTAGTATGAAAAGAAAGGAAAAAAGGTGCAATTTAACAGCAAAAGGTCGCGGGCGCTTAACTGGACCCGCCAACAGCCAATAACAAGCCGGGAGCCGAGTTCGAACCGCTGCATGACACACCCCATGGCCCCCCTTAAAAGCTAAGGCTAAGGTTGAGCCAATGGGGTTGCGACCTCGGGCGATGGATCCAGCGCTTAAAGAAGATTGCGCGCCGGCTGTGGTAGTTGAAAGTTTCCATCCCAGTTTCGAAAAGGGCGAACACTCTGACGCTAACGCTATGTATAGTTTAGTCTCTTTTTTCCTTTCCTTCCCTCTTCCCTCTTTCCCCTTCCCCCTTCCCCCTCCCCTTCCCCCCCTGTCACCCCTCGTCGAGCCCCGCCATGCAAGTCCCAGGATGTCGGGACGCACAAACCGACCAATCGTGTGTAAAAGACCACCGCAGTCGGGCGTCGCGAGTTTACCAAGGTACATAATGTATAAGACCTACATCTGTAAGTGAGTATGTAGGTAGTAGGTAATAAGTAGTAGCCTGCCTCTACATAGCTTAGCACCGTGGGGATATTTCTAGACTCCGGGTACCTAAGAAAACGAATAAGTGATGATGATGATAGCTGTAGTAGTAAGAGTATGTATGTAGCACAGCCGGACTCTCGAACAAAGCTGTCTAGGTAGGTTAGCATCATCTAAGCAATATGCCGTGTCCACGAGGCCTCGTAAGTCCCCTCCATTGAGACAGCTACCTCGTGATAGCACAATACGTAATATCAGAGTAAGAAACATACCTACCTACCTACCTACCTACCTAGGAGGTACCTACCTAAATACGCATACGCAGACGAAAAAATAAATAAAATAAAAATAAAGTGTGTGCATGTGTATGTATGTGGGCGATCTTTGGTCAACCACCTTCTCAATCTCGGTTGGCTCCCTGCCTATACCTACCTACGTACCGCGGGCAGTTCGCGTGGTCACAAGAATGAAAATAAAAATAAATAAATAAATAAGTAGCAATAATAACAAAAGCCCGTGTGTTGTGCGAGTGAGTACGGTCGGTATGTGCGAGCGTGTGTGTGAGCGTGTGAGCTAGAACCCCAGAATAACCTATACCTACCTACCTACCTAACCTAACCTATAGTTAAGTAGCGAAGCGGAGGCGGCGGAAGGAGGGCCACCAACGACGACTGCGCTCTTGACCGAAACTTGGCCCAGAGCCAAGCGACGAATCGTCAACGCTTACGAGCCCAACCTCCCCGGCCGCATTCTAGGTCGCCTTAGCGGGCAGAGAGCAAAGGGAAAACAACGTCCACCGTCCGTTTTTCCCGTCTGGGACTCCATACTAACTCCATACAAACCCTCAAATCCCCATACGAATAATACATACCATACATTATATACATACACAGATAAATAAACACACACAAAAAAAAAGACCCCCTCACGGAAAAGGGAATCTCTTCACGTCAGGGCCCGCCTATAGATCCAATTCTTCGTCAAACACGTATTGATGTATTGATATTGTTTGGGCACTAAGCTCTACTAAGCTAAGGGATGCCATGTAATTGCGTGAATGTTGGCTACACCAAAGTCTCGACCCGGTCCTATCCTATCACGCAGCAACCTATCGGTACTTGCCTGCTTGCTTGCTCCCTCTCTCGGTCCCCTTTCCACAACAAAGGGGCACCACCACCACCACCACCATACATGAGCCTATAGAGACGGAAAAAAAAAGAATAATAATAATAGTGATGATAATGATAATCCAAAAATTCCGTGGTATCGCTGCGCAAGCCTCCGATTCCCAGGATCGCTGATGTCCACCAGCCAAAAAGAAAAAGAAAAACGCCAATGAACTCCATCATAGTTTCTTAACAGAAATCCACCCAAAAAATCCCCCCCCTCTTTGTAATGCCAGATACGCCATGGATCTAGAATCGTAAGAAGCCATAAAGTCATTTTCCACCGTTTTTTTTCGAGGGACGTCGGATGGAGATTAATAGGTCCATCGATCCCAACAGCGGCTTCGTTGTTGTTGTCGTCGTGTTTGTTGTTGTTGTTGATTTAGTAGTACTGATAAGTATATCGGAGAAATAGAGAGTGAGTGAGAGTAAGTTGGTAATTTGCGCGTGTTAATGAATGAGCGAGCGGGTGGGTAGGCGAGAGGAAGGGAGTGATAGTTATGAACAAATGGAAAATAGATGTCAATTCCTGGCGTAGATGCCAAAATAGAATCAGGGGTGGGGATGGTGCCATGACTTTAGTTCGTTCGTAGTTGAGTAAGTAATTCGGTAAGATGGTCTAATCAAGTGAGTTGCCTAAACCGTGTTCGTCCGGGCTGCTGCTGCTGCCGCCGCCGCTGCTTGGACCTTGGAACAGTCTAGATGCGTTGTCTTCCTCCGCTTGCCTTTCGGTGCCGGCTCCATCTTTGGCGTATATGTGACGGTCCTCGTGACAACCTCCCGAATGTGACGTACAGTCTTGGCCGACGGTTTGTGTGCCCTACAACCCTGCGAGTACCTGGACTTCAATGCCGCTTCCCAGTCAAACGGTGACCGTACCGATCTTGCGCTGAACGGAGATCGTGCTGTTGAGCTCAGTGGCGAATCTATCGTTGATACAGCGGGTGATGGAGGCATGTGAAGGCTCGGGAATGATGTCACTCCCGCTGGTGGTGCAGACATGGGCTGACCTGGAAGAGGGCTTGAAGGAATACCGGCTAGTGACTTGTGGTTGCCGCATTTGCAAGAACAGTCTGTCTGTTCGCTGCTTGCGGTCGATGGGACCGAATCCTGAGTTGAGTCATCTTCAGGGCTGCTCGTTCCTGACCTCTTCCCCGTAACAACTGGCGAGGGCATCGACATAGCCTTTAGGAAATCCATATAGGCTGTAGGTGGAGTGATAGGAGTCTTTGCGCTGGTAGGGAATTCCTCCTTGATAAAGTCCGGGACGGCGGAGAGGGGTGTCCTGGCCGATAGAGCAGAGAGCTCCGAAGGGAAGGTTGCCGTGACCGGCGTTTTCAGCTGGGCGAGCTTCGGCTTGGCTGAAGGCATGATGATGGTGTCTAAGTGGTAGTTGAGTAGAAAGTTTGGCTGTTGAATAGTTGAGTAGCTTCAAGTCAAGTGAATGACTCGGAAGGATGAGAAGACGGGATGCCTAGGAGCTGCGGAGAAGTCGCCGTGGTAGAGGAAGAGTCGAAAAGAAGATGTGCGTCGTGGGCGAGAGGGAGTGATGGTTGTTATAATATGTAACTCTGGCGGGTCAAGGATAAGGTTGCTGCGTGGTGGACAGGGATAATGGGGATGGGCAAGCAACCGTGGCAGAGTACCTAGTCGATGCTGAGACAAAGGCGCCAACGGGAAGCTAAGCTACTTCCCGGTTAGGGACGCTAGAATCGATGTGACAGATCCAAGGTAGGGCCAAGGTAGGGGGGTGTGGCTCCAGGAGTGAGTCCCCGGGTATTGTATGCGAGGGCTCAGACGGGGTAGGCGTCTGTTCTGTTCTGGTGACAATAGGTAAAAAGTACCTAGTAATAGCTAACTGTGTTTATTATTACCCGTACGCGCTGTAGACGAATTCCAGTGTTTGTTTGAACCAAGGAAGGGTTAACTTGTGGCCCTGCTGGTGGAGAGATATAAAAATAATAATAACAATAATAAAAAAGTAGGTAGTCAACGTTGGCGCGAAGAGTAGAGCAAGGTCAAGCTTAGTCGAGGACAGCGGCAGTAATGAGCCAGTGGTAGAAGTGTAAAGTGAAGGCGTCTCGGGATTGGCTGCGGATTGGCTACGAATAGGCGACAGGGATCAGGTGTCTTTAAAGAACCAACCCTTTTATAGCTTCAATTGTATATACGATTGTAATGTGTGTAATGTACAATTGAGTAATTGTATTCTTTTTTTTTTTCTTCTCTGTGCTGCTGACTCTATTTTTCTTGATTAGTCTGATTACCTGTCTTAGGTAGGTTCTTAGGTAGGTTGTGTGTGTGTTAAGCTGGGTCAAGGTTGTAGGCAAATAGGGAGGTATGTAAAGAATCGAAAGGGGGTCTATTCCGTATTGTACACTAGACGATAATGATATACACATAGAAGGGAGCACTTGACTTACATGCTTGTTTAAAAATGATTCACCCCCAAGAGAATAAAATAAAATGATCGAAAACGAAAAAAAAAGGCTCCCAAAGGTATAAGTTACCTGTACTGGGGTTACCGTCGACTTAAGCCAGCTTTGTTCAAGTGCGTAGCTAATCTTATATCTGATTGGTCAAAGGCCCCCGGTCGGTGCGGTTTGCCAGGCGCAATATCCCGGGATGTCGCTGGTGAGTTTAAGTGGTTCGGAGGTATTCGGTACTTGGGTTTAAGCGCTGCCGCTACTGTGTATTTGCTATATTTGGCTCCTGATTAGCGCCGTTCCGTTGCCTACTCTTCTGATTTGATCTTTCCCCTCGGCCTTCCCCCCCTGTCTTTTTATTTTGCTTTCCCGTCACGGAGAACAACCACTTACATATCGCCAATACCAAAAATCATCACCATTCACGACTCACCTTAACTTAAAACTTTCAGCGGCAATAAACCACCCCCCCTGTGGCTGAGTTACCACTACCACAGTAAATCTTCGTGCACAACGCGCACAAAAAAGCAAAGTTTGTGTTACTGTCAGCTTTCCACCTGGTAATTGGAGGTTAAGCTGAACGAGCTGAAGAGTGGACCACGGGATGACCGTCGATAAGGGATGCTGATGCAGATATTATGTAGTAGTGTCGTACGTGGATATAGATATAGGTAAGATATTTTCAGAAACGTTGTTTCAGGTTGTCGATGAGTTTAGCCAAGACTCTTCCCGCTGTGTATTACTCAACAATTGCTATTCAAAGACATGATCGTGAAATCCGGGGACGGGGCCTCATTTATGTATAGATTTCGTTCAGTCTTCTCTTGCTTCTCTCTCTCTCGAATCTTCAACAATCTACAATCTTCAAGCCTTGTTTTACATTAATTTCATGCTTCTTGCTTCATCCAGCGCGCGGCTCGCCCATGCCTGTTTTGTTTTTTCGCTTAATTTGTTCAATTAAAGGTCCATGTACTTCCCGTGAATAGATCCTCTGTCCTATTTTGCGGCTCCTTGTCTTAGCCAGACTGGAGCGGAGCGCGCGCCACATGATGCACGACATAGATCGAAGACATCCTCGAGCTGTCGTTGGCTAGGAGGCCCTCAACGGAGTCTGCCTTGGGGGAAGTCGGAGTCTACAATCTACCACGAAAGCCTTTTCTAAGTCTCATATTCGACGCCTCCCCCAGCGCGCGCTTCCACGAGGCTGGAGTATGAGCGCCAGCCAAAAAGAGGGGTCTATCTAGCCATAACGCCAGAGCGCGAGGCCATCAAAACGATAAACAATAAACTTCTAACTCGAAGTGAAGTTCGTCTAGAAACCTTCTATGCCAGTCAGATTTGCCAAGTGACCCAATGCTGTGGAGGCGCCGTGCCCCCATCTAAGCGCCGGTTAACCTTGCTAATTCCTACGCCAACTATTCCTCAAAAGGTTCCTCCTTAGTCGCCTTTGCGCGCTTATCATATAGCTTCGTCGGCATGGTTGCTCATGGTTGCTAAAGATGTTGGTTTCGTCGCTATCCTGCAGGAAATGGCTGCGCCTAACTTGAGCATTAGTGCACGAGCTAAGGGGTCTCAATATGCGGAAAATAAGCCGTATTGGAGATAGCTCGGCCATGTCATCGAGTGTTGGTCTTTACACTTTACATGTAACCGGATGCCGATATAATCTTTAGGATGGCGAACAAGTACCGTGCCGAATCCTATGTTAGGCGCAACGTGGATCTCACCTGGTCGTCAACAGAGATGGAGCTAATATGAGCTAGTGCGTGGCGATTATCGCAGTGCCGATGTCGTGGAGGTGTTTGTTGTTGTTATTGTGTTATTGTTAGGAGTAGAGATACCTTTAACTATTGGATTTTAGCAGACGATGCAGTATGCCGCCGTAGCATTCGAATTCGCCATAGGCTGGAATGGCAATGTCAAGCATGGACTACTGGCTCTAGTGCCTACACGGGATCAACTAGATCCTACTCCATGAGGTCACGCATCTGTTAGCTCGTCCAGACAGACAAGGCTCTACATATAGGCCAATCTATACTGGAGAAGGAGCCGGTGCCGTCGACTAACCGGGTCCATCTCTAGCATCTCTGTTTACATTTTGCTCTAGAGTGCCCTATGATACGCTTCTACCGTATGCTTGCTTAAGCGCGTAGAGAGAGTTACGAGCAAAACTAGATACGTGGCAATCATCTGAACTATCACGGCAGTTATTCTTACGCGTAAGATTTCTTGGGCTGAGGTATTGGCAGGTATACGTGCGTATAACTCTGTTCCGGCTGTTGGCTATTGCAATGTATACTATGCTTAACACCGGTAGAGGCACATTTACATCGTCTTTCGTCGCTCCCGAGAGCGAACACCCGGAGCTGGTAACAATTATGATGTCGTTACCAAAAATTTAAAGGGGTTAGGATATATACCTAAGGACACACCTATTTAGAACAAGTACATCTTGCCTTGAGGCGTATGAGGAGTATATCGACGCATCGTGATGTACTTCGCGCTTCTTTCGGCTGCTCGAGTATCCACATTGGCATTCAATACATGCATTCGAGTCGCAGGGCTCCGCTTCGTGAGTTATTGACCGCCATTTGTGAGAGAGGCCGTAGAGTAGACAGAGGTCAAGGTGAAATATTTCCGATTTACCTACTTTTAGCACTGTCAATGAGACCAGCTAATTAAGGAATTTCGCAGGCGAGAGTCATGAGTAGATGGCACAGCTCATATTCTTTCTTGAGTAGGTAGCTACCTATTCCCGACAGCGGCTACTCGTGCGATAATGCTGATTCGTCTGTCGTTTTACCGTGATCTCTGGATGGGACAGCACACTAGCTAATCGGAATGCGTCGGTAGTAAATCACCTCTTCCCTGGCTTGCGTCTCATGTAAGTCTCGCATGATTTTGAAGCTGCATCTAGGGCATACATACAGATTGCTTGAGGCAGGCGAAATTCCGACTTATTCGTGGATGTCCCCGTACATGCTCGCATCCCCCACGCGTGAACGCCACCAACGCGCCACTAATAAAGCCATCGTGGAGAGAGATCTAGCCTTTATCTCTTCTGTTTTCGTTTGCGCCTTCATTTTACTGGCTTCTGTCGTCTCCATTGACCTCCCTGACTTCCCTTGCCACGGCATTGCATAGAGCCACCCTTACGCCAGCGCCGGTAAGGACGTGAATCCACAGCCTCTGCGTATCACTGAGACGATCATTGGCGCTTTTAACCTCAGCGAACATCACTTCCTTGCTCGGTCCTGTCCTCCAGAGGATCAGGTCTGGTATGCCGCCGCCTCTCTGGCCATATTCCTGTGCCATGACCTTGCATATAGCGGCTAGTGCTGCACCGTCAAAGCAGCCAGCTAGTTCGAGGAGGTCCTCTAACTCGTAATCCCAGTTGAGGCCGACAACACAAGTACGATTATCGCGTTCCCGTCGGTCGACCTCCTTGATCAGCTTCACCGCATCACCGTTTGCGATCTCGACTAGGCGGTGATTGATCTCAGACGCTCTGGTGGGGTAGAAGGCGTCGGTGTGCAGATCCAGCGGGCATGTCTGGTACTCGGTCTGAAAGACATTCGGTATGTAGAGGAAGAGTATATCGAAAAAGAGGTACGCGAAGAGTGTCCTTACGATACCTCCTTCGGCATGGTATCCTTTCCAGCCCTGGTCCCTATACCAATTCAAACACATGGCTTCCACGCTGCACTCGCCTCCGCCCTCAGCCTCGTCCACCCATATAGTTTTAGTACTCGCACCCCTTCCCTTCTTCCCTATTACATCGTCCTTTTTCAGCTGAATTCCTTCGACAAAATGCTCTTCAGGTTTCTTCAGTCGGACGTGACCAAAATCATGTTGTAAACGTTTCGGAATTTTGAGCTGCTTCTCAAGTTTAACCAACCTTTTCTGTATATCATAATGATATATCATATGGCAATCTCGATCCTCCAAGGCAGTTTCACAGGTAGTCGCTGCAATGCGTTTCCAATGCTTTTTCTGCAGGTCTGAATCCTTATAGGTAGGATCGGTTTCCAGAGCATACATGTAGTGCTCCTCCAGCAGAGCCTTTCGTTGATACCAAGAACCCCGACGAGCCAAGTGGAATAGGCGCTGATCGAGTAATTCGGCTAGAAGTGCATGCTCTCGCTGGTGTTCTTTCAACCGGCCGAAAACGTGGGCTGCTTTATGAACGATTCGAGTGTATGGATGAGCAGGATTGAGTCTCCTCAAGTAAGCTCCTTCTCCAGATTCATAGACTCTCTCCTCTTTCTCCCGTTCCTCCCGAAGAAGTGTCTTCCATCTTGGGTATATATTCTCAAAAACTTCTATTACTTTTCGGAAGTCCACCTCTGTGATCGGTCCGTTAAGCTCCAAAATACTGTCAACAGCGTATTCATTTCTCATAGCCGTCTCGAATTCCAACAGTTGAGCCCTCGAGTTAAAAATGTTTGCAGACCTGCTAACGACGTATTTGGGGAAATTTCGTTTTGATATTTTCGCAAGAATAATCGTGGTCAGAGACTTCTCTGTCCATTCGGTAGATCTATAAAAGACTAGGTGAACTCTCTCAAATAATTTGAAAACGGGTACGGAAAGTCGTATACAAGGCCCAGCCATAGCTAATATTTTATCCAAGAAATGCTTTCTCCTGTTAGAATCTTCACTGGGATCTGGGGTTGGAGGGTCCGCCTCTGGTGTATCGCGGCCTGGTGAGTCGACAGAAGCAATGGTGCTAGACCGGCGAAGGCCTAATGAAAAGAGACCTGCTTGTTGATTGCTCATTCTGCAGATAGATCTTGCAAGCTCGGCCTTATTCTTGCCTTGCACCTTGGCTTCTTTAGCCAAGGCTTTGACCTCATCTAAGCTTAGTAGTTCCACAGCTTCTTCGACACTGGTAATATACTGCTCTGACGCATCTGCAAAAGTGAAATTGTCGCTAAACAAACATTGATCTTGAGCCAAAGAATCAGGTTCCGGACCCGTAGATAAAAAGGTAGGATCAGTACCGGAAGAACTAGTTGGTAAATCCCGGTTCTCCTGTAGTTCACGAACGGCCGCCTCGATATCTGAAATATCATCGTGATAGCGTAGACGAGCGATACGGTGCCACGATGCAGTCTTCCTAAGGAATAGCCGCACGTATCTACAATTCTAGGTCAGAAAAGAGAACGACAACAGAATGAGCTTCATATGCCACATACAGGAATTGGGCGCCATAGCTCAACTTATTCCATCGACCAAAGATATGCATTTCCTTGTCATCGAATAAATGAGATTCCTCATCGAGAACCGTGCCAAGAGCGAGGTTAAAAGCATCAACATAGAGTGACGTCTTACCTCTTACCCACTTCCTCGAGTCTAGTCTCGACGCAGCAGATGCAGAGCCGCTATCGTCTTGTGAAGCTTTGAATTTTTCATACTCTTCCAGTGCTTCTTTTCCAGACTTGATCTCGGGCAGTGAATCCTCAATGGCAGTCCGTCTCGGTGCGTCAGCTTCTGCATCTCCCTCTCCCTCTGCCTCCGAATTGTGCGGTGTATCCTCGTCACCAAGCTCAGAAACCAGAGTATCTACCCGTCGCACCGCCGGCAAGCGCTTCAACGGTGGACTCCTAGGCCGAAGGTCTTCATCTGATTCCTCAGCGCCCACGTGGCCCTCATCCCTCTTAATCCTCTTAGGAGGCGGCTCATCCGTCGCATGAGCACGCCCATCTTTCAATTGGGGTGCTCTCCGAATAAGAAAAGCGTCCATTTTCGCTCACCCCACAGGTAATACATCATGGATGAAGTTGGATGGAGAAGAGATACAAGATAGATGACTTCATACAATGAAACGCGTGGCGGGACGCGGTTTCCCTTAGCGCAAGGAACTAGACTAGAGTGGGAACGCGCAGTCACGGGATCAGAGTTTGTATAGAGAAAGTACTTCCTATGCATCGGTACTGCCTCTTGCTATGTAGAAAGTACGACGTATATTGTACTTCTATAGGGTAGGTACATCCCCATACGCATATCCATATTTCCCCCCATCCATCCCAAGCTCAAATTCCCCACGAACCATCAAACCATCACCGTCACCCTAGGGAACAATTCTTCTTTTCTACAGCTGCAACAGTGACAGTAACCCGCTGTAAACATGGCCGACGAGATCCGCCAGACGCCCATCCCCGTACCTCACGTCTACGGGCAACCAGCCCCAGCAACCGACACAGCAACACCACCACCACCACCAACAACTACTACAACGACGTCTCTCGCCGGAGACACAGCAGCTATGACCATCGAGCAACCACCTCTCGCTCCCAGCACCGAGCAAGCAGCAGTACGTACATACATAGTCCAAGCTCCAGCTCCACGTCTGCCCAACGCGCAAACCACTTCCCTCCCAACCTACCAAACCAAACTCACCAAACTCACCAAACTCACCAATCGATCTATCATTCAATCAACTAACTAACCAACCCTCTCCCCCCTCCAGTCTCCAGCCCCCACCACAACCACAACCACAACCACCAACGCCGCACCCGCACCCTTACCCACAACCGCGCCCGCAACAACGCCCTCCAACGCACCAAGTCCCAGCCCAGCCGCCGCCGCCACCACTACCGCCGCACCGCCCGCCCGCACCGGCACGCCCCTCCGCGCAACCAACGGCCAGCAAGAAGCTGCTAATTCCTCCTCCTCGCGCGCCGCCTCGCAGCACCCGGATCCGGGGTTCACCATGCCCGCCGAGGCCCCGCCCCACGGCGCCCCCGTCCGCCAGTACCTCAACTCCAAAGTGACCGGCCCGTTGTTGGACGGCATGAAGATGATTGCCAAGGAGCAGTAAGTTTTTTTTTTTTTTTTTCTGTTTTACAACTTGTTGGTATGGAGGATTGAGGCTGGGGTCAGGATTAGGATTGTTATGTGTCTGTCTGTCTGTCTGTCTGTCTGTCTATGTCTATTTGCGTCGAGGATTGCTTAGAAGCCTACCTACTTGGTTTGGCTTGAGTATGGAATGTGCAATTATGCATTGTTACGGTACGAATGCTAATATTATGTTTACGTTCACAGGCCCAAGGATCCCCTGCGCGCTCTAGGCGAGTACTTGCTCCAGCGCTCCAAGGAACTCGAGTCGACAACATAGTGAGGGAGGGTTAAGCCAGGTAGTAGGCAAGCAAGCATGAGAATGGAGTTCGGGGAAGGGGGAAAAAAAAATTCAATTATGGCATTACAGATTCCGCATTATAGATTTCGTCTTTCACGATGATACCATTGCTTTAGGAACGGAACGATTACTATTAGGAGGACAAATATAGACTTGCTAGGACGTTGCAGATTCTAGATTCACCGAGAGCACTAGGGATTAAGCAAATAATCAATACTGTTGTTCTTCACGAGACTCGTATTGATCTCTTGTGTAATTGTTTATTCATCGCCTTTCTCAGGCAACTAGTAGAATAATCAGGCACTCATCACTTTTGTGGCTGCCCGAAAAGCAATTCCGTTTTCCACGAACTCCATGACCAGACCAGGCATTCCACATGCAAATCATCCTCGGCGCGCGCGCTCGCTGGTTACGCTTATGAGACGATGGTGCTGGCCGTGGCGCTCTCGTACTTCCAGGTCGGGGGTAGGACACCGACGGTCTTGTAGTAACGGGCGAGACGGTGGATTCGGGACTCGATCAGAATCAGGCGGAACTTGGCGTCCTTGTCCTTGCGGTTGCGCTCTAGGTGCTTTCGGACGGAGACGGCCTGCGTAATATTGTCGTTAGCATTTCGAGATAGTATGTCTTATGAACGGGTCGACTCACCTTCTTGATCAACATGTACAGATCCTCAGGAATCTCGGGGGCGAGGCCTATATGAAGATCGCACTGTCAGCCTTGACCAACAGCGGCATTATTATATATACCACGGCGTTCCAGGAACACTCGTGATATTTGGATTGTTGGACTGCGCAGCATTTCGCTGGCTTCGAGGGGAGGGTTCATTCATTCATTCATGTCGTACCATTGGACTTGAGGATTCGGAGGATCTTGTTACCTAAATTTCGGAATTAGCCAGTGTTCAACGTGCGACAACTGATTGGGATAATTGCTTCATACCGGTGACGAAGCGGACCTGGGTGATTCCGTGGGAGTCACGGAGGACGACACCGATCTGAGAGGGGGAAGCACCCTTACGGGCGAGACGGCAGATCTGCTCCTCGACCTGGGCGGGAGTAGTCTTGAGCCACGCGGGCGGGTTGCGCGAGTAGGGGAGCGCAGAGGCGGAGATACCCTTTCCACTGGAGTGAAGACGACCCATTTTGGCGGATGTGTTTGTCGACTTGTGGTGGTTGTCGGAGGTGTCTGAGGTTTGGAGATCGTGAGTGAAGTTTTTGGAGGATTTAATTTTTTCGAAAAGATGCAGGGTGAAATTGTGTGTCGGCTTCCGTTGCCCTCCGGTGGTCAATGCGCTAACTCCACTTTCTTTTTTGTCTATTAACCCGAAGATTTGCCGGATTTGCTAGCGCCTGGTCCAGACCAAGACAAATTTTCGTAGCTTCTTCACTTCCCAACTTCTTTTTTCTCTCGGTCAACAATAATTATCATTCGCAACTTGACTCGGCAGAGGCACCTACTCATGTATGTCAAGGCCAGTTCTGGAATATATCCTTCAGCTGTGTCGAGTAGCTTTCTCTATATCACAATCCATCATACAGGTAAGCCTTTCCAACCCTCCTCTACTTTCGATTCCGCCTCCATTTCTCATGATGATACACACCTATTTCATATTATTTTCTGGTACCTCTTATATCATCGGGCCTTCGGGTCTGAAATGTATTAAACGGACTTCTGACGGAGACGGATCAATCGCTTTTTTGCTTTTTCTACATGAATCACGTCTAGCAATCGAAGCTCAACTAACATCGTGGGCAGGTAACTTAGAATATACGTATAGCAGCAGTTCTATCTGCGAGGATATAGAATAGGATCGCTGCCGATGAGGTAGAGCAACTCCTGGGACTAGATTAGCTCCTTTATAATGACATCGGATGATTTTACATCGATACTGTCTGCGTCGACGTATTCCGTGATTTATTGCCTGATTATCTAATTATGTAGTACCATGTCTCAGCTATGTATTGTCTATCTCGTACCATGTCGTGCCAGTTATCATTATATATTATATGGAGACGTAGAGTCATAGTAATAGAAGATCATGCCATTCAAGAAAATCAGCAAGTCTTTGATTTGACTACATTGCTCTGTCCACCTACTTGTCAATACACGAATACCTTCGGCATCTTTTGTGTCCTTCCTTTGGAGATTGAAAAAGCAGATTCGACTAGGCTCATATTTCCTGTAGGTCATCGTACGAGCCCTGTAGCTTGTTGAGCTATCACGCACCCACTTACCATACACTGTAGCCAAGTTGATATCTTTAAAACGATATGCAGAGGTAGGATCTACGTAATACGCTCAACTCTATCGTAGAGAAAAATTTTAAGTATGAACTCGAAGCTGCAATGGATAGCTCTTGGGAGTTGCTATGGCTTTTTATCAAACCTATGTTGAGATGAATAAGCTACCGGGCCCTTCCTAAAAGCTGATTTGGATTGACGAGTGGAAGTTCAACTGGCCTGTCTTCAATGTTGCTACGTGTGTAGATCTAGGTGGTCAAGAATTCTGCATGTTTACGCCCATATATATCATGCCGAAACCATCGCCATTCCCCAAGTCCTCTATACGCACATAAATCCCGCATACCAAAACATTACAGTAAGGAAGAACCGGGCTACTTTCGTCCTTAGAATACCGAGGAACGCCATATCCGTGAGCCGCAATACGCAGCCGGAGAATTAGCGTAGACATCCGAATAGTTCACGTTTTAATGCCGTGAGTTCGGCTTCGGCCGGACGGTAGCAGCTAGGAGACACGGAGAGTATGCATACGCTCTAGGAGGAAAGGAGCTCAAATCAAGTTGTTCAGACATTTCATTTGAATTTACTAACTAGGTAGCTAAAAATCTAGGTGACCGTTTTTACCCGAGCTCACCCGCCCCCAGTCGTTCCTATCGTAACGCATTAAGTGTGTATGGGATTTTCCGAGTTCCTGTCCATTTATAGGTTAACAGCCTTGCGGAAGTTCTCGCCAGCGTAGACGGCGTTGTCTCCGAGTTCTTCCTCGATGCGGAGGATCTGGTTAAGCTTGGCGAGGCGCTCAGATCGAGCGGGGGCACCAGTCTTGATCTGGCCAGCTCGGATACCGACGACAATGTCGGCAATGGTGACATCCTCGGTCTCACCAGATCGGTGGGAAACCATCACACCCCAGCCGTCAGCGTAAGAGTCCTTGGCAGCCTGGATGGACTCGGTTAGAGTTCCGATCTGGTTGACCTTTAGGAGTAGAGAGTTAGCGGCCTTAAGCTCAATAGCCTTCTTGATGCGGATAGGGTTGGTGACAGTCAGGTCGTCACCGACGATCTGGATGTCTTGGGTCTTGTAGAAGTAGCTCCACGCCTCCCAGTCGTCCTCTGCGAAGGGGTCCTCAATGCTGACAATGGGGTACTTCTTGACGAGGTCGCTGTATAGGGCAGCAAGTTCCTCGTAGGTGATCCACTTGGTGGGGTCACTGTCAGGGTTCTTGAAGTCCAGGTCGTACTTCTTGACGTCCTCCTTGTAGAACTCGCTGGAAGCAACATCCAGAGCGATGTTCACCTGGCCTGTGTAGCCGGCCTGCTCGATGGCCTCAGTAATGAGGTCGAGAGCCTCGACGGCAGTCTGGATATCGGGGGCAACACCACCCTCGTCACCGACGTTGCCTGCAGATTGGCCGTAGGTCTTCTTGGCAAGAGCCTTGAGCTTCTGGTAGACCTCAGCACCTTGGCGTAGGGCCTCGGAGAAGCTGGGGGCCTTGGAAGGGACAATCATGAATTCTTGGAAAGCTAGGCGGCCACCGGCGTGAGAACCGCCGTTCAGCACGTTCAGGAAGGGAACGGGTAGGACGTAGGGCTTCTTAGTGCCGGCAAGGTCCGAGACGTGAGCATACAGAGGCACGTTCTTCTCAGCAGCACCAGCCTTGGCAATAGCAAGACTGACACCCAAGATAGCGTTGGCACCAAGCTTCGTCTTGTTCGGTGTTCCGTCGAGGCTGTTGAGGAACTTGTCAACTGAGCTCTGGTCCTTCACATCAAGACCCTCCTTGATGACAGCGGGGGCGATGATGGTGTTGACGTTCTCGACGGCCTTGGTAACACCCTTGCCGCCCCACTTGCTCTTGTCACCATCACGGAGCTCGCAGGCTTCGTGCTGACCTATTATACCGCGTTAGTCCGTAAGATATCTTGAGAGAATTCGTAATACTGGCACAAACCGGTGGAAGCTCCAGAAGGAACGATAGCGCGGTGAAGACCAGTCTCGGTGACAACGTCCACCTCTACGGTAGGGTTGCCTCGAGAGTCGTAGACCGAGCGGGCATGGATCTTCTTGATAGCCATCTTGATGTCGGAATATAAGTTGGGAACTGGAGAAAACCGTTGAGTTAGCTACGAGTGGTCGAAGTCGGTAAAGGCTTGGGAAGAAATATAGCGAGCGTCCAAGTAATTAATAAAAAGATGTACGCTGACAGGAAATTCGCTCAGTAGGAATCTTGATAAGTGACTCAATCCGAAATGTAGATATATGCCTCAAGAGTTGAGTATTGATAGAAGAAAAGTGTAGGGGTCGTCAGAAATGGAGGGGGAGGATGGTGGGATGGCGGGGTAGCTCAAGATGTCATCAATAGAAGAAATTGGGATATTGGCATTGGCATTGGTATTGGCGTATAAGCAAATTCACAACAGGTTGAGAGAATGAAGCTTGTAAACTTACTATTTTCAAAGGGTATAGGTTAGGACTTGGTGTGACGAGATGAATTGAAGAAAGAAGTAGTAGAAAGGAAAAGAAAAAAAAAGTCGAGTTTCAACAAAGCAAGAAATGTTAGAGGTAGGTAAGGGTAGGTACCTAAGGGTAGGTAAGGTTAGGAGGTACCTACCTAGTAACGCCTCCGTTTGGTGTAAGTGGGCTGCTGCAGCGTGGGCTGGACGGACAACGTGAGTGAACAAACGGAATGGCATGACTTACAATTGGACTTAGCAATTGGCGGGGTCCGGCGACGAACCTCACCAGGATGACATCGGAGGAAGGAGGGGCTACTGTTCTGACTGTGTGCCACAATTATACATGTCTTACCTGCCAAGCTTACTTGGCTACAGAAGTACCCTCACAGAAAGTACCTCAAATTACTCCGTAGTAGCTACCTCATAGTGTGGCTATGGAGATGGTAATAAAAATTACCTACCTAACCTAAATTGTTGACTAGGTAACCTAATCTATTGGCCCCTTACCGGCCCGACACAACGTTAAGGACACCTGCAGTATGTAGGAGTTTAGAAGGCTCTAACCTACTTGGCTACTTTGCAAGGGTAGGGGCTTTACAAATTGTTTTAGTTTCGCCTTGTCTCGCAAGCTCTGTTGGGAAGAGGGGCCTTTATGTCAATGCCTTAGGTAAGGTATACTATTGACCGTCACAGCACTGACTAAAGGTTATTATGTAACAACTTTAGACAACCCTCTTCTGATTCTATACTAAGGCCATATTCGATGTTAGTGGTCTTAATAAAAACACGAGGGTAATACCTGTTTATGTATAACATACATAGTATAGGATGTTATTGGTACGGAAACAACCGAATTTTCACATGCTACTTACCAGGTACTTATATCCCTAAGTATACTCAACGCCCTTTATACATGCTATATATAGACGAACAAGCAAGCCCACTCATTAACTTACGAGGAAAGAAAGGAGGAAGAAATATAGTTAATGCTTTTTTTTACTTCTTCTGATTGGCGATTGCTTTTCTATCCTGTTCTACGGGTATCTCTTGTGCTTCTCCTCTAAACACATCCCTAGCGAATACCCTCTAAAGTCGTATAGGAATTTCGTATCGATTCATCGCTTACGAACTGTATCCGTTTTCCTTAACCCATTTCGCGACGTCATCACGGTCACGCTCCAGCCACGCAATCTTGCTGCGAATGGCATCCTTGCTTTGAGCAAGAGGCTGGGCAAAGTTCTTAGTGTCAATGTCCTTGAAGAATTCCTCCACTCTCTGCAGTTGATCCGCCTTTGCGAAGCTAGATGTACAGATAGTAACCATCGAACCTAGGATAGGCGCGTTTCCGCTAAGTCGCTTAGATATTTCCGGCCATTTTTCGGTTAGCCAGTTAAAGAGCGCCTCGATACCCTCAGCATGGCTGCGGAGTCCGCTTGCTGGAAGGTATAGATCCTGACTCTTGATTTCGCCGCTGAGGACGAAGTCTAATGTCTGCTTGATTAGGGCCGGGTCTTTTGCCCGACCGATACATCGTAGGGCTGTGTTACGTTCATCACTGTTACTAGACTTGCGGAAGAAGTCGACAAGCGCATCGTACTAGAATACGGGTTAGTAGTTGTTAGGTGAATATTCAACATATAAATCTTACCTCCTCCTTTCCGCCATACTTGAGAGCCATGCTGAAAACGCTTCCTCGGATATTCGGGTGGATAGCTGACCTGTCGCCGTCCATGTACTTCTTAAACATCTCCTTAGACGCGTCGATGATCTTCTGGTCACCAGCCATTCCAGCTGCGCCGAATAGCATGGCCTTGAACTGCTGTTCAACATGACCATCCTTGTCTGAGAAGGTCCATCCTAATTTATGGGCTCTCTCGCTAACAAGCTCCTTAACAAAGGCTTCGAGGCCATCCTTGACGGCTGAGTCCTCGAAGACCCACGCAGATTGGACAGTTGCAACCCTAGCAATGATCTCACTCCATACCACGAACGACTCCTCTGTGTCAAACCCTTTTAGTAGGTTCAAAACACCAGAAGTCTTCTGGTAGCCCGACACGGCGAGAGCACCAGCGTCGGCAATCATACCAGCACGATCCTCGACTGTTAGCAGCCCATCCTTGGCAGATTGGCCCAGTTTTGTGAGGCGTTCCGGTGTGTAGCACGTGCGGTAGATGCTAGTATGGTTTGCATTTAGCTTGAAGAAGTCCAAGTTCTTAACCTTGAACACATCTTCCCTCTTCGTCAAGGTTAATGAGTCGTCTACGCCATCCTTCGTTCGGAGGCCCAAGAAAACCGGATATAACACTTTATCCTCTTCAGGTTTAGTGTCACCGGTTCTTAGGAATCGATTCTGTTTGACACGGATAGAACTGTCCATCTCGTTTTCCGTAACTTGGACCACGGGATAGCCCACATTCTTAGTCCAGATGGACATGATCTCCCTGACCGGTTTGCCGCTAGCATCCTCAAGGGCCGCCCATAAATCATCTGTCTGTGTGTTACCGTAGGCATGCTTCTTGATGTATCTCCTGACACCCTCCAGGAAAGTCTCCTCGCCAAGATATGTAGATATCATACGAAGAACACATGAACCTTTGGAATATGAAATGGCATCGAAAATCTGGTCAACTTCGCTGGCGCGCTTGACCGGCACCTCAATAGGATGGCTGCTCCTTAACGAGTCCAGTCCCAAGGCACTCTGGAGATTGTCAGTAACATAATTCTCCCAGACTTTCCATTCTGGATAAAAGTAGTTGCAGCCTAAGTGGATTGTTATTGTCAGTCAATCATTCATATTAACCAGAATGACACAGAAAACTCACTTAACCAACTCATCAGAGTCGCAAAGCCTTCGTTCAACCATAGGCCTTCCCACCAGTCCATAGTCACCAAGTTGCCGAACCATTGATGTGCTAGCTCATGCTGGACGACCTCGGCGACGCGTTCTTTCATTGCCGCACCACTGGCCTTCTCATCCAGCATAAGGTCGACGACACGGTAGGTGATCAAACCCCAGTTTTCCATAGCGCCCGCCGCGAAATCGGGGATAGCAACCATGTCCATTTTGGGCAGCGGAAATTCGGCTCCGAATATTTTCTCGTAATACTCCAAAGTCCGCGCTGCGAGCTCGAGCGAGAAACGGCCGTGTTCAATATCTGAACTAGCCGGGGCGTATACTCGAACTGGGACACGGAATTTGTTGGTCTCGATGTAACTTAATTCGCCCACGATAAAGGCGACTAGATAAGTCGACATAAGAGGAGTAGTGTTAAACTTGACGGCCTTCTTTATGGATCCACTGAATTCCGATTGCACTTCTGATTCTGACGCGACGTCCATGTTGCTAAGACATGTCAAGTGCTTGTCTGCGATGAGAGTGACGGTGAATTTGGCCTTATGCATAGGCTCGTCGAAGCACGGGAAAGCCCGGCGGCAGTCGTTCGCTTCCATCTGCGTGGTAGCGAGGATACCTTCGGAACCATCTGGCTTCTTGTAGGTAGAGCGATAGAAACCGGCCATCTGGTCGTTAAGCTGGCCAGAGTACTTGATTTCCAACTGGGCCTTGCCCTTTGGGATGGCATCCTTGAGCTCGATACTAGTAACCTGCTTGGACTCATCGTACGTAATTGCGGAGGATGAGCTACTCAGACGTGTTAGAATAGTAGTAGTTGCTAACTTAATCAGAGATATAAGCTGACCTAATAATGCTGTCTCCGGATTTGATGTTGGCGCTGTGAATATCGATCTGAAGGGTGTGGAGAGAGATAGACTTGGAGTCTTCTTGAACGTCGAAGTCGATAAGCACCTTACCGTCGAAGGTAAACTTCTCGAAGTTGGGCTCTAGGGTAACATCGTAATGTCTCGGGATGACGTTGGTCGGGAGGAGCTCACGGCCCTGGGTGGGGTCCGGGGTAGCCCCTCCGGTATGGTCAATGTCTCCAGCAAGCTTACACATATTTTGTCTCCGGTATGAGCAATGTCGAACAAGGGGCGTCGAGAGAGTGGTGTTTCTAGACTTCTCGAAAGGAGATGTTCGTGAGACAGAAGTGAGTAAAGAGTGATTCCCAAGACGTGGACTTAGCCTAGCTTCCGCATTAGTCTAGGAGTCTAATTGGCTTAGAAGAGCGGTCAATTAGGTTAAGAATACCGGTAGGAATGTGGAGAGGATAAGGCAGGAGTGCACGAGATGTGATTTTGTCTCCACTGAGATGCGGTTGGAGGAAGAGTACGTGGTGAAGTACGTGGTCTTAATCGAAGTCGTGTGGCTGTTGAGACTCGAGGGACGAAGTCGACACGACTAGCGGCGCGCGCAGACATATGTGATGTGCAAGGAAGGAGAAGGGGAAAGAGGGTGATATAATACGATTGTCATATAATGCAATTGTCAAATATAGTACAGATTAACCTAGCAGATTAGCAGATTGCCTAGTGACTCCGGGAAATTCACATGCGGTAGTCGGTACTACAATGGAGGGGTACCCAAGTTACCTAAGGTACAGGCGTATAAGTGTGTACGTACAAGTACAGTTTCAGTTCTTCTTTGTAGCGAGGGGCAGCCAGGGAGATTCCCTATTCGTGCATTAGGCACCTATCAAATAACCAGAGAGACGGCTTAGATACATACCTGACAAACAAACAACAGATGAAATTTTCTGTATGTGTGCTAGGTAGGTAGGTACCTAACGAACTAAGCCCTGGTTAGATAATCGGCCCTCAAGGTATTAAAATCAATATTCAATATATAAGATAAGGATATTTCGGTGCGGCAGAGGGAAAGTAGAAGAAGAAAAAAAAGTTGAAAGTGCAAAAATAACGCCACGTAGGGCAGGCGGTGTAGCGGGATGTTGCAGGGGTTGGATACCGACAGAGCGAGTACTTACCTACTCCGGTAACTGGTAATAACTGGTAGAGCTGGTAGATGTAACTGTATGTTTGGTATCAGTAGCGCTGCAGCCGGCCGTTTCCCCCGAGACTGCGACCTTTGGAAACAAAATTTCATGCAGGGTCGCATCTTAATTGGTGATTCTAGAACGTAGGGAATGCAGATCCCCATACGATCGAAACTGAGTCCAACAGGTAGAAACCCATCCGTTCGGTGCTACCTATTGATACCTGACACTCGAGAGTATACTTTATCCTGATATATGTGCCTATAATGTAAGATAAGAACGCCATGTTACTCGGCACTGCATACCTAATATATTGCAGACGCCAGCTCTTTTCTTTTTTTATTCCCAGATTACTTTTTCTTCTATTTCCTTATCTTGTAACTAGTAGAAGCTATAACAAAAGTCGTCTACTCAATATCCTATAACTACCTACCTATACTAATGCATACCTTAGGTATCTATGTAAAGCCTAGAACAAGCCATGTAAGTTAGGCATCTTTTACAACATGATGTCTCTTATCTGCGTTTACCCCTTAAACTCCTTTAGTATCTCTCCTGTATACATCGAATAGTTTAGTTTCAAGATATATCATCTATAAACATCCCGGAGCCTTGGCTTCATATGCCCAGTTAATAAGAACAATACAACAACATCCTATATTCACGGATGCTCCTTCTCAAAACTACTAGCAAATTAGTCCCTCATGCGACTATTCAGACTGCCTTATGCGGATGTTCAAGTAATTTTAGGTAAGGTATCTAATAAATCCTCCAGTGACGGCTAAACTAGCCAGATAGGTGGCGCACACCTAAGTATCACCGTTGTATAGTAGCCGCCGCAGCCGTGATAGTATCCCCTTGATATGTTACATGAATACAATAAGCAAGTGTTAACTAGCTCTAGTCCCATCCACCCCCCTTTCCACCGAAGCCCTTCTCCTCAAGCTTCTTGGGTCCCTTATTTGGCTTCTGCTGTGCAGCCTCATGTCGACGCAGCTCCTCCGGTACTCTGGATATAGAGCTCTTCGAGAGCATCTGCCGTAGGTCATACATGACATCCGCATCTTCGTTGCCCAAGAACGTGATCGCAACACCGCTCTTGCCAGCACGACCCGTACGACCGATACGATGCGTGTAGCTTTCGATGCTCAAAGCCATGTTGAAGTTGACGACGAGGGATACGTCCGGAACATCGATACCACGACCAGCAAGATCCGTCGCGACCAAGACGTCTGTCGTGCCGCTGCGTACTGAGGCGAGAGCCTGTTCTCGCTGCTCTTGGGTCTTGCTGCCGTGGAGTGTGACAGCTGAGAAACCCATATGTTTGATTTCTCGAGCGACGGCGTCGCAGTTGCGTTTGATATTGACGAATACGATAATAGGCGGTGCGAATTCATTAGATGATAGGATCTCCTGTAAGCGCTTCTTGCGACGGTCCTCTCCAGGGACGAATTCGACCCGTTGCTCGACCGTATCTACAGCTTCTCCCACGTTGCCTATTGTTACTGTAGCAGGCCGGCGTAGATATTTCTTCGCGATCTTCTCGACAGCCGACGGCATGGTGGCTGTGTACATCATTGTCTGTCGATATCGATCTTTGCCGCCGAGATGTCGCCTCATCAGTTGCGGATTTTCGGCGGCCTCGGTGTCCGGCTTTTCGTTAGTGACGGGGAGCGCGTCTAAGATCTTGTTGACTGGTTCTTCAAAACCCATATCAATCATACGATCGGCTTCATCCATGATGATGTAGCAACATTGAGACAGTACCAATAGACGTCGTTCTATACAGTCGACTAGACGACCAGGTGTGGCAACAATAATTTCAGCACCGTTTCGCAAGGCAAATGCTTGTTCTTCAAGTGAATGTCCACCAACAAGACTAACAACGGTAAACCCTAGTGGAACAGCGAATTTCTTGGCCTCTGACTCGATCTGCTGAACTAATTCTCGGGTTGGCGCTATAATTAATGAGTAGGGTCCATCGTTCTTGGTGATTTCAGTCAATGGCGGCAATTCCGAGATGTATACTAGTAGAGGTAGTAAGAAAGCAGCTGTTTTTCCTGAACCAGTGACAGCTACACCAATTAGATCTCTTGCCTGTAGAGCAATAGGGATTGCAGCACGCTGGACCGGAGTCGGCTCGTCGTACCCAACTTTGCTGATGATGTCTAATAGACGACGAGGTAAACCCGATTCCTGCCAATTTCGCATTGGATTTGGGATGAGTCCACCCTTGGTTGAAATACCAAAGTCTTCTTTGAAGATACGCCAATCTCTTTCGCGCATGTCCTCTAGCTTCTTCTCTGACCAGTGCTTCCCTAGGCCGTTACGGTTAGCCCTCTCCTTGGCCTTACGCATCATATCCAGTAGCTCTTGTGCTCGTTGAGCTCCGTTTTCAGGATCACGTTCGATCAGAGACATGGCATATTTCTTGGCGTTCTCCTCCGTCATATCGTCACCAAACCCGGCCAGCCTTCCTCTTCCAAAGAAGGTAGGCTCAGCCCTCTCTGCGTAGATGGGATTGTGATCCTGTGTCGTGTCTTCTTCCGCATCCCATTCGAAATTGAATTTCTTCTCCGTTGTTCTTCTCCGCTTCTTCTTGGCCGAGAAGGTAGACTGGTTCATTTCTGGCCCCATATATCGCGCTCGTATTGAGGCGGCTTCTGTTTCTTCTGGTGCTGCTCGTTTCTCCCCAGCTGACCCCTTCTTGCCCTTTGATTTCCCTCGCGCATCTCCATTTTCGTGGTCGTTAGTATCGCGCCTATCGTGACCAGTTTGACGCATAGCCCTAGGTCCTGTCGGAACGGCTGGTGCATGATCTCTGTCGCGACGATCCGGGTGTCGTCCGTCGAGTCCCGACGCGGTCGTAGATCTGCTAGTAGGTTTATTTCGTGCTTCTTCTTCCGCTTTCCGCCTTCGCTTCTCCTCCTCTTCTTTTTGCTTCTCTGCTGCTAAGCGTTCACGCTCAGCTTTAGGTATAAATCTTGGTTTCGCGGCAGCTTCGTTTGCCTCTTTCTTCTTGCGCAAGATCTCTTCGATATCTAAGGGTGCTTTCCGCCTGTTCGCTTCGCCGTTTGTTCCATTGGTGCCGTTGGTGCCGTTGGTTCCGTTGGTATCGGCTAGCGACCCGGCTCGCGGCTGCATACCCATGGTCGCAAAGGCCTTACTTAACGTAGAACGATAGGTCTTTGTAACGATCTTCTAGAGCTTTGGAATTGCTTTCAACGTTTGAAACAGGCAGCTGATAAATCTCGATATTAATTCGGATGATGGATACCTATTGTAGAGATTAAAGTATTTAATCTACTACAAGGATCAAGTTGGCCAACTGTGTTCAGATTAAGATAATGCAGAGCGCAAGTTGCTTTTGTTTAAGTTGGAGGGAGGCAAAGAGATAGAAACACTGACATCGGCGTGTCGGGGGTACGTGTAGTAAAGTACTGCTATCTAAGCCGCTAACGCTAACGGCGGGAGCCAATCGGAGATTTAATCGAGATAGTGGAACCTTGTCACTTCGGCCATTCGCAACCAAAATTTGGGAGCTCTACGGATTTTGCGACTTCTCTCACGTTACCAGCAAGACGTCTTCCCAACTACTCAATTCTCAATTGCAATAAAAGAGGAGCGCCTTAATTGCGACCGGGGGGATGGCGTTAAATACGAGATATATCGAGCTCGCCAAGCAGCTGCACCCGCGACTATCACGCTTCTTCGCCAAGTACCCCCCGAACCAGATCCTCCCGACTTCGACGAGGACGAACACAATCAAGGACGGTGCTACGCCGAATCCTTTCCTGCCGCATAAGCACCCGGTAACTGGGAAATGGCATGATCCAGAATTCTCCCTGAGGCGGCAAGCGGAACTCGTAAAATTGGCGAGGGAACAGGGAGTGGAGGAGTTACTGCCGTTCACATCTAAGGGCACTGAGGAGCGCATACGGCACAGAGTTGCGCACGGTTTGAGGGTTCGCGGTACTGGTGTTGGACAATCTGTCAAGGGTCACTTGCACGAAAGAATGCTGGCTGCCAAGTACGTCACAGCTATACAATCCCTCCCAGCTAATATTTTCGTTATTGGTGAAGATTTTCTACCTATGATTCGATACTAACAAGAGGAACAGGATGGAGAAGAGAAGAACGGCTATGCTGGGCATGCCGAGGCTGGTCAGAGAATGGCGGAAGGTAAGTCATTTATTTATTTCTATCTACTTATATATGTTACTGACAAAGAAATGATAGATCGGGAAGAACAGATGGACCAAGTATCCAAAATGAACAATCATGTCATGACTTCACGATGCCGGCAAGGAAAAAAATGTACAAAATTTATGTATTACTCTATTCAAAAGAATTGGAGAAATCTTTCAAAAAGCCCAGAAACTACCCCTATTGCCGTGTTGTAAGCTACATGTCTTCTTGTTCGGCGTCAGTATCAAAAAGTACTAGAACGTAGCCGACTTAACAACGGTAAGTATTTTTATTGTCGAAGGTTCTTAATTCTTTTTCTTTCCCCCTTCCCTTCCCTTCCCCCTATTTATTCTATATTTAAGTCTTATTTATACTTTATTTCTGCTGTTCGTATAGCTTACCAGCAAAACTTCGAGCAAGTCTCACGTGACCACGTGCGCTATTGAACTTTTACCTCAAAACCGGTTTGCCACGAAGTTATCCCATCCTGGTCTTGGTATAAGCCACTTACAAGTTACAACAATGGAATTTGCCTCTTAATATGAGAACGTCAAACCCGCACCAGATCAATAGATCCAACAGATATAGTTGACTACTAATTCGTTTCAAAAAGAAAAAAGAAAAAAATTGTGTGAATCTAATTCCGCCGGCATGGCCCCTCCTATATCCAATACATCAGCCGAGCCCACGCTCTACGACATCCTGTCGCTAACCCCCAAGCACCTAGCGGGCCAGGCCGGCATAGCCCAGCAGCAGAAGATCGTGAAGCAAGCATACCACCGCGCGCTGCTAAAATACCACCCGGACAAATCAGCCAGTGGCAACCCTCCCGAGGGCAGCAGAACATCCACCCCAACACCTTCTGCTTCTACTTCTACTTCTACTCCCTCAAAGCCAGGTCCCAAACAGACATCACAACCGCGCATCACATACACCGTAGACCAAATCCAGCACGCCTACGCCGTCCTCTCAGACCGCAAGCAGCGCGCAGACTACGACCGGGCTCTGCGCACCGCGCCCTCCCAGCGGCCCTCGCAGTCTTCCTCCTCCTTCCAGACGGGCGTCGAGACCGTCGATCTAGACGACCTGGCGTTCGACGAGCGGACGGGGGTGTACTACCGCCCCTGCCGCTGCGGCAACGCGCGCGGGTACGCGTTTACCGAGGACAACCTCGAGGAGTTCGAAGACGACGGCGTCTTGATGGTCGAGTGTCTCGACTGCAGTCTCTGGATCCGGGTTTTATTCGCCGCGGCTGATGATGACGATGACGATGACGATGATGGTGATGGTGATAACGACGATAACAACGTCGTAGCTACTACCACCAGCCTCGCGAGAAGCGCCAGCACTACAGTTCGCTCGGCGGCCGTCGCACTAACGATAGGAAGAAGCGCAGACGCCGTCACATCGGCAGGGGAGAGACGGGGCAGCGGCACCGGCAGGAACTACACGTTTAACTGGAGTTTCAACTGGGGCCTCTCATTATCGGGGTCCGCGACGGCGGGGACCAGCACAAGCAGCAGTTCGCGGATGTAGCAGCTGGCTGCCAAGAGACATCGGGATATAACCCAATATCTATCACGAGACATGGATTCGTTGTAGATGTCGTCACAACTTGATCCGATAGGCTCGCTTTCGCTTCTACCCCAACAGATGAAATATATCACGTGGCCTGGACGTCTACATCTAAATCGATGGAAAAGGTGATTTACTATTGTGGTATACTTACATAGTACGAAGGGCATATTAGGAGTACATACTGGGTAGTAGGAGAGAGTGCGTGGAGCGTGGAATTACTCGGGTATGATATAATGTGAATGATTAACGAGCTAGCAGTATAATCAAAAAGGGCAAGATATTATCTACCCGTACAGTGAAAGGCTTACAGATACTCTTAGAAATAAAGATGTAAATATTTGCGGATTAGTAGTAAAGCTAAATGTATATGCACAACAGCGTGTCTTGGTCTTTTCGTATCGGCAGTTTCGGCGTATACTGGACTATTTACTGCCTAAGCTTTAATTTCATCCTGCGAAGATCCTACGAGAGTCCATTGCTCATGAAGAATTCATAACATTAATATTGCCTGTGCAAGTAGAAAGTATGGGGTTTATTCAGACGAATTTGCATTAGAGTCTAAAGGGCAAGCATTCTGCGAAAGACCTCCCAAAAGCTCTTTAGCCCTTTTGCCTGCGGGAAAAAGAGAACCGTCCAAGTCTTTGCTCTGTGCATTTGCCACGTGAAGGGGGAAAAATCAAATCAATGCAGAACAGAAATCTCAAGCAAGAGAATTCTCAAGCAAACACTCCATAGACACCAGAGTCCACCCAACTTCAATCGACCCCTTTAAAATCTAGAGACTAATAAGGGACGTGGGCTTTTCTTTTTTTTCTTACTCGGCAGCCTTGGGCTCCTCAGCCGGGGTCTCGGTGGCTTTCTCCGGTTCCTGGGCGGGGGCCGCGGCTGACTCCGCAGGAGGCTCAGCCTCAGAAGACGTCCAGAGGGTCTAATTTCATGTTAGCAGATTCAACTAATACTTGATAAATACGAATACATACCAGGTTGTCTCGGAGGAGTTGCATGATGAGGGTCGAGTCCTTGTAGCTCTCCTCGCTCAGGGTGTCAAGTTCTATAGGTTTAAGTTAGCTTCAAACTACTTTTAGCTCGTGCGTCTGGTACTTACCGGCAATCGCATCGTCGAAAGCCTGCTTCGCGAGGTGGCAAGCCTGATCAGGAGCGTTGAGGATTTCGTAGTAGAAGACGGAGAAGTTCAGGGCGAGACCAAGACGGATGGGGTGTGTGGGGGGCAGCTCGGTCTGGGCGACCTCGGTAGCAGCCTTGTACGCCTCGAGCGACTTGTCAGCCGACTCCTTTCGTCGGTCACCAACGGCGAATTCAGCCAGGTAACGGTGGTAGTCGCCCTTCCTATTTTGGTTGGTTAGAAATCTCTGGGTTTAGAACAGGTGCTGGCACCGAGGAAAACATACATCTTGTGGTAGAACACCTTGGACTCGCCAGACTTAGCAGAGGGGATGAGGTGCTTGTCCAAGACATCGAGGATGTCATCGCAGATCTTGGCAAGCTCGGCCTCGATCTTCTGTCGGTATTCCTTGATAAGACCGACCTGGGAGGAGTTGCCCTTGGACTCTTCCTTCTGCTCGATGGAGGTGACAATTCTCCACGAGGCACGTCGGGCACCGATCACGTTCTTGTAGGCGACGGAGAGGAGGTTGCGCTCCTCGACGGTAAGATCACGGTCCTCAGAAGCGACGATCTTCATGTTCTCGACCATCTCTGATAACGATAAAAGTTAGTATTGCCACTCTGCAAGGTCCAGCAACCACATCCATAGCGTCACATACCCTCGTAGCGCTCAGCCTGCTCGGCCAGCTTGGCAAGATACACAGCATCTTCGTGACCCATCTTGACGGTGTGAGACTCGGTGAGACGAGAAAACTAGATTAGTTTATTAAGTCAGCTCTAGTTTCGGTCGGACAATGTGTTTGTTTTTTTGTTGTGATGGAAAAAGTGTATGCAGTATAGGTGTGAAATAGTAGGAAGAGGGGAAAAAAGAAATGCAGGTTTGCATGGCAACAGGCAGCAATTATTGAGCTAAGGGGTTGTAAACAGTTGCCAGGACGATACTGGAAGTGTTTACAACCCAAAGCAGAGGAACGCGCTACCTTGCCGTGGATATCGAGAGGCTCGAAAGTTGTGACGGTGAAGCAAAGACGAACCCCCCCCGCAGTCTGTGGGGTTTGCGCCAGTGGATGCGAATGGAAAACGCGTTAAGGTAAAGGTAGACGGATAGGCGTGTATGTTGTCGCAATAATCAATTGATTTAGGGAATAGGTCGTATTAGGCGGTTGATAAATTTGCTGTTGTATGTACGGCCGACAAGAAGGAGGCGGTCGTGATGTGGGCGATGACGAAAGTGTAAGGCGGGAATCAGGGTAGGCCAAGGAACATGACCGCAAGTGCAAAAGAAAGGGGATTTTTATTTTTAAAGGATAGGAGATGGATGGGATAAGGGTCAACGTACCTTCTGTTTATTATTTCGAGGTTTGGTTGTCAAGGAACGACCTGTAGTGGAAGATGCACTAGAGAGAAAGTGCGAGGACGGAGAATAGAATAAGTTGGTGGTTGTTGGATTTGGGAGGTTTATGAGATGCAAAAAGTTTTGGGAGAGTTTTTGTGTCGGCGGATGTGCAGCAGTTTGGTTTTGTTGGTAGACAGAGGGAGCCTGAGGTGAAGGAGAAAGAGGGTGACGGGCTCAGAGGCGGGTGTGCCCAGTGCGCGCGTGGGGAGGGGGGAAAGGTAATAGTAACCTCAGGTACATTCTAAAATCCTTAGGCACATATGTATATGTACTTGTACTGTACATACCTACTCGAGTTACCTAACCTAAAGTATTGTACATGCCTGCCTACATCCATATCTCTTCTCCCCCAGGGCTGTATGTATAGGTAACGCCTCCACTAATTGTAGGTACCTAACCTACCTAGGTAATTCTAACTGGTAGCACCGGTTCCGTCTACGTAGAGCCTAACTGGACCTGAACCAGCAGAGCCATAAGCTTGTAAACTTGGCAACGGGCAATAGACAGCGGATCATTTGATAATAGAACAAGGCTTGAAAGGGGTTATCCTCAAATCGAAATATTTCGGTACCTCCGTCCTTTCGTCCTTTAAATGACTGAACGACTGGCATCATTACATATCATAAGTACCTATATACATAGTTGGGTACATAGGTAAACTACCTTATGTTGTGGGCATGACATTGCATACAACTGCGTACACTATACACAACCCTGATAGTATCGAGGCGTAGATTGAATCTGGTAAGGCACTCCTGACTCTTCCATTTCACCTTCCATTTTTTTAAACCACCTTTGTGACTTGAAGAAGTTACGCCTCACGTGGTTGTCATGTGCCTTCTTCATATGCCCGATGTACTTACCAATTACATGTCATTCATAAAAAACTTAGTTCAAATGTCCCTGTTGCTAGTGTAGAAGCTCAATTCCTTTCCCTCCCTTGTCTAGGTAGGTCTCCTACGTCAGTTTTAATACTATCAAAGAAGACTTGAACTCGTACCCCACGTACTTGAGGAAACAATTAAATTTCGTCTCGTGCTTGTACCAGTACATGAGGCATTCTTCATAGACACCCAACAAGCTGTCAAGCCTCAAATGATATAGGATGACCTAAGGCAAGCATTTATGAGGTTATCCAAGTTTTATTTTGCTCATATAATCTTCCCTTTTATCGTACCCCCTCCGTCCGGTGGCACCCGCAATAAAAAGGGTATTGGAGTGACCCTTCATTAAATCTTGTTCTATGTCTCAATAGTCACCAAGAAAGGGTCTACACTCGAGTTAGCCAATTACCCTTGGGAGATGAGACCTAGGTAATTCGAGGCTACTCGAAGCACGAGCCATTACATTCTTTGTCCGAATTACCAACCTACCACGGCCGCTACTGGGCGATAAGGGGGAAAAGAATTTCAGCCTACGTCAACATATGCAGCCCAAATAGCTCACACATATGCACAGTGCTGCATCTCGTTTTCTGATTCGGGGCCACACCCGCGCCAGCCACCACGGGAACTTGGCCTCTCATTTGTCTGATCCATTTCAACTATCGTCAATGCGAAGTTGACCTAGAAATCAAGAATCAAGAGTAGGGAAGGAAAAGAGTCGATTTGTTAAAAACGTCACCGACTTGATTTCTTCTTGGAGGGGAATGAAACCCATGCATTGCCAAGTATCTTTCCCTTGCGGGGCCAGGAACCGGTGAAAATATTATGCTCCTCTAACTCCTGGAAGATATCATGCCAAACCAGAGCCTCACGATACTTAGCCCCATTCTTTTCTCGCGTCTGGCATAGCTGAGAGTTATCATGCCAAATTTAGACGTTATTGCATAACAAATTTGCCTACGGTCGATTATGCGTAGGTATAATTTTTTTTCATGCAATACGGCATGCTCAGCCTCGACGAAAATATAAAATTCGTATTAACACGAGCTGTTAGTACGCATATGTAGTAGTCGAAACTGCGTATTATTCTCGTAAGATTTTTAAAGACATATTTATAAATCATCCAAACGATACAAGACCAATATAAATAGGGAAGAAATCCCATAGGCTTTCATACCTCTCCTAATAATGATACGCGGCAAATCTATTACGGTAGTAGGCAGCCTACGGAATTTTCATTATATCAGATGACCCTAAACTATTCCGGTCCGCTGGATTTTTGCGTGATCAGTGGTCGCTAATGATGCTATGTATGGCCTGAGCAGGTATACACTACATAGACGTTGTACCCTAAGCACTGAGGTAAAGGACGGTCTTAGGAGAGTTCCGCTCCGTTTGCGTCCGTGCACCCCGTGTTCTTCCGCCGAGGTTGGAACCTCATTCAGCCATTACCTACCATTGACTTCATAAGCTAAGCTCCAATTGAACCTCCAAATTTTGGAAGTGCCTCATCAATCATCAACCACACCACATACAACAACAGCAAACTAATTAAATACCTAAGGTACTAGCTTTCTACACCCTCCATCCCGTGATTTACTTGTAAGGCAAAATAAGGCAATTCAAATACTAAACGTTATCCCCCAATCCAGCGAGCGACATCTTTGAGAATCCTCCTCAAAACCCCCCCCAAAACCCCCCAAAATGTACCGCCAGACTCTGACCAAGATCCCGTCTCGAGGCCTCTCCCGCCGCGCATTCACGACGACCGTCCGCGCCATGGCAGCAGGCGACACCGGCGCCCCGAAAACGGCAGGCAGCTTAGCCGGTCAAAGGTACGTCGCATATCCATCCACCTATTCCGAAATATCCAATACCTAAACCCCGCCAATCCCGTTCCAAAAAGCTGGAATTTGGTGTCCCGAGATGCCGGTATCTCCTAGCTCGCTAGAGCAATGGAGAAAACCCGCTCGGAAGTCAGGGACTATGGGGGATAGATAAAAAACTAGAGAATATAATAAAGAAGACTAACAAAGACTCCCCCCAAAAACAGTGACGCCTTCCAGAAGCGCGAAAAGGCTAACGAGGATTACGCGATCCGCCAGCGCGAGAAGGAGAAGCTCCTCGAGCTGCGCAAGAAGCTCCGCGAGCAGCAGGACCACCTCCAGAAGCTGTCCGACCACATGTAAGTCTATCCAGTTTACCTAGTTAGAACATTTTCCCCTGCGGGATTTGCTATATCGGCAATATGTACTGATAGATATGCCTTCGCTATAGCGACGAGTTGACCAAGGACCAAGGCGGCGAACACAACTAGATGTATTAGTATTAGCACGTAAAGAGGAGGAATGCTGAAGCTCCGCTCGTTATGATGTCTAGCATCTGCGCGTGAGTCTTTGCGGTGTCACTAGAAACAATTTAAAACCCTAGATTTGTTCTTCAGCCATCGCATTTGCCATGTCCTAGTGTACATAAATACAGCCGCTACACCTATGTACAGCGTGCTCTTGTTGCTATCTTGAGAATTAACTCTCGCTCTTGTCACGGCATACCTGCCCGATTGAAGGTCTCCCTTATCCTAGTGCATGTCATCATCTACGAATTCTCGAATTTTCGTGTATGGTTCCCTAAACTCCTACACCAAACTTCCCCCTAACAAGGATTTCTCAAATTCCTCCTCGGTAGTCTAGTAATTATTAAAGAAACCTTGGGCTTATCGACGTCCCATGTAGGACCTATAGAAGCTGTCCACATTATCTTGTTCTGGGCCACCGTAATGGTTGCCGATTGTGCTGCGCTCCTTTTGTGCGGCTGCGACCTTGGCCTGAAGCGCAGCAGCGTTAGTGTCTATCCACTGAAGTTGAGCAAGGTGACTGTTGAGGACTCGGACGATCTGGCTCAGCTATAGAAAAAGGGGGTTAGTCAATACATAATTTTTTTTGTGTGGTTTATGCAAAATACTTACCGGGTCATCTGGTTTGTTGCCCTTGCTCAATGTGCCGGAAATGTCGTTAATCTCCTTGATCATCTTGGACAAGTCACGGCCCATATCATCCAACTTTTCGGTAATTTTCTCGGCCAGCTTGTATGTCTTTTCGCGCTCCTGATCAGGTCCCGCAAGCTGATCTCCATGTCCAATCTGTTTGGCAAATATCGAATCCACCTCACCCTCGTATCTATCTAACCAAGATTCGAGCTCTTCCTGCTGACTCTCGATGCCGACGAGCTGTCGTTCGATCTCACGACTACCTTTTTCGGCCTCAAACGTCTCCAAATAGAGCTTTTGGATCCTCTCCCCGTTCTCAACCAGAAGACGATCCCACTGGGCCACTTGGGATGCTTGCTCTTTGAACTCTTTTTGGTATTTTGAGAGATCAGTAGCCCACCGAGTGATGATCTCATCCATTGTCTTGTTCTTTAGCCGCGCCATGGATGAGGTAGGACCAGCGGTCGATGCTCCCAATGCGTTACTGGCTGCCGTAGTAGATTGTGTTGCTGTGTTATCAGACGATGTAGCAGCTTTTGACGCGGCGCCGAACAGAGAGCTTGTTGGGGCTGCCGTTGCGGTAGCGGTTGAGGCCGAAGTGGCAGAAGCTGTTGTTCCTGCGGCTGACGTGGCGTTTGCTGCTCCTGCTGCTGGAGTAGAGGCAGCATTACCAAAGAGACCAGATGTAGGTTTAGCTTGTTCAGTAGTTCCGGTACCGGATGCTGGCTTCCCCAGATTAAACAAAGAAACCGCCTGTGTCTTAGCTGGCTCGAGGGCAGAGGTAGTGCCCGAGGGCTTGGTAAGGCTCGGAAATGCTGAAGCAGGAGCTGCCGATGTAGTAGCTGCTGCAGATGATGCAGGTTTTTTATCAAATAACGAAGATGAGCTTGCTGCTGCTGCTGGTGTAGTACTTGACCCCCCAAAGAGTGGATTTGCGGGCTTGGTTGAGGATGCCTCGGCAGGCTTTGAAGGTTGCTGTCCAAATAGCGGGTTGGCTGCAGGTGCCGCTCCGCCGCCTTGTGCAGTGGTAGGCTTCGCGCCGAATAAATTTGAGGCGGAAGAACCATCAGCAGGTTTCGAAGCCCCAAAGATGTTTGAGGCTTGGGCTGAGCTTTGACCGGCATTGGCAAAGAGTCCGCCTGGGGTAGAGGATGATGGCTTGCTCGCCGCGGTACCAGTCTGGGAGGAGCTGGCCGTGTTTGCAAACAAAGAGCTACCTTGTGTTTCCTTCTTGTCTCCTTGCTGGGTAGATGGAAAGGGTTGTTGACCCGCAGCACTCGGAAAGAGGTTAGCAGGCTTCGTCGGAGGCGCGCCCGCAGGAGTTGTTGAGTTCAGGGAAAACATGGCTTTTGTAGGTGTCGATAGCGAACCAGAACCGGGGGCGTTACTAGTCGGGGTAGTGCTTGTGTTGGCGTTGTTGAAAAGACCACTGCCACCGCCGGTAAGGTTACCAAAGAGCCCGGGAGCCGAGGTAGGGGTGCTAGAAGACCCTGCTGTCATCGATGCTGATGCTGGGGCGGTACTAGTCGACGTCGGTGTTGTTGAGGCTGGATTTCCAAATAGATTCGTAGATTGCGCAGGCTTCGCAGCACCACCAAAGATGCCAGTGTTAGAGGGAGGTGTCTGGGAGCTGCCACTAAACATCCCAGAGCTACCACCACCCAACGTAGGAGTAGATCCCGGTGCGCTATTTCCCGTCGTTTGCCCAAATAATGGCTTTTGTTCTCCTGGCTTCGTAGCCGTGTTTCCGAAGGCACCAGAAGTAGGTCCCGATGAACTAGCAGCAGCGCTATTGTTCCCACCACCTAGGTTTCCGAAAGAGAAGGCAGGTGTGCCGGTGGTTGAACTACCAAAGAGATTGGTCGAAGCCGAAGTAGTAGGGGTTGATGAGCCAAACAAACCGCCAGCAGGTGGTGCACTGGAAGTGGTGGCATTGTTGTTGGATTGCCCTCCTGAGCTCGAATTGCCGAAGAGCGACATGGTGGGACGGTGTTTGTAAGGAAGGAATGTGCTATATGTTGTGTTATATCCGATCTAGCTATTGGAATGTGATGTAGGTTCGTCTAATCTCAGCCGTGTTTATAAATCTGCACTCCTCCCCAAGCCGCAAGCACAGAAAAGGCTGGGGGTTTCGGCGTTTGGTGATTCGCTGGGTAAACCGTAAGGGCAGCGCAAGGTTGACGATGATGATAAACGTCGAAGATGAAAATATATCTTAATCCTTTTTTGGAATGGTTAGTACGTATATAAAAACCCCAATTTGTGCAATACAACTGTGAAAATAGTAGTTTGTTTTTACTTACAGTTTGCCTTGGTGACTTGGTGATGCATCACAGACCGACCACTTTTTTTGCGCGACAAGCTTCCAAGGTGGTAAAGTTCGACGCGACTACCTCTTTAGGTAGTACTGTAAGCATGTACCACCTACCTCAGGGCATTCACTAACCACATGTGGATCTCAGCCTTCACTGTGCAGTGTGAGCCTGGAGGTACACAGAGGTACCTTCCATAGGTACGTACTCATGTACCTAGGTATTAGCTTTAGGTAATCCGTACTGACTAGGCCACTTACTAGGCCAAGCCACAGGAGTTCTAGGCTCCCTTATCTAATCAGTTTAGGTCTCTTACGATGTATGCCAATACCAACTGACCTGCCAGCCCTGTCCGCTCTCCGCCGCCTGCCCAACCAGGAAACATGTGTTTCCGATCCCTGACCTGAAGTCTCGATCTCTACGATTACCTCACATAAGAGCCAGAACAATAGGAGGCTTAGTTTTCTGGCCTCGCACATCTTTAAATCGATCATACAGCCTTTCCTAAGATCAGTAACCACGAGCCATCGACCTATCTGGCCCTACATCTGGTCGATTTGTTATACAGTACCCCTCAAACCAGCCAACGGCTGTTCAAAAGGGACCGCAACTTTCTACTAGATATTATATTATAGGCCTGTCAACTTTCTCAAACCAAGTGACACCACCCCCGGCATACCACCTAGAAGTTCTTTGCCATGTCTAGAGAGCGGAGGTCATCTAGCCTCGAGGCTCCCGAGAGAAAAGGTATAGAAGATCCAGGTGCTCGTGAGCTTGGTATGCTGTAGTGTACCCCTTACAATTCCCTCAATAAGCTAACAATTGGTCCAATTTAGCCTCCTCCGATTCCGACGAGCACTTCTCCGATGCTCAATCCTCCCCGAGGAATAGTCCCGGGGCTACCTCTCCGGTACCACGGACACGAGTCGAAAAAGTAGACGATGAACCGTCTTACGGTGAAGTCCCGGGTACGGAAGCTTACAGTAAGCGCACAGAGGATGCCGAACCAGATGAGATTGCTATCATCCACGAGAAGAAGCCAGAATCCGTCTCTCCAGACAGACCTGTGACGCCAGGGGGTCATCCAATTCCAAAGACGGTGGTTGACGAATCAGCGGATACCCCTGGTTCTTCAACTCGTCGCTATAGCGAACATCTTCATCGTGCGGATGCCGAACCAGACTTTATTCGGAAACCTGACGGTACTAGCGAGGCAAGTCCGACACCCTCCTCGCTTGATACCACCAAGGAAGCAACTGGTACGGCAGCCAAGTCCTCCTAAGCTCCCCAGCGCGATTGACCCTTGCCCTCGTAGATAACGCGACTGTAGCCCCATCACTTAAGTCACCATCGACCCATCGACGGAGGAAATCGTCAGCAGCAAAATCAACGGGAAGTGTTAGTCAAGAGGATGCTGATGGCGATGACGTTGATGACTTTGGTGACTTTGGCGACGACTTTGACGAGTTTGAAGAGGGTGATGAAGATGCTGATTTTGGCGACTTCGACGATGGCTTTCAGACGGCCGAGGCAGAAGGACCGGCTCCCATACCGGTCCCTCAGCCTCAGGCCGCAATACCCTCATTTGTATGTTTAGGTCCCTCTCTAGGTAGTCGTATATTTATGCTAACTATATTCTCTGTCAGCCAATATTAGACCTTGATGGGCTTGACTCAGAAGATATCATAGTTGCAACAGAACCATACCTAGATGCATTGTTCTCTCCCGAAATACAAGAGCTCCCAGCTTTACCGTCGCCACCAAAGGACAACCCAATATTCTTCAACCCTAGAAGCGCCTCTCTCTGGTCGCAATTGGCAGCACCGCCACCTCTTCAACCCCCTGATTGGATCCGGTCTCGCATACGGCGCCTATTCTTAGTTTCCCTCGGCGTACCAGTGGATCTGGACGAGATATTACCTGCCTCCAAGCAAAAGAAACTTGTGCTACCATCCATCCATCGTGTCACTTCAACCGGCTCGCTACGCACATCATCAGAGTCTCGCTCCGTCTCCAGGCTCAGGAAGCCAGACACTGATAACAATTCCTCGGTATCAGTAGATTCCCAAGGCAAGGAGAAGCCCAGGTCCGCATCGAAACGGCAAAAAGGTCCACCTGAAGCACCCGACCTGGATTTGGTTTCCGCGAAGCAGCTCTGCACAACCACAGACGAGGCTCTAAGCGGCATGACGGACAAGGAACTCCGGCAGCACGTGAAGAAATTGCAAGACATGGAGGTCTTGGCGAATGATGTGCTGGAGTATTGGAAGAAACGAACGGACGAGAAGATTGGCGATCGCGAGGCGTTCGAGGGCGTGATAGAAAACCTTGTGAAGCATGCTCGGAAAACTAGGAAATAGGAAAATGGGTCAACATAGTAATACTAATGACTGCGTTGGGCTTATGTCCCAGCAAAACGGTATCTTAGTGCTCGGCTCCTAATAGTGATAAGCGACGCCCTATAGGTATACTACCTAGATGTGCAATTCGCCTTTGTTGCGCTAGGTATCGTGTTCTAGTCTTGATGGTTCGTTATTAGTAGTATAAAGTATAGATATGTTGCTAGCAAGAAGTACCTTACGACTAACTACCTAGCCTCAATGCTCAGTTTTATATTTTAGTCTATGTCGTAACTCCTTTCCGGGATGAAGTGAAAATCGATATATGCTATCATTATACATATAGCATCCCTAGAAGTACGTCCAAGGGGGGTGAGTTCTCGGCCCTAGATACGGTGAAGGTTGCCTAACATAGACAACTCAGCAGCCAACTTGGTCTCCTTATAGCATCTATCAGAGTGTTAAAATATTAGTTAGTTATATGAAACCAAAACATAGTATAAGGGTAACTAGGGACTATAAAATACCTCCTTGATCGTCATTCTTTGATCATCTCTTATATGCTATAGCAGAAGTACTGCCCAGGGACAGGTAATTTCTATATTAAGTTCATAAAGCCATTACTAGTAAAATAGAATGAGTCTCACTTACAAGTAACCTCTCTTTAGTACTATTATAATAATTTATCTTACTTTACATACTTGGGGAATCTAATTCTATAGCATTATCGACCTTGTGAAGAGAGATAATATTTGGACGGGTTTCGCCCTGTAAATCCTCCGTAGCGTCAAAACACCGTTGTCCACTGTCATATATCTTTAAGATACAATAATATGTAGTGTTTTACCGTCTATGCCACCTTTGGCTTGTTTACATTTATTACATTATATCACATGCTGAAGGACCTAAGCCTCGCGAAGTGGTGGGTTGGATAATCGGATGGCTATAGGTTTTTATATTCCTTTTTTCCGTTAGGCGCCTATAGATTGACAAAAGCCACCGGAGACTACGGTCTCTGCAAAAAGGGCCAGGACGTAAAGTGCAACAGATCCGTATTCAGGTACGCCTTTATCTCCTTTTGCTTCGTCATCATCGTCTAAATACATAGCCTTCTTAGGGACATCCCCTTTAGCCCTAGTAGCTTCAGACAGACTAAGGCATCTCTTACCTTTATGAAGCGCTTGAGCCGTGTCCCTGACATTGGTCGCCGTACTTAGGAATACCTACTCATTTCCCCTTTACCCACCCCTCAGAATTATAGCTTATCGGATACGCTTCGTCAAGAAATTTATACTTAGCCTAGACTTCACGATTCGGTAGGTTCCAATGTGATACCACTTTAGATAGGTTAGTTGACGCAACCAACATTCAGTATACCAGGGTAGGAACTTACGCTGTGATGGTAGCCCATCCAATGAGACGCCAGTGCTTCTCGATTCTTCGGCTAAGAGCGATCTTCTCTCCAAGGTTTGTGCAGGCAGGGCTGGTCAGGGATAGCTTAGCGGCATCTTGCTTAATGGCGGCAACCTTGGCACCAGTTGAGGTGGATCCAATGTTTACCATGAGGACTTCATTCTTGGTTAATTTAGCCACCTTTGCTTGCTTGCCGTCTGCTGTGCGGACACCTAGCAGCCTCTTTAAGAGGTAGAAGTTGACTTCAATCTCACTGTAGATGGCGGGAAGACGTCCCTTGAGGCCGAGAACGAATCCAACCAAACGATCAGCTCTGCAAAGAGTAGGGTCAATGCGCGTGCCAACACCAATGAGACCACCGGGGACGGCATATTTCAGATCGTTGAACTCTGAGTTAAGAGAGACGATACGACTGCAGATAGGCTTGCACTGGAGTGCACCCTTATCGTCTCGAGTCACAATACCAGGTCTGATTTCAATCTCGTCACCGAGCTTCAACACACCGTGCAGAATACTGCCACCTGCAACACCACCCTTTAACTCTTCAATTTCGGCACCAGGCTTGTTGACGTCGAAGGATCGAATAACCATCATGTGAGGCTCTTGAGTGAAATCTCTGGGTGGTACAGGGATGGTGTTTACAATGGCCTCGTTGATAGCGTCGATGTTGAACTTCAGTTGCGCAGAGATAGGAATGATGGGCGATTTGGCGGCAGGAGTACCACGGACGAACTTCAGGATAGACTGGTAATGTTGTTGGGCGGCCTCTTCTCGCATAAGGTCGACCTTGTTCTGAAGGATGATGATCTTATCAAGCTTCATAATTTCGATAGCTGCCAAATGTTCAGAAGTTTGAGGCTGAGGTACAGTTTCATTTCCAGCAATCAGTAATAGAGCGGCGTCCATCACCGCAGCTCCAGACAACATAGTACTCATGAGAATATCGTGACCAGGGCAATCCACAAAGCTAGACATCGTCAGTAACATAAAAAGGTAATTAGGACAATTAATAAACGTACGAGACATGGCGTAGAAGTCTGTATGTACCGCTGCATCCTTCACGCTCGCAAGGGGGGTCTACCTCCTTCTCACTCTTGTAGCTTCGATAACATCCAGGCCTAGGGCACTCAGGGTTATCGCACTTGTAGATCTTGGCATTCGCATATCCCAGCTTGATGGTGATGTTTCGGATCAACTCGTTCTTGAAACGGACAGTCTGGACACCTGATATGGCCTTCACAACGGTCGACTTGCCGTGAGCGACGTGACCGATGGTACCAATGTTGATAGTGGCTTGTCGCGCGATGATCTCAGGTGTAAGCGGGGTTAGTGATTGGAGATCGAGGTCTTTGGCGTCTGTTTGGGGAGGGAGAGGAGGACGCTCAATCGGAGGCGAGGGACCTGAGGGGGATTTCTTCATAGCTGACTTGAGGGGTTTCTGATCTAACTCCTCAGCGCCATCGTCGGCCCCATCGTTGATGGGTGACTCGTTGCCCGAATCGGAGTCGGACTCGATGTCGTTGCCAAACCTGTCGGGCGCGGACATTGTGATATATGTGTTGTTTGGTTTGTGCCTTTATCTATGTGCTCTTTCGCTGGCTCCTGTATGTAAACGGGTGCTCGAGGTTAAGTGAAATCTAACGACTGTACGAAATGACGTTTAGGCGTGGAGTTTGGGATTTTTTCGAAAGTTGTGTATGAGTCTTCTCCCAAGCGGCGATAAGATAAAGAATGAGGGGCAAATTTGGTAGGTAAGGTACCTAGGTACAAAATTTGACGTACCTGACTTTATTCCGTACTAACCTACAAGAAATGGAAACTGTGGAGGACGGTAAGACCTGGCAGATCTCTCTAACTGTCTTGTTCTTGTTAAACCGTTACTTCCTGCTACTTGCAATTAAAGAGGTTAGGTCACGTGTTTATATACCAATATGTAGGTACGGCTAATGAGTTTGAATTTCTAGGTTAGCGCAATAATCGGTTTCCTCTCATTACAAGTCAAGCAGCAGCAGCAGTTCAGCATCGTGTCAATCCGGAACCCGTTGAATTTAGTAATCATCCAAGCATCAGCCGTGGTATCATCGTTACTGTAGGGTATATTTTATCCAATATTGAGCTCAATTCTCATGAGCCGTCAAAGCCCCGAGACGATCATTTCCTCGTCGTTCGACAAAGACTATTCTTAGACGAACGTTCATAGAGAGGCCATTATAAGCCTCCAGTAGGTCAATGTCACTATGTCGGCACTAAGGTAACTAGCAACCAAGATTCAAACTACAGTCTGCAGGAATATATTCATATATGCAGCCCTACCATGATATCCTGTCTGATGTAAGTTACATAGCGTCATTGAATTATATCATAGTTTTCAGAGCAACATTAGGGGCATATTAATGAAAGCATCCTCGTTCACGTGTGGTTTAGCAACATCGATATAGCAGAACTACTAGGTATATTACTTTCAAGGCGATATAACCCACACGACAGTGCGCCGCCTCATTGGCCATGAGAACCAAAGCGCTAAAAATAGCCTTTATATCCTTGGCAGCAAGACAGTCTTATTTTGTTTAATAAATTATCAAATAAGAGCTATATTGGTCCAGTACCACGATGGCATGCAGATTCGTCAGAAATTGGCCTCCATTCCCGCCTGTCCGTGCAACCGATCATGGTAAAGGGACCGGGAGGGGTGGGGGGCAGGTTTTTTTGGTGCTTGGGTTACATTTTAGCACGACAATCACCTTGCCGATTATTTTCCTCAAATTGGCCGAGTCCGCAGTCGAGTCATTATTCTCTGTGCTAAAAAAGGGAACATATATGATGGACTATTCGTTGCATCTAGCCGGCGGACTTCAGAGTTCTCAGGAGCTCTTATAAACATTTGCGCTTCGTCTTACGATCAAGGTCTGAGGTGTTACGGTCCGGAATCCTTCTCATTACATCCCCATTACATATCTGCGGTGACAAAAGTGAGCGCGAGGATAATAAGCAATAGGGACTCGGGCTCAAAGTCCGAACGGGGCCGGTCGTTTCCTGTTGCTCAACATGGTGGGTAGGAGTTTACCGCCCAGGCACAACCTAATCCCATGCATAGTGTCGTGCGGTATCACGTCTCTTCAGCTTCTGATTGGCTATACTTTCTACCTTGTATCTGGGCACGGGTCTTGTCAGGGATGCTATCTGCCTATCAAATCGGTAGATCGTCGACTGGGGTCGATGAAAGCGCCTAGGAAGATTCGCGCCGGCTAGTCCCACGCATCCAACCACATCCCATTCTCCCCGTCTTTTGCGCTCGACTGGGTAGGGACCCCTGGTATTAACAAGTCTTTTCTTCAACCTCATTCGTAGTGGGCACTTTGGTATGCCGGGTGCATCCAATTACGGTCCAGGTCTGCACCCAAGAGACTCTTGCTCACAAAGAGGGATTGCCCAGTCTAATACCTGTACTGCAGTAAATGATGTACATGGACATGTGGTTAACCATGGGTTAATGTACCTCTTTGGTGATAGATGTAGGTGCGAGAGACTCCTTCATGCTTATCCCATACCTGTATAGCCGTGGTAGCGAAAGTATTGTCGGCTCTAGATACCATTGTATCATTTCCCCAGCATAGGACCAACAATTCCCTCTTCTCACTCATATACTCAGCCTTTTTCTCGGTATACCTCTTTACCCTCTTCGTTTCGTTTTTACCCAGACGCTTTCTTATCCGTGTGAGAAAGACGGTAATCAGAAGCCTGTGACTTGTCCCGTTGGATTTTAAATCGACGTTGACACGTTGATCTGGTAATTCCGATACAACCCAGCAAGTGCTCAGCGTTAGACTACGGCCTGCGGGCGTCTATTTTCATAATCGTACAACTTGGATATTGGGGTTCACTCTAGCCACCCTATCAGAGACTTGCATTCGGTCTATTCCTACCCCCCGGTCCATCGTGAGCGATCCCATTGCATTTTATGTAGCCCCATCGACTAACTATCCCATGCAGAATATTCCAAGAAAAAGGTCGAATGAGGTGACAAGATATCGCAGCGGCGCCTACTCAAAACCACCCACCTTCCCAGCTATCCAACTCTGAAATACTTTTCCTTCGATAGCTGGTCTCTTCCAATTCATTCTCGTATTAATCCATTCCTCTCTTTAAGCCACATACATTTTGGTCCTTTTTTTGGTCCTATTCCTAAGGGTATCACGAGCATATAGTAGCCTGTACACATAGACTGAGTCTTGTTCTTTTATTATTTCACTTTTCTTCCTCATCATATACACACACTATAGCCAAATGGCGCCGCAAGACGAAAAGAGGCGGCCTTCCGCCCTTAAGCTGGCTCCCTCGCGATCTTCCTCTACCGGCTCCACATCTACCACATCGTCACTGGGCAAACCACCAAGGACACCAAGATTCGCGGAAGCTACTACAGTATACTCGCCGGTGGAGCAACCAGATACGCCGTTTAGAAGAGACGATAGATCACATGTAGCTCACGCTCAACCGGCTGATGTTGGATTTGGATATATCGGAGACGAGTCGAGCCACGTAATAAACATGCCAATGACACCAAAGTCGCCCCTAAAGAGTGCCATGAAGGTACCAGGTACGCCAGGGAGGAAATTTGAGAACCCCTTAAGTCCGACATTCATGGAAGAAGAGATGCTAGAGAAGCGGGAGAAGGACACGGAGAAAGAGCAAGCACGAGACTTGGTAGGTTGAATTACGATCGAGTGTGTAAGAATCTAGACTAACACCCAGTGCAGGGTCTTAAGACGAAAGTGCGGATGGCCAAGTTCGCACTCCGAGGTGTCAGCTTCAGCTGCAGTGCCATTATTCTAGCTATGCTTTCTTCATCCTTCGCTATCTTCCACGCGACCAAGAGTCTACCAGCACAAAACGGCCTGCCTCCATGGGCGACAGGCACGAGCACGTGGCCGCAAATACTCGTGTTAGCTGTCTCCTGCACCAATCTCCTCATCTGCATCCTCATCTTCGTCGGGTACTGCCGAGGAGGTCACCACCGCGCGGAGAAAGTTGGTGTATACTACACGTTGTTCGCAGTTGGCTGGTTCATCGTCTCCGTGATTCTATGGGCTGCCGCTGCAGGTGTCTTGCAATTCACAAGGAACAACAGCGGCAACAAGGACCTGTGGGGATGGGCATGTGTCCAGAACCAACGTGCCGACCTCTTCTCGCAAAAGGTTGACTACGAACTTGTTTGCAGACTTCAGGTGAGCGCCTGGATAAATTTATCCAATTACTTGATCATATAGCTAATAATCTCCTTAGAATTGGGCCCTGATCTGCATCATCATCGAGATCGTAATCGACGTCATTACCATCATCCTCTACAGTGTCGTCTTCTACCGGTACTACACCAAGCGACGTCTAGCCAAGTCGATGGACCTGCGAGACCGCGCTCGATCCGACCTATACCTAGCCCAGCTCCGATCGCAATCAGCCCCCAACACCCCAGGATTCGGCCCCAAGTCCCCATCATTCTCGCAGTACGCCATGTCGCCGCGCTTCCCTCCTTCGGCTTACAAGTCTCTTGGGGATATCTCGGAAGGACCCGCGTTCACGCCGGGAGCGCAGATGGCCGAGCCACAATCCTCCTTTGCGAGCCAACCCAAGAGCGCCGAGAAGCCATTTAAGCTGCAGGCTCCTCCCAGCAAGGCTCCCTCCGCCACCCCCAAGACGAGCCAGGGTGCATTCCGAACACCTACAACACCCACCGCGCCTGGACCCAGCTTCAACTCCAATTTCAACGAGCACGGCCCAGTTGCACCTGGCGAGGTACAATACGATGCCGTACCTATCCCCGGCGCGTATAATGATGCCGTTGTCAAGAGCCCGCCGCCAGCACAGACGAGTTTCAGCCACCCGCGGTAAAATGGGTGCGATATGGGAAGGAAACTAAAAATAAAAATAAAAAATAACTAAACTATTATTTGGATATACTTAATTTCTTTTGTTCAGCTGAGCTGGAAACGGGTCACATCGATCCAAGTTTGGATTCCCACCTACCTACCTATTACTTATCACGCGCTATGTTCTATGTTCTATCATGCAGGAACGTAGGAAAACCGACGAATCAAACTGACCCAACGACGAGGCGGCGTCCTCGAGGTGATATGATTGGGGAGAGGGAGGGTGTGGGTTGTGGGTTGTGTATGAATTTTTGGATACCGGCGAACTTGGAATATACCTCGGGGATGGAACAAGCAACTTTTACATACATCATAATTACCTGCTACAATGTGCATAGCTTTTTTTTTTCTTGAACAACGAGATATCAGTTCAACAAACTACTTCCTCTCAAATTGCTTTCGTTTTCGGTGAGATGTCTATAATAATACATACATACTACTCGCTAACGCATGGCACCCTGGGGTAGGTATGCATGAATGGACCTACATACGCGTCAGATATATACACGTCAGATATTTAGCAGGTAGGCTCTCGTGATATGTAGGTCGTAGCAATGAGACCCTCTCCGTGGCTATGTCGGTACAATACTATGGACGCACAACGTTCTGCAACAAATAAGCAAGGGTTACTTATTGCAGAGCCGCAGGGCTGGCTACACATCTGGGCCTAGTAGGAGTACGGAGAAAGCTCTCCCGGATGGCGCAGTTGGCTCGGGGTGAGAGGAACAAGTGACGAGCGGTCGTGCTCTGGGTCTTGGGTTTATTAATCGGGTTGTATTCTCCGAGCGGTTGTTGAGATTGGAGGTACGATAATTATATATTTGGTAGACCTCGTACTGGGGAATGATGATCTACTTTCATAGGATGTAGGTAAGCAATATATAGATCCATGCTCATAAAGGCGGTGGCTATGAGGTATCAATGGAAATGTGAAAGTAGCTAGTTAAGTAGACTTGAACTTGAACTCTTGTATCTCCATATATCCAAGTGCTGCCAGCTGCTGACCAGCCGTATATCATCATCAGTTCATAGGTGGGCCGTTTCCAAAAGCTTCTCCAAGCTTATAAGCTCCAGCATCATCAATCAAGCCTTGCTCTGGCCTACCTATGTAACCACTTGCGAAGTCACAGCGTACCTACCTACCTACCTACCTATCACCACCGTGGGCGCATACCGAAATCTCAAGTGCAGCAAGGCTGTGGGGGTCAATTCATATCTGAGCAAAATCTTCGCACACGAAAAAAAAAGGAGACGGCCCCCAAATTACTTTTTGGCCTACGGGTTTATCCAATGGCAGGTGGTGGTGCTACGGCGTGCGCGCGGCGGCTACTGGTGCGGCCTGCGTCGCCCTTCCGGTTTCGAACGTACAGCACGCAGCCCCCAAGAGGCTCGAACAACACGGTGAAGTTCTGGCCGTTCCTTGCTATCATCGGCCTGGGGACCGCGGGGTATGTTATGTTGGTAAGGGCTAAGGCCGCGAGCAGGTGAGTTTTTTCATTTTTTTATGTTGTGGTTAGGCTGTGTGGTATTATATTGACGAGTCGTGTTATAGGAATACACCGGTGAGGAGGTTGCAGTAGTGGCATCCTTACAGCCTTATTGGATTTATTCGGCAAAGACTATGTCAAAGTTGATAGATCATATGGTATATTATATGTATGATTATCGATTGGGCGTGGATGGGTTTCCGGTCTGCCAACATACATACATACGTACATGATTCACTAAGCACAATGCTTTCGTTTAAGGCTGAGTGAGAGAAGTTGACTGTATAAGATGGGTAGAGAAGGAAAATAGGAAATACCATGATTAGAGGAAGCTTCTTCGATCACTAATTTGATACGTATAAGTTAAGCTCATCTCCGTCTACTACGACGGAATATATGAGATATCAGCTAAGTACCTGAGAAAAAAGCTGTATTTGAAGTGACGAGAAATAAGAGAAAATATTGCAAAGCAACATCAACTTAATCTAATAAGATATACGGCTATTTATTTTAGGTAATCACAGTATGGTTAACCAATATATAGACATAACTACCTAGGTTATATAATCATGAACGCAAATCAATTGTCTACCAAATGAATCTAATCTCAAGTCTATAGCATCGATATACGTAGTATTATTCGAGGTTGAAAAGGTAGCGGTTTTGGTGTAAACCTGTCCCACAAAGAGGGTCTGTCCTAAATGGGGGAAATGGCGGTTAGTGATTCGGGTAGCCCCGTTATACCTACTCGCCTTAATACATACATATAGTATAGACCTGATTTACATAGGGTCCGAGTAATAACGGTTTGGCGAAGTTTACCTTATTACGGAATACTCGAGGTTGCAATCGATAACGGGTGCAAATAACGAGGGGCTCGCATGAACTTATCATGTGTATCCCTGTTCCCGCCCAGCTGGCCAATAGATGAACAGGTACCCAAGTACCAAGTATCAAAATGCGGGACATATCAAGAAATTAAGCCTGTACCACTCATTCATTCACACACACACACATGAGATTCCACTATGCCAACATAGCATAGCTTCACCCGGTAAACAAACCCCCCTTTTTTCTTGCTCCTTTTTTCCTTCGTCTTCTTCTCTTCCTCCTACTCCTCCATTCGTTCCTCCCTAGAACTAGACCTATCAAACAAATACCTACCGATTAGAAAACAAACCAGCCAAGCAAGAGATAGATAGACAAAGGCAAAGCCAACCAACCTATTCAAAATGTCCACCATCGACACCCTCAAAGACCGCACCACCCCCGTCTTCTCCCCCGACGACGTCACCGTCATATTCGTCCTCGGCGGCCCCGGCGCCGGCAAAGGCACCCAATGCGAGCGCCTAGTCGCCCGCTACGGCTTCGCCCACCTCTCCGCCGGCGACCTCCTGCGCGCCGAGCAGAACCGCCCCGACAGCGAGTTCGGCGACCTGATCCGGCACCACATCCGGAACGGCCTGATCGTGCCCATGGAAGTAACAATCGCCCTGCTCGAAGCCGCCATGCGCCAGATCCTCGACGAGACCTCGACCTCGACCGACGCCGCCGCCCAAGGCCGCAAGAAGGGCAAGTTCCTGATCGACGGGTTCCCGCGCAAGCTCGACCAGGCGCTTAAATTCGAGGAGGCGGTCGTGCCCGCGCGCTTCGTGCTGTTCTACGACTGCCCCGAGGCCGAGATGGAGCGCCGGCTGCTAGAGCGCGGCAAGACGTCTGGTCGCGAGGACGACAACGCCGAGTCCATCCGCAAGCGCTTCCGCACCTTTATCGATACCAGCATGCCCGTAGTCGATTACTTCGAGAAGCAGGATCGCGTTGTCAAGGTCGACGCTCGTCTGAAGCCGGACGAAGTCTTCGCGATTACCCAGAAGGAGATCGAGAAGCGCCTCCACCTCTGAGTCTGAATTGAGCAGGCTATATTTAGTTAGCTAGCTAGAGCTGGTCGTAAAGCGAAGCTTTATTACTACGTTAGGTAGGCTTGTGAGCCGTGACGGCGGGGAGGTAGATTTCAAACGAAGGGAAAGGGGTAGTTATTCCGGATAATATAGAATCTAGGCATTTCCATCCCATTATTGTTATTATAGAGAGAGAGAGAAAAGAGATACGATTATGAATGATAACGGACTATGAAGAATTAGGGGATATATAGGTAAATGCAGAGACAGCCAAGGGTCTGTCTGGGTTGCATAATCTACGAGGGCGAGTAGCGATTTTCTATAAGATAGAAAGAAGCACAAGCAAGACATCTGTTGATGAACTCTTGCGATTAAAATGCGATGCGCAACGCATTCCCAGGCAACTTTTCTGTATCCTCTAAATACAAGTCGTGAAGTAACGCGGGGGGGCCAATCCTCATCATCTATACTTGGGCCATGTGACATTCCACTCCTCCCTCCTGCAAACCTGGAGCTTCAACATAATGCAACGTAAACCGCAACCGATCGCGACGAGATGAATGCATCGCCACGTAGCTAGCCTCCGACCACCGCGTATTAAACCTGGAAATCATTCGCAACCGAATTAAAACTCTCGCCCTGCAAATCCGTAAGACGCCGTAGACCATACCTGATGCAGACAATCCAAAGACGGAAACGTCGAGAGAAGAGAATATGCCTTCGTCTAATCATCATCCTCAGTTCGCTCTCTGCGAGGCGCTCGCTCGCTATGGTTGCCACCTCCTCGGCGTCCACCACCAGCACCTGACTGGTTACCGCCACTAATACCCGCGCTCGCTAGGCGTCGCTCGAGTTCTTCTGCCTCGCGTTTCTTATGCGCATCGGCGTTGGCTTGCTCTCGGCGTAGGTTAGCGATCACATTAGCGATCAGGGTTCGCCAGCCATCGAGACGGTCGCCGACCTCGCGCCATTGCTTCTCGCCGAATACTCGGTAGAATGTCTGGTGGACCAGGAAGTGCTTCTTCTGCTGCGACAACTTTCCTTCGACTAGGCCGGCACGAATTACATCGATCGTCCACATCTCCACCTCCTCGATGGGAATCTGAAGGGCCTTGGCGATGTTCTCGTAAGGGATCTCGCGGTTGGGGGTGCTAGCTGCTAAGCTCGCAAAGGTGAGCAGTCGGATCTTGCGATGAAGTCTGTCTCCGTCAAGGTGTTCCTTCTCAATGAAGCCCTCGTGCTCGTCGTTGAAGTCTTTGTAGTCCTCTAGATCCTTCTCGGCGAAGATTGTGAGTAGTTCGAAGTAGAGAGGGTGGGAGTCAGAGAGCGCTTGAATCGCGGGGACGGCAAGAAGGTCTTGGAAGTCGTTGTGGGTAGGAGATAGAAGTGCCGTCTTTAAAGCACGGAGGGCAAATTGCTGGGCCTCCTCTGACTTAACGTCTTCTTCATCGAATGTGCGTAGAGCACTGAGGACATGCTGGTAGGAAGCCCTATCCAAGGTACAAGATTAGCAATTGACCAAGTAAAACTATGCGAAATTGTAACTCACTCGTCATCGCCTGCATCATGAGCTACCTCCGCCATCTCGAGGAATAGCTTTCGCTGATCCTCGTCGTCAGTCTCCCACTGCTTTAGCCACTCTTTGATGTTAGGTAAGGCCTTCTTAAGATTGTCGTACATGCTATTCAACTTGATGAATCGCAAGATTGCCATGAGGACGTTGAAGCGCAACTCGTAGTTTTGCTCGTTCTCTTGCTGAAGCAGATTGAAGATGGTGGTGAGTGCCTGGAGAGCGAGTGCAGGGCCGTGAACTGGCGAAGAGGTGACGGGCTTCATGAGATTGTCGCAAACTCGGGGGAGGAACATGCCGACGTGATCAGATTGCAAGACCAGGTAGATCAGCAGGTTGTAGTTAGCAGTAAACTCTCTCTCGGGAACCGAGTGTAGAGAAGTAGATGCGATGATGAGCTTCTTGAGCACCTCATCTTGCTGATCCTTCTCGTCCTTCTCAAGAATAGACTGGACTTCGTCGCCAACATTGAGGTGGTTGGCCAAGTCCTGAGCTAGCTCCGCAAAACTGCCGTCGACGAAAGCATACTGCTGACGCGATTCTTGCTGCTCCTCTTGAGCGGCCATGTTGCAATCGAAAATATTGTCGGAAGACTCTTCAAGTAGTTCCTTAGGTTGCTCCTCGATTACGCGCTCAGCAATTAGCTCTTCGAGTCGGTGGGTTACGTAATTGAGAAGCGCTTGGGTGTGATCGACGTCCGGGTATTCGTCACTTTCGTCGCCGGAGTTGTCGTCGTTAGGCTCTTCGCAACCGCCACCGGAGTCGTCGTCTTCAGGTTTGAGATGGAAAATTGGCGAGGTTGATGTGGAAGAAATGGCCTGGCTTGGCACCTTAAAGTGTTGGATTGGCCTGTGGTTCTTTTTCTTGGAGGGCTGGCGTCGTCTTCCGCGGCGTGTTCCAGCTCTAATTTCTTCTTCGGAGTCGTCGTCGCGAAGTGCAAGCTGAAAATGTAAATTTGCTGGTGCCGAAATGGCGGGGTTATTATTCTTAGGGGCCCACATCTTTGGTACAATGGTGGTAGATTTGTGTATTGTTTAGCCGAAGATTACCCGGCGCTAAGAGATTACCCGGCGCTAAGAGATTATCCGGCGCTAGGCAGAATTATTTGGCGCTAAGAGATTATTTGGCGCTAGGTAGAATTATTTGGCGCTAGGCGAAATTGTTAGGCGCTAGGCAAAACTGTTTGTCCGGTCTGCAAGGTCCACTGTAGGTGGGCAGACCTGAGTGGGGCCAAGTATTGGTGGGGCCGTGGCGGGAGCACCCGGATAAGCTTTGGATTTAGGGCGGGTGCACACAGATAAGCTTCAGACGATTGTGGCGGGTACACACAAATAAGCTTCAGACAATTGTGGCGAGTGCAGGTCTCGGATAAACCCTGGGTTGCTTTGGTAAGTGCACTCGGATAAACTTTAAGCCATTGTTTGTACAGCTTTAAAGCTTTGATGGAGAATGATTTTTCCACTCAAGCATGCATGCACGTGACTGATCAGCACATGATTGGATCTGAACAATTTATGTAAATTCATAATACATCACGTGCACTGCATGTGTTTGCCTGGGAAATGGGTGCCTAAAAGATTACCTAACCTCCCCCTCCAGTACTATGTACTTAGGTACATTATACTTACTACCCGTTTAGGTTTAGATTAAATCTAACTACTCTGATGGTTATTTCCAAAACCACATTATGCTTCACCCATCCCACCAAACTGGGGACTATGAACTCGATATTATAATGCTTTAGAAGACTTTATTAAACTTGTCTTCGCATGCAAGGGAAATGTAAGTCTATGAGGCTTATTTAACTATTTAAGTGTTTACTAAAGTCATTAATTATATGATATGTAGTTATGAGTCTTGTCCTTAACTTTTATCAACAAGTTTTGCTAAAACGGGGTTTTAAATTTCACAACATTCCTTTCCATCAACTAACTAACTAGTTAATCAATTAATAGACATACGACTTAGTAACTGGGTAACTAGTTGAATCCTTAAAGTTATAGATCTTGTTTAGAGATAACTTGCCAATTTCTGTCTAGTGATGAATATTGGTGTAGACCCCTGAGTCAGCAATATGAGTAGCAGAGTATGTAATGATAAGAGGTAGCTTACAACGGCAATAGGTAAGATCACGCGCTGCCCATCTCTATCGTTCCTTAAATGTCACTGCAAGTCCAACTATGACACTAATAAACTCCGAAGTAGATGTTAGTACTAAGCTTAGGTGATGATTAACCTTACTTATATATACCTTCTTGTGTGGGGTGAGAATATGCAGTATTTACAGACAATATTTTACCTCATATGGGTTATATCGTTCTTAACATGTAGATGCTGTGATGTAGGCTTAGAGCTCTTGTTGCTAGTTGTTTTATCTAAATGGCTCTCGAGAGTGCTGTCTACCTAACCATGTGGACCTGGATAGACTGTCTAGCTAATCTAAAGTAGCAAACCAGAAGCCAGTTACCAGTGTCGGAAATAGATGATATACTAACCCTAGCGCTCGTATGACTTTAACTCACACAACCCTGATAAACGCCGAATGTTACATATTGAGATTGATCCGCGTTATGGTTTAGCGTGGAAAAGCATAACATAACATATGTGTAAAATTAAATAGTAAATGTATTGTGACGTGCCGTTACGCGGCGGATTGATGTCTAATGTAGACGATTTGAACGATTGGCTCTGTGAACAGCCAGCCACCAGCCCACTTTCCCAATTGAGACAGTCAAGTTCCCTTTGGCGAACCCCTGAGCGTACTTAACTTAGGCATGTAAGGCAGTCTAAGGTGAAACGGGTTGCCCTGCGTCTTTACGAGGATCCGGGTTCTTTAGCCTCGAGGGCCATTCGATTCTTCGATGTTGGTCCCTGAACCGAAGCTGTACGCAACATATGATTTATCGAAGCTTCGAAGGTTCTCAAGGATATTGGAATATGGATAGGAGTATCTAGTTTATGGAGTAAAATATTATTAGCCTCTTATCTCAAAATCTACGTAATAGGGATAAAGGACAAATACGTCGATACTGCGGAATATGTTCATTTCGTGATGCATTGCCGGCATTGGTATGTACCTATCTCATAACACTTTGAGGGGCGATCGCAAACCGGATCTTTAAGGCCTTCACGTCCGAAATCTATATTGGGATTGAACTACGCATATGGAATGGCCAAAAGCGGGAGAAGGATTATCACTAGGCTGACGGAAAGGTGACTCTTTGAGGTGTGATGACGAGAGCTACATGTATGTACTAATATTGACATTAAAGGACCTGCACATAATAACGCCAGCATATGGAAGGGTAGTGACTTATCCACTCTCCTTCTTTTGACTAGATTATTTTCTGACATGACAAATATTTGCTTTTGAAATAGATGCTATCCATACAAATATATACCTATATATACAGTATATTACCACAATTTAGAAAATTAATCTAGGTACGAGAACGCACGACATTAGCTTACCGATCTTCAGGAACGGGGGTCTTTAGCTCTTTGACTTAATCGATAGGTGGAAAGGGACCCGTCATGCGACCGTTTGGCCCCGACATCCCGAGTCTTAAATAATAGGTACATACGACAACAAGGAAACCAGTGCCTGCGTCTGCGCCTACTGCATAGTACGCCTGTGCCATAGTGGGAATTGGCTTGCACTTGCCTAACTTTCCCAAGTTTCAGCTGAATAATAAATAAAGAGGCGTGATTTTCAACATTAGGCTTGCCAAGAAAATAACAAGTTACGAAGCAATCGACAAACAAATAATCCAGGACGCAACATCGCTGGAGGCCAAAATACCACCTTTTTAACTAGAGGATATTAGAGGGGGATTTCCCAACAACTATCAAGCCTCGACTAATGGTCTTTTTCTTCTTGTCCTGAAGGCACTTGAAGAAAGCATTGAGAAAAAAGCAGCCGATTTATTAAAGCTTGGGAACCGTCCGGATTCATGCGCTGTTCCTAATACATACCACTTCTTCAGAATAGCCAAGATTAATTACTAGTGTGAAGCATCGCACCCTGGCTGGCGATCCGACGCGCCCTAAGCGTTGGTGATACAAATAAGAGGCGGCAACGAAAGACAGCATTGGTATCTAAGAGAGCCCCGGAGGCAACTCACCATGTTTGACCGTTTACGAAGTTCCTCAAAGGATCACGGCGCGCCGGCGATGGATAGGAAGAAACTCGAGGCCTGGCAGAAATCACGCTCTCAGGGTGTAAAAGGAGGAGACGCGCATTACCAGTATTCTATCAAAGGAGGAGCACCTCCGCCCCCGAGGCCGCCGAGAGACCCCGTCTACCCGACTCAACGGTAAGGCTTTATCTTCATTTTAGGTGGTATATTCACAGTTTGGAACCGCCTGGTTTAGCCATGGGCAATGTGGAAACGATAGTACGTCGGCGGGCGACGGCCTTCTGCACGTTGTAATAATCACATGTATTTCCCGGCTCATCTGGTCTGTTTGTGTCAGCGAATTGAAGGATTGGATAAACAAATTCGGTCGACTCGAAACGAAAAAAAAAAGGAGCTGAAGAGGATCGTAATCCTCGCACCGCATTCGTCAGATTACTCACACATGTCGTCCTCCTCCCAATTCTACATCGCATTATCTGATCTACGAGACGATGCTAATGTCACGATATCGCAGTCAGCAGAATCGGCAAAGTCTCCAACCTGCGCCCCCCGTACAAGCGCCGAACCAAAATCGCAATTCGAATTACCCACGTCCCGTATCCTCCGTCTACTCACAACCTTCGCCGGCCGCCGCTACCTTCGCTGCGCAACAGCTAAGAGTTGAAGTCCCGCCTTACAATCAGCCTTATAATCCGAATGAAGTTTCCCCGCCGAGTTCCCCTGACGCCTTTTCACCACAGGACGAGTAAGTGCGATCATTCCTTTTTTTCCCTTAGGCCTATTGGAAGGGAATGGAAACAACTATCTATGAGAAAGAGTAAGGGGGGAAGGGAGAAGGAGTAAAGAGGATTGAGTCAGTGGCATGGAAAGATGGACTGGTGGTGACTGTGTTTGGCGTCATGCCTCATATCACCATCGTCAACCGGACATATCACCTCTCCAATCCCCTGTCCTCTGTGTCATGAACTTGGCGCTCTTTTTGGGAGTTATTTTTGGAATGACGCCCCTACTTAAACCGTCAATTGATACCAAAACCTTTGGATACATCATGAAGATCAAAAACCTTTTCTGTTCGAGCAGAGACGTCGTGAGGTTTAAGCTAATATCCCTCTCTTGTTTCAGGCCTAATCCAGGTGATGTTTCTCCTATCGACGATATCCCAGGCATGTCTCAACTCGCCATAGACCCTCGGGGTCCCGCAAAGAATGAATCTCGCGCCAATATCCCAGCAGCCCGTCGCGAGCGTCGGAAGAACTCAGACGCTGCCATGAATGCTCTTCGAGAGGCCAAGTCTCGTGAGAGGCTAAAGCAGCAGCGGCCATATGGCCACGATGTACGCTGGGACCCGGATACCGGGGAGCCTACTACAGATACGAAGGGTAGACCATCGCAAGTAAATCCGCAACAATATGTTCAGGGCCTTGGTGATCGCCCAGGTTCGGTATCTCCGCCACCGATCAAGCCGGCTCACCAAGGCCCCATTTCTTTTGGCGACCGTTTGCGTCGAATACGACAAACCAGCGGTAGCCCTCAACCTGAATCAGCTCCACGACCGGCATGGCGAGGAGCTAGTGGTCGAACGACTCTCGTTGCACCTGTGAACGATACGAAAGACGTAGCCCCACTGCAGCTACCTCGCAAAAGTAGTAAACGAGTGGCCCGTAACGTTGGTGCTTTAGCTCGTATCGACTCTGTCGATTCTGAAATTACTTCCCAGCCGCAATCGCCCAGTATTGCAGTTACCAATACAAACGCCAATCCGCATACGTATCCGAGTTCACCCCTTTCGAACGATAACATGGCCGGCAATCCTCCCCAGCAATCTCTGCAAGTCCCAACGAACGACAAGGCAGTTCGTAGGAAGCCAACGGGAGCCCCCGGCCACCAGCCACATCAGTCAACCTCCTCATCCGTATACTCCCAACAAGACATCCACCCAGCCCAGGCACCACCTGACACATCCCCAGAGGGTTGGACGCAACCGCCTTCTCGCTTCAGCGTCACCACATACGCAACATCAGACCAGTCAACCCATAGGGAGAGTATAGAAGAGGACGCGCCGCCGGTGCCCGCTGCTCCAGAGCCCTCGATCCTTGACCGCAAGCGTCCGGTAGTCTCAGGCTATGATAACAACTCCCCACGACAAAACAGCCCCGTCGAACCTGTCAAGATTAGCTTAGATTCGTACTACATGACGGGGGCCGGAAGCAGTGTCAAAGGCAGCAGCACCAGCAAATCTAATATCAAGAACAAGACTATGAATAACATTAGCCTCCACGACAACAGTTCGAAACTTTCAATCACATCGACAATGGATAAATCCCTCCCCCCAGCACCACCCGAGACGCAGTCACTGGAAGCTCAGGATCGTGTGGCGCAGCTAGACGCACGGTTACGGGCGCTAGGTAATCGACGCATCAACCTAAACACTGCGATCAAGCAGATGACGGAGCTTATGCCGACGGATCACATCCTAGCGAGCGAGGCAGTGGCGCGACGACGCGAGGAAGAAAAACGCAAAGTGGAGACGCTGCGGCTCGAGCTGGCCGATGTTGAGCGCGAGAGCTATGATCTTGGGCTAAAGCTACACCGCGCCTACAAGAGACTCGATCGCAATGCGGAATACGAGCCGACCACGTTGTGGGTGAGGAGGGTTACGGGGTAGTAGTACCAGAGCCAGGGAGTAGAGAAGAAGGGAACAAGCGAACATAGGTTATTAGGCGGGTGTAAGGGTAATAGTAGCAACGGTGTTGGCAGCGAGATTTACGTCGTTGAAGAAGCACTGGATTGCTCGCCTTCCATAATACGATACCCAGAACGAGTTGAGACTTTCCTCATGGGAAGGGAAGCGAGGGTGATAAGCATCCTCGAGTTTTATTTGTGAGCTTTTTTGGTCGTTTGTTTTCAGAAATAAGGGGCGGTCTACTGGGACGCTATACCATGCTATGCTACGACTACGGTACGACTATGTCACGCTTCGTCTTATTTCTTTTTTCGGTTTATTTTCGCTTTCCGTGCTCCCCCCTTACTCCTCCCTTACTATCCGAGGAGAAGAGCGGGGCCGATTGAGATTAGGAAGAGAGGAGGGGAGCCATCGAGATACCTAGGTATGTATGTAGCAGGCACGCAGGTGGAAGCATGGAGTTGTGCGGCATGTTCATTTATGTGGCTTTTTGTTTCTGGTCCCCGCGGGGCGAGGTCAAGTGTAGGATAGGTAGAGAGGAAAGTCAGGGAGGGTAACGAAGGGAAGTGTAATCGTAAATATGAATGCGAATGAGTTTAAATATTTGAGCGTACCTTGTGAGCGGACGTAGATCAATGCGGTTTGCGGTATGCTATGTATACGAGCAGACGTAAAGGGGTAAAGAAAATAAAGGGTTGTGCAAATATTGTATAAGGAGAGAATCTAGATGCAGTGAGATTTCAATTAGGTCCTAGAGTGACTTCTCCCTTTCTCTTCTTGCTTGTCTCCTTATGTATACTGGTGTAAGTCCCGTTGTTCTCTTGTCTTCAGATATATGCACTACACTTACATAGCTGTTCTCTTTCATAATACTGTTAGTGCAGGATGCGTTGTGGACATTAAGTAGCAAAAAGAGGCATGCATGTAGATGCAGAGAAAGAAACTATAATCTATCCCAGCGAGGAGACAAACGAAGGGCCATCATATATATATAACAGGCAGGTATGGAATGGAGTAGTTATTGGAATTGTGTATAAGTAGCTAGTATTTTCGACTGAGCTCAGCCACGAATTAAACCTTGGCTAAGGTACGCGATCACTCCTATGTAGACACTACCTTAGGCCAAACAGACCCCTTTTTTCGAATCCATGCTGAGTATCTCTATAAACAACGACTAACCGCCAACAAACACATCTGCTTGGTATGCTAAAATCATGTGTGCCTATCCGCCTATGTACTTTTTCCACGCCTGCCTCATCACCTCGTGCTCTTTCTCTCTCCAGAATTAGGTCGATAAAACCTTCAAGATGGTCTATGTACTCAAAGACAATTCGCGAAAAAAGGGTACGTCGCGCCTTGTAATAAAGCCAGAAAAGTAGGTAGGTAGGCCACGCAACCCCGGACACAACCCCGTACTTGTACAATACCCCGTACTTGTACAATACCCCGTACTTGTACAATACCCCGTACTTGTACAATATGATCATAATGCACAAAACTTTTGGGTATATTTACGGAATTGAAAGCCCTCTTCGAACTAAGTAATGATGATAAACCAAGAACCTCTCCAACTGCGTTTCGAGCTTCGATTATCGCAAAGATACTTCGCCTTTTTTAATGCGAGACTCCGGAAAGCTCAGACCAATAGACATAAACGTTATCATCAAGGACGTAAACGTTATCATCAAGGACGTAAACGCTATCATCAAGGACGTAAACGTTATCATCAAGGACGTAAACGCTATCATCAAGGACGTAAACGTTATCATCAAGGACGTAAACGTTATCATCAAGGGAGTCCGTGGCCCTATCCCGCTAAGCCCTTCGTACTTGAAGGTTCATTGCTGGCTCTGCGGGGTGGTAGACTCGCGGGTATATCTCCATCTGAGTCGCTGTCTGAAGAGTCGTTATCATCCACTATTACGGGGGCTGACGCCGAGCCGCTTCGTTGGGGAGTAGATCCCTCTATCGTGGTATCGGTTGGGGAAACTTGGTTTGACTGAGGGAGGTGGGATGAGACTCGGTAGCCTTTGCGTTGTAGTGATGAGAGGCTATTCTGCTCAGGTGATTTCTGGTGCTGCTGTGAAGAAGAAGGCTTCGGTAGTGTAGGGTCGGTGGTAGCTGCTGTTGCGCTCGATCCGCCTAACCCAGATGACATATCTGCTACAGGTATATGATTACTGTTAAGTTCGGGGCCATTGCTACTTAGAGGAGCCTGAGGATTTGGATGAGAAGGGCCATCTTCAGTTCGTTGACGCTTCGCGCTTGGTGTATCCTCTGCCTGGACGGGATTGCTATGCTTGAAGCCCATACGTTGACGCTCGTTGTCAATCTCAGCCCTTGTCCGCCGGTTTCTAAGCCGAACGCCGTACTTCTTCCTGATAATACTCTGCTTAGTGCTGAAACTATTCTGCAGACCATCGATCTTGAGTTGCCGTTGAGCTGGATCTTGTATCGCCTCTGCTTCTTTGAATCGAGCGGTATACGTGAGCTCGGCTTGCCGTAGTTCGTCGTCCAGTCTCTCCCGTGTAGCAGGATGCAAATGGGCATACGCATCCTGCTCCTTAGGCTGAGATCTGGGAGTCGATACCGGCTGATGATATACAGGTGCCGCAGTATGCTGAGGTGTGGCAGGGAGCTTTTGCTGGCTTCCCGGAGGGTAAGCTAGCGTTGACGGAGGCTGAACCGGGCTGTTGTTGCCTGATGAGAGCGTGATAGGCGACCCAGCGTTCGCCGGTCCTTTAGGCGTTGCTGGCACGGTACCATGCTCACCGCATACGTGATTGGCAACATGCTGTCGTTTATATTAGCTATTTATTTGCAAGGTCAAGGATAGATTCGCTTACATATTGCTGACCAACTTTAGTAATGAAGCCGGCACCGCAATACATGCATGAAAAGGGGAACCCTTCCTTATTCGGAGGTTCTTTAGTGCACACTTGCTTTTGAACATGCTATCTTTGGGTTAGCGCCAAATGTGTCCAAGGGAGTTGATGAAGACTCACATATTCGTAAGGCTGCGGGTTCTCAAACTTGCGCCAGCACAGAGGACACTGCAACACGGTGGGAGGAGCCGGACCACGTGCTAGTGGTTGCAACTGAGTCGGCATGCCAGGCTTTTGATGTGGTTTCGAGATAGGCGTAATTTGGACAGGTTGGGGTGACGGATCGAAGGGTGCTGGATTGAATCTAGACCTGTTTCCTTTCTGGTCATCAAGCACATCGCTATTCTCATAACCAAGACGCTCAGCGCGAGCAAGGGCGTTGATTAGAGAGCGCGCGTCAATAGTCCTTAGTCGTTTCTCCAGCGCTTGGTCTAAGAAATAGTCACTGGCCTTTTCGAGTATTTCATTGACTAGTTCATTCAGATCAGCAGTTGAGAGGTGGGAGATAATCTCGTGCTTTGATTCGGACACCATCTTGGCACCAAAATCCTTGATAGACCGTCGAATTATAACCCCGTTAGAATGGTGAATAACAGCGTTCAACTGGTAATACGTTAGTAAGTGGAGTTTAGGTTATCAAGTCCCGCGTATGTAGGAACGTAGGCGAAGTCCCTTCTTGGGTTGAAGGCGCAAAGGTCCTGGGGGGTCTAGGGGACGGGGGCGACGCAAGAAAAATAAATGACAATGCGCCAAATGATATTGTGGAAAAGTGCGAAATCTGTAAGAGCGCACAAGTCCACTAGGGATCACTAAAAGCTCCAAATAGCTGCTGATCTTGTGATGTAATCCCAAGGATGCAAGAACAATTGAATGTATTTGGGAAAGCGTAATGTGAGAGGGAGATAATAGCTAACAAACAACAGCTAGAAAACGTGGTGGGAAGGATGAAATGTCACTTAATAGTAATATGACGAGTAAGATGAGAATAAAGAGGTTGAATGATAGGGCAGTATAGTTGAAACGTAGCTGAAAGGAAAGAGGAAAATACACACAAGGAACGCGTGATGAAATTCTGAACCAAGTAGACACTTCTCCCAGTTATCGCGAATGACCCTTCTTACCGCAGCGGGAACAGATTGCTGCATAGCATGAGTGAGACGAGATAAGTCATCGGCAAACTTGGGGTTCTCGAGATGGTGCTCTCTTCGGGGAGACGGGAAGCCTTGGGTAGGAGAGATGTTTGGTAGCTGCGAGTTGCTTCTCGGTCGCGAATAGGCTCGGGGCGGATCTACGATGGAAATCTTATGCGCCGATCCTGTGGAAGATTGGCGCTGCAAAGGTTGACGCGGTTGAGAATGCGGATGCGGCGAGGAAGGTGTATATATTACCATTGGTTTGAGTGGTTTTGCTACTATGGGAGTGGGTGTAGAGGTATAGACAGGAGCCGGAGGTGGTGCCGGCGCAGGTGCCGACGAACTTGCCGCTACTGCCGCTACTGCCGCCACCGCCCGGGCTGCCCATGACGGTGTCGCAGTCGCAGTCGCAGTCGGGGACGGCACTGCCGGTTGAGCCGGTGTTGTCGAACCGGGCGACCCCTTTGCCGGAGGTGTCGGTTCTGAACCGGTAGCCGCATCCCCATTAAGGCCATTGATGCTACGAGGGAGACCGTTTGGGTAGTGTGTTTCCGGGTTTGGCGGAGGGTTCACCGGCTGGTTACCCGGCGACGACGGAGCTTGCACCTGTTGTGTAGGTGATAGACTAGGCCCGGGAGGCGCAGCAGCTGTTACAGCCGTTGCAGCTGATGCAGCCGGTGCTGATGGCGGTTGTGCTTCCATAGCCGATCAGTCGGTTTGCTAACGTTAAAATGTGGATGATTCCTTAAAGGGTCCACGCGCCGCCTTTGTACATAAAATTGTGGTAAATACTCTTGTATTGTACTTAAGAGGCTTTGCTTGGTGGGGACGCGCTCTATAGGTTTTTTCTCTTTCCCTTTTTTTAATCCTATAATGAGCCACTTGCCTGCACCTTTCTCGGTTTTTGTCCACCTAAAGATCCTCTCTTCTTATTGCTTTGTTATTGGTGCCTGATAAAGCTATTAGCGCACGTATTCATCTGACCGCATGACATATTATATCAGTCAGGTATTTACTTACTGTTCCTAGGGAAGAGAGTCTAGCAGGCTCCTTTTTTAACAGTATAAACGTACCAACACCAGCAGGAATAACAAACGGACAAGGTAAAGAGGATGTCCCAGACTATTAAAGTCTTTTTAACTTTTTTAACTGGTGGGGCCACATAATCTACATTTATTAGTAGCTGATTTTACCTCCGATTAGTGCTAATTAAATAAGGAAAGTGGATGTACTTAATATTTGGGCAACTTATAAATGGCCCACGCTCAAAGAGAAAGCTCATCCATGATTGGCTCGTACTCCATCCTGCTACGCGAGAGGTGTGACATTGGCCCTTCTTTAACATGGGAAGCCCCAAATGTCTTAACCCGGATGAATCAATAAGGTTCCAGTACAATCCACGTTCTTTTTTAAGTACCTGAGGGTATCCTTTCTTCTTTGCGACCGGAAAGCTTATCAAGTACATTGGGTGCAATACGTAATGTAAGTAACACCTGGGCATATTAGGTTAAGGTAGGTACTGTACCTCATGCAGACAATTTTTGATTTATTAATATCACCCTTAAGCCTTGCGTGACATCTCCTCGACTGCTATGTACGTAAGGTATATTTCATGTGCACGGGCTACGCTCCGCACTAGTAATTTGTGGGTGCTTAAGGTAGGTAATGGGTAATGTTTCGACGTTTATATAAGTAAGTGTTCATATCTAACTGCGGTGCGATGCATTACAAACAAACCTGTACATCTCTCATACTATGTAAGAGGACAATTTGTTGGGTCTCGGGAAATAGTGTAAGACAACAGAGAACTAACCCGGACGCTAGGACTAAGATCTTTTATTGAACAAGGCCGTCCTTATCCCATCCGAGATGGGCTTCGAAGAAATTATCTAGTTACACGATCGTATTGTACAAACCCGGTTTACGGCTTACTAAACAGGGCTAAGAAGATACAAAGTGCTGATATATCATTTTCATATATCGATACAGTTTAGGCTGTTTATACAGTTATTGAAAAGGGGAAATTAAATAACGATTATATGACTGGTCAATTAAATTTTTACTTAGTTCGTCCAAAACGCGGTCCGCGATCCTGCAGAAATTCCCGATTCCCGTCTTCGCTGTGCCACACAGCACAAAGTCAGATCATTTTGCTATTCAAGTCTCCTTATCATTTAGGTAGGTAGTCTCTCACTCATTCAGTTTTCCGGGACTTTGAATTGGTACTGCTCCCCGCGGTCAAGATAAACGACTCGCTTATTCCACCCCTCCTCGTCAACTTTCTTCTTAAAATCCGATAGAGGCGACAAGAAGACATCATAGTCGTCGTAATGGATTGGGATGGTCACGTCCGGGTTCATGAGCTGCATCAGCTTCAATCCTTGCTCGGCATCCATCGTCACCATTAAAAGGGGTATTGACGGGCTCGGAATTGTCGTCCCGCCTAGGTGCACCAGCATGAGGTCAATCTTCGCGTTCTTAAGCCGCTTCGGGATTTCTTTCAGCTCGTCTACAAATAACGTGTCTCCCGAGATATAGATGCGGTAACCCGTGTCGATGGAGCCTGAATCACCTCCAGTCGGGTTCGTAAAGCTATAACCAAGCTCAATAAGCCACCCGTTCGTTGGCGGCACGGCTTGGAGGAGGTCGTTGACCATAGCGAGCGGCCCCGGAGGCACGTGTTTCCCCGGCATTCCCGTTACCTTGATGACTGGCACCTTGCCGTACCCACCCGCATGAGACGGGTCTTTGCGGTCAATGTGGAGTATCATGCTCTCGAAGAAATCTAGATCGTGCACAGACTGGAACGGGTCTTCTTTGGTCTCGCCCGAGAGGCATTCCTTAGCATGTGGAGTCGTGATGATATTGAACGCCCTGTTCAGCGATTTTTCAACGAGCTGGTCAAAGTGATCCTCGTGGTAATGAGACAGCAGGATACAGTCAATGGCTGGCAGCTCATGTAGATCTACCGCCGGGTCTGTCTTCCGCTGAGCAGTTACTCCTGGACCCAAATGCACGTGGTCGCCAGCATGCAAGAAGTTGGGGTCGGTAAGGATTCGAAGTCCTTGCCACTCGATGATTGTTGTTGCTGTACCTACAAAGTATATACTTGCATCTTCATTATTATTAGACCCTTGAGGGTTGGTGTGAACCTTTTTCACCGGTAATTTCGTGGTGTCTTCATTAGGGGCCGTTTGATCTTTGAGTAAGGGTTGCCTCTTTAATGGATTAAGATGGAGGTGACGCATCGAAGTCATCTTGAACCGTGTTATTTTATTGATCAATCACTCCAAAGCATTGTCTACCTAGTTAACCAATGCGATACTCTGAGAGTAAGCCAACTATTCTATAAGCAGGCCTCTATCATGACGTGGACCTTCATATTGGATGATGCAATACACATTTCAATCGCCACGAACTTCTTATGCGTACTGGCGACCTACCTATCAAAATGAATGCACTAATCCTTCCCCTAGCTTTCAATAATGGGTTTTTATGAGCATTACTATTTCAGTAGTATTGGAATTTCAGTAGTAGTACCTTTTAAAAAGCCACAGTCAAAGTGGGGCAAACAACAGGTACATACCCCCCCATACAATTTTTCCCGTATCTTTTTGTACTTCATGTTCATTCTTCTTGGGCATGCACTACAATTCTTATGTACACAACGCCTTTCGACCGCCTGGCAATACCCTTATCTCGCACCTTATCTTACGGCCGCGACGGCTTTTCATTCAATTCAATTAAGTCGATTTAATTCAACTCAACTCAATTATTATGCAAGGCCCTTAGATCTAATTATATTACTATTACTCGATCGCATCCGGGTAAAAAGGCTGAAAACGAGGTCTGGGTAGCTGTATTATATAAGATGATTGATTGGATTAGATAATGCGGCTGGGTGCATCTTGGACTACGCGGGATTGACATGAAAGATACATGCATATACCGATAAAACTGTATGGGAATACATGTAGTACTTATGGGACTCCCGCGTGACCCCCGCTTGTGGCTGGATGATGTGGCTAGTAGAAGGTGGGTCTGAAAAAGGTACTACTACTGAAATTCCAATACTACTGAAATAGTAATGCTCGTTTTTATATGATGTAGGTATGAAGCAATTATATTTTATAGTTAACGTTATAACGTTAATTATAAGAAATGTGGCAAGTCGCATTCCAACGCCTAATATATACATGTTGTTCTCAACTATCGGGTTACGGGAATAGGCAAATCGCATTAAAATAAAGCATGGATACGAATCATATATGAAACGCGCAAGTAAATTTTAATGTCTGAGAATTCTCATCATACTTTATCAACGCAACGCAAACGTCATTGACTATGAGCTATCCTCGTAAGACTGCTAATCTTAAGTAGGCTAACGAGAACTTTGCATATACTGTACATACACATAGGTCGCTAGTAGTCCCTATGAAGCTGTTCTTATTTCAAGTAGGCGAGGAAGAAACATGCCTAAATGGAAGTCAAACTCCTTAGACCTTTGGTCAAATCCTCAGACAAGTGAGCTTCAGATCTCACATCCTTCCTCCTCCTTATCCCTAAAGCATCAAAAGCTGTAATTGCGGAGCTACACCAAACAAATAACGAAAAAGAAACAGGCCAAAGTTACACGCGTACCTTGTCCTTATCCTCAACGAAAATCCGATTTAAGTTCACTCCTACTTTCGATCTTTCCTCTTTGGGCTTTCGAGTTGGAACTCTCCAAATTTAGGCGAGACCATCTTATCGGCTTCTTCCGACGTCTGCTCTGTATCTGGAGTAGAGGATCGATTCGGCGGGAACGGTAGCACGATGCGTCTCTTCGTAGTATGTCGGTCGCTGGAGAGTTCTTTAGTGAACTTGGTGCCCCCTTTAGTGTTGGTCACGTCCTCGAGTACGTGCTTGGGTTCGTCGTCGGCTTCGTCGTCGGCTTCGTTAACAGGATCATCGTCTTCGATGACGATTGGGTTGCTGTTGTTACCCATGTTAGTAGTGGCATTCACTGACACACGGATCTGAGGAATAAGACGAGGTTGAGGTCCGCTCTCCTAGAACAGATCCCTCATTTTCTGTGGGTCTTTCTTGAGTCTCTCAGCCATTGCTGTTAGTTTGTCATCAATACGATCAGCCCAGCGATCATAAGAGGATATGCCCAGTTGCTTGTGACGGTGGGCTGGCAGGGGATTTCCCGAGTGTGCGAATCCCCAGAAGGCCTCGACTATCTTCTTCGCCATACGTGGTCGGTCTTTCTTCAGTTCCTGTCTCTCATATTCGGTATCCGGAGGGCTATGGTCATCAACATAATCTTGGTGGTAGACGGGTGACACACGAGAACTAAGTAAGTAATTGATCATGAGAGCTCGGTCTTGCGCGAGGTCAGCTATCTGCTTCAAGATCTCCTCATCTGAGAGAGAAGCAAATTCCGGGTGTAAGCGGGTACTTTTGAACTGCTCCAAGTCATCGTTCTCACGGCTCAACTCAAAAGAACAGATGAACTCATCTATATTACGCATATAGACGTTGTAGATAGTTGGTCCTAGAGGCTGTGCCCTGGGATACGACCAATCGAAAGTCGATACCTCATTGAACTTCGACTTGAGCTTAGTGAGATCAGGCGCGTCGTTAAAAGACAGAGCACACCCCCGTATGGGCGTACCCCTCTGGGCGCAATTGGCGAGCAGTGGATAGTCACTAGCCATGGTTGATCTGATGGCTCTCTTCGAAGAGAACTTGGTCTAATTAACTTGTTGGTAGATCATGTAGAAGAAGGAGAAGAAGAGACGACGAGTACCATTAACGATGGAAACTCCGTAGTTTATATAGGAAATATATTTAATGCTATGGTCAATACTAGTGACCATGTTCCATTCCATCGGGAAGGTGATGCTGTCACGAATGATATGCAGATGCACTGACGAAGTTCCGGTTTCTCTAGAGAAGTTACGTAGTTCGGAAGGTACTACTTACGCTTTATGAGTCTTTGGTCATTTGATAGGTCTCTTGAACTAGTATGTTACGGCAATGGCAAACAAATGCTCCTTCTTGTAGGAAACGGCGTTGTCATACGTACTTAATGTAGTGGAGTAAGAGGGATGTGACTTCTTTTTATTTCATTTATTATTTTTCAGGTGTATCGTACCTGACGTCAATCTGACATTTGACTAATTTATCCGGTAGCTCTTTCCTGGTGATCTATGTACCTCTAGGTAGGTGCCTAAGGCAATATCCAATCTGCTGTGTTGTTGTACCTTACCTAAGGTAGGTACACATATATAAGGTACCTAGGTACCTCCGTTGACCCCCTATCTAGACCCGCCAGCTGGTCCTGCTTCGACCACTCGACCTGCATCTAATCTAATAAAATAATCGGCATCTTTAACCGCTTCTAATCTATGAGCAATCGTGATAACAGTGCTATCCTTTAATTCCGCCAAAAGTACATCTTGAACTGCAAGGGCCGTCTTTCTATCAATTGACGCAGTTGCCTCATCCAAGATGATAATAGGGCTTTTCCTGAGAATGGCCCGTCCGATACCCACGAGCTGACGTTGGCCCTGGCTAAGATTCTTCCCTCCAACATCAATGATCGAGTCTAGGGACCATTCCGGCCCCAGGACACGGAGTAATGCCTCCTTGCGTTCATCATCTGAATGTTGCTCTAATGGATCCAGGTTCTCTCGGATCGTGCCTGGGAATAGTACGGGGTCCTGCGCCACGAAACTGATTCGTTGGCGCCATATATGTACGTCAACTTTAGAGATATCCTGGTCACCAACGCGGATCTGCCCCTTTTCGGGGTGCATCGTTGCCAGAAGGGCGAGAGCCAGTGTAGATTTGCCGGATCCCGTTCGGCCTAAAACTGCGCAGGTTGATCCGCTAGGAATTGTAAAGGAGACATCAACTAGTGAAGGCTCAAGATGCGGTGCGTACTTAAGCGTCACCGAATCGAACGTGATGCTATCCTGATAAGAAGGCCAAGACGCAGGGGGTTTGACATCTCCATTGGGCTCCTCTTCTAGGTCCAAGAGCTCAGCAACTCGCTCCACGGATACGAAATCCATCTGAAGTTGACCATATGTTTTACACAGAACGTGAGTGGCCTCAACCAGCTGGGCAGCGCTTGTGAGCACGAAAGCCGTTAAGCCGGGGGATAGTCCTTGAGCCAAGGCTAGTATCGTCAAGGCAAATATAGAGAAAGCTGATAATAGATCATATCGGAGCTGGAGCCATGTTTGTAAGCTCCAGTAGAAATGGTCCATCTTCTGGAACATGTCGGTAGCGACGATGTTACGGTTCTGGAAGTCAGACTGCGCCTTAAAAGCTCGAATGGTGGCTAGACCGTCAACAAGGATACCGAAATTCGACATTAACGGACTGAGGGTCACCATTTCCAGCCGGCGCAGGCTTTGTGAGGTAGGCAAGAACCGCATAAAAATGGCAATAAACCAGGCTGTCATCCCAAGTGCGACAGCAAAGAATATTGGCGTCGTTAAAGCGATAACGACCAGGGAGCTTAGCCATGTCAGAGACCAAAGAGCAAAGTTCTGAAGCGGGTAAATGACACCACCGTCTAGCATTCCAATATCAGAAGTTAAGCGGTTCATCAAACGTCCAACTGGGGTAACATCGTAGAAGCGGAATGTCGCACGGCTCACTCGGTCAACGACCCTGCCGAACAAGTTCCTGGATGCCCTGTATAGGATGACGGTAAGACCACATTGTGTCAAGACATACAGTATGGTCATAAGTAGCCCAAGGACGGCATACCACTCGAGCCATGGCCTGACATCGTCCTCAGGGCTTGGCAACCCGTCAAAGATATGTTCCGCCATATCAGAGAGGCCCCTAGTGGACTGTGCCTTAATTCTCTCGTACGCTTCGCCCCACGCCTTGAGAAACCAGTAGTTGAACACGCGGGCGAACCGGAAAAGGGAGAAAATCCCAATAACCGCCAGCCACCATGCCACGCCGCCTGCTTTGATATATGTCCAATAAACTTTGGCAACTACACCACCTGATGCGCGAGCTTCGTCCTCGATGAATTTGTCTGGAATTGCAGCATTCGCTAGCTCTTCGGTGACCACCTTGACCTCGTCCTCGGCGGCAACATCGTGCGTTTGCGATGGCATATCGGCTTCTCTAGGATACTCATCTGGGTCAAGGATACGAGCTTTGCCATCCACGATTTCCACTACTTGATCTGCGAGCGATAGACATAGGTCAACTCGATGCGTAACTAGTACAACTGTGCGGCCGTTCAAAAGGGGCCCGCGGAATAGTTTGCGGACAATAGACTGAGCTGTTTGATAGTCGAGTGCAGCGAGAGGGTCGTCGAGTAGTAAGATTCGAGATTGGCAGTACACAGCTCTTGCTAGCGCCACCCTTGCCTTCTGACCTCCCGACAGGCCGATACCATTTTCTCCGATATTGGATTTGTCTCCATGTGCGAAATTAGCCAGATCGGGCATAAGTTCACACGCGTCAAGGACTTCGTTATATCTAGTCCTGTCTAGAGGGAAATTAAAAAGGATATTGTCCCGAATGCTCATGTTCTGAAGCCATGGAGATTGAGCACAGTAGCCTACCATCTCGTTGGGTAGAGTAGAATCGCCCTTGACCTGGTTAAGCTCACCCAGGATAGCATCAAGCAATGCGGTCTTTCCGGCACCGACCTTGCCGCAAATAAGAGTCAGGCCTGTAGGGAAGCGCAAATTTAGGTCTTCGAGAACCGATTTACCGTTGGTCGGCCACGCAAATGATGCATCTCGAAACTCGATCTCGGTGTTGGCGTCGTTATAGTCACCCTCTTCTTTGTCCGGTTCATTCATAAATGTCTCTAAACGCCCTATCGCTATAGATGCATTCAAGAGTACTGTTATTAAGTTAGGCAGTTCTTTCAAGCTAGACTCTAGCATCGTGAAGAGCTGAAGGGCGGGGAAGGCCACGTCAACTGGTAGAGGGCGCCCTGCGATATAGGTTACCGCAAAGAAAGTGAACACTGGGAAAAGAGCACTAGCAGCAAGGTTAGAAGCACCGACTCCAATGGTCCATAAGCTGGTGATAATCTTCAAGTGCAGTTCCTTTGCCCGTGCGTGCATGACGTTTCCTAGCCACTTAGACTGCCAATCATACCATCGGAGGGGTCTAATAGCCTCGACAAATTGTGTAGTTGCTTGAAGCCTGACATCGGTCGCAACTCTTCGAGTCTTCTCAACCTTGATGAGTGAACGAACACAAGCTGCATTCAGGATTTGAAGAACCACTGCCCAGGCCAATCCAAGGAGACAAGGCCATCCCAGGAGTTGCCAGATGAGAACCAGGGAGAAAATCAGCTGCAACGGTTTCGTGATGAGGTTCGGGAATTCCCAAAATCGCTGGGCTATCTCATATACATCGTTCCTCATCAAATTGAGGATCTTTCCCATAGTCGCAGGTTGCTCTGCTTTGGTCTTGGTTTTGCCTTGTTCCTTAACTCTACGAAGTCTCAGGAACTCGAGAAGACGAGCCAAGCGCGTTTTCTTGGGCTTCCTACCGAGCAACGACGTCTCCTCTCCCGGCTCGATGCTATCGTCGACGCCATCCTCAACACCATTCTTTTGGGGAGCCTCACCCAGATCCGTGCGAAGCCCAAATGATTTCCGCGCCAAGGTTTTAGCATAAACTGCTGTAAGCAGCTCTCCCCGCGACCGTTCATATGCGCGCCGACTATACCAAAGAAGAAAGACGCCGGACTGACATGCGACGAGGCGGACCAGCAAGATAGCTAACGAGTAGACGAAAGACTCATCTCTATGAGTGAGGCCTTTCTCGATAGACTGTAGCAAGCGTTGGAGAAGAGCCGGGTTTGAAAGATTAGCCGCTGTCTCTACAAGTCCCAAAAATGTGATGATGATCAAATCCAACCCATTCGCTTTAACCAAACGCTTTATTATAGAGCCCTTAAGATCTCGAAATAGTAAATGCAACCTTTCATGCTGAAAGTCATATGGTAGCAGCCAGACGTCTTCGTCATCCAATCTATTTTTATACCCCCGAGAGATCAGCGGAGACAACCATGAGACAGTCATGAATTGCCATAAGCTCAAGTTATCCTCGGGGCTGCGAAGCTGCGAAGTAGGGGGATAATTAGAGTTTGCGATACCCGTTGGATCTAGGTCTGGGTCTCGCATGGGCATCGAGAGGATTAGAAATATAGCGGCGAGCGCCACACCGACAGAGGCGACATGGATAATGTTCACTCGCTCCGTCTCACCGTACCACGACACAAGCGATATTAAACCGCACACGACGGTGGTAGTGAATAAAATTAGCAAAGACTTCGGCGTCTTCCTGGGACGGCTTGAAACCGTGATGAATAGAGCTACGGCCCATGGTGCCAACTCTAAAATCCTAGTGGTGTTAAATGGCGGTGATACAGCGGTCAAAATAGCCAAAGCAAATCCGATTGTGGACAAAGCCAACAGGATGAAAGTCCAAAAACTCCAAGATCTCGTACAGATACCAGGCAATAGTGCCTCTTCTTTGGCAAAGGGGCGGATCCATTGAGGTCCTTTAGAAAATAGACCGCGGGCGGTATACAACAGAAGACAGCAACCGGCAATTACCGCCTGCGCGATCGAGGTTTGCGACACGACGTCCATGGAGGTCAAGTCTTGGCGTTTATCCAAAGGAGCGTGAGAAGCGAAAAGGAAAGAATGGTTTGTCTCTGCAAAAGACACAAACGATTCATATTGGCTCGTATATATACTCATGGCGAGGAACGGGAGAAAGGTGCTTGAGCCGCCGTATCCATAATTTAAAGGTGAACGGCCCCGCGACTCTAAAAGCGGGAGTCGTCAGCAAGGCGGAGTTTTATTAGTAATAAAAAGGCCAATGAGATTACGAGTTCCCTTCGCAAGACGCAAAAAAAAGTTTAAAAAAATTGTTACTGGTTCTCTACCTCCTATGTAGGTATGTATTGAGGTCTACGTACATACATCGCTGTTTTGAGATATGGATGATTCCAAAGGGCACGGCCTCCAACTTTAGGCTTAACAGGTTAGCGGCAGATTCGTTGGTAGCACAAGAGATCTAAGCGGGAGGCGGAAGCTTATTATTGTAAGCTAGGCAAAAAAAATAAAAGCCAAACAGAGCTATGCAACGGCTAGTAAAGCTAGCTAGCCCTTGGAGTTGATTCAAAAGCTTTGTGGGGGGGAATACATAAACAACAACCAAGCAATAAAGTTAAGTTGACACAATGGCCGAGGCCGAGGCCGAGGTATCGAGGTCCAAGATTCGGGTCCTGGCAGGTGAGAGCAGCTGTTCGCTGTGGGGTTTAACATATTCCCTTGCGGGTGCGTGCAGGAAAAGGTTGCACCATCCTCAACGGATATTGTGTCATGGCGTTAAATATCTGCATAGTTAGAAGTTAGAGTTATAGTTATAGTTTCTCAGCAGTTACGTATAAAAGGCAGTCATAGCGCTTAGAACAGACATTAAATTGATCGAAAGTAGACGACCGTGTCTCGCTTGTAGTAGTATTACAACCATTGCTTATACAACAAGAGCGTGCGTAGTAGGATAACATCAACAAAATGGTATAAAGCCGTACAAGACATCCCCGACAAGACACTGAGTAACGCCAACCAATGAAGATAAAAGCACCTAATGAAAGGGCCCCCTTAACGTGCATTTATACCGGCTCCCCAAGACAGCCTAGCATGAGCCTCGAATAATCCCCACTCGTCTCGCCTTTAACACGACTGGCAAGACTTCGATGATAACGGTGATGATATGCCCCCTTGACATTTTCCAGCGTCTGCTTATCCCAGTGGTATCGGACTACTCTCGAGACTAGTAAGTGATCCTTCGTACCTAAACCTGCCATCGCGTCTTCGAGTAAAGCGGCTGCATGCATGTATTTGTCGATGGCATTCCGCAGTTGATATAATAAAGCCGCCTCCATATGCCCGCTAAACTCCTACAAAAAGGTCAGCACTTGGAATTCGGGGTGGCCTATGTATTAGGTAATTAATCAAACTCACCTTTCTAATAACATCCTCTAATCGTCGCCTGAACTTTTGCTCGTAGGCGTGATTAATAGCCCGGATTTGATTATCGTTTCTCGTAGATAATATCGAGCACACCATCATTTCATCCGTACCGACTTTGCCCTCTGTAGCGCGATATAATTCCATGACGTCCTGATCGATAGCTTGGGGGATGACCGGAGCACTGTCTTCAGCCCTGTTTGCGCCTAGTACGATCATGAAATGCCTTTCGGTCTTCATGCTGAGATCTCCTTTCACATCGCTCTCCAGCGGCCGGTGAAAGGTTTGTTGGTACATGCTCTTGATGGCATTCATATCCGCGTTGCTGCGACTTAGCAAGACGTCGTTGAGGACCTTTTCCTTCGTCCCGGGCCCATCCATTGCCGAATGCAAGAGGTGCACATCGTGGAGTAAGGGCCCCCTGACAATCGCGACCAAGCCCATCTCGAACCATCCTCTCGTCTCTGACATTATATCCTTTTCGAGCGTCCGGCTAAAATTCCGGAAGTAAGCTGCTTTGATAGCCTCGATCTGTATAGGGTCTTTAGAGCATAAGACACGAATTAACGCCTTCTCGTCTGTGCCGAACCCTTTCATGGCGCCTCTTAGTGTCCGCGCGTCAGGGTTTGCATCCCATTGAATTTGCGGGAGTGGCCCATAGCCTAGACTGTGAGGTGTAGGCGGTCCTACGGGTGCTGGGGGGTAAGGCTGGCCATATGGGGGTTGCGCAGGGGGGTATTGGCCTTGGGGATATTGATTATATCCTTGAGGAGGATACCCTTGAGGAGGACCAGGAGGACCAGGAGGGGGCCCGTATTGATTATAACCCTGAGGAGGGCCGGGAGGAGGGCCGGGAGGAGGGCCAGGTGGATAATAACCTTGAGGAGGTTGATTGTACCCCTGAGGAGGAGGGGGTGCCGACCATTGACCCGGAGGATATTGCTGTGGTTGGCCCGGAGGAGGATACTGACCCGGAGGAGGGTGCTGGCCGGGATAACCCGGCTGGCCATAAGGGTATGACATGCTTAGAATTTGCCTATCACTCAGACTTTGATCCGAAAATGTTTCTTAATAGAGTAATCAAGGTCTATAACTAATTGCTATCCAGGAATTTTGCGGGTGTTTGTTGGGGATGTACAGAATATGAAAATGTAGTTCAAAAGCGGAGTAGACGAAGGGAGGAGGGAGGAGGGAGAAGGGAGGAATGAAGTAATACAGGTTGCTAAGCGATAGATATAAAAAAAAATAAGACGATAGTAACTACCCTAGCCTAGGTACATAGGTAGCGATGACTCTTAAGCGATGTACATGTAGATAAGGCACCTATTGATTTCAGGTTGCTACCTAGAACTTGCGCCTCGCACGTTACTGAGGCAGTGAACGATAGCTTCCGTCTAGATTTTCGATAGATGTCGTAATAGGGCCAGCTTGAACAAAGAAACCTCTGCCTTCCGTTAAAGTAAATGGCAACTAGCTTCGTGGCGGAGGCGGAGTCTACGCGTATAAGTGAAGTACCATTTAGCGCTGATATACGCCTTTGGGTACATGCTTGTGGCTTGGTCCATCTTGGCTAAATTAGGTAGGCGTACATAAGTACCTGAGGTCATCCTGACAGGTCGCGACTTGTAATTTTGAAGTAGCACTATTAAAAATCCGCTGAAAGTCAACATGCATAGGTACATACATGTATGTATAGGTAATAACACAATACATACCTCATAAAGTTAACCTTCCAATGAGCTCAAACTAAGCTTGGCCACAATCCGAATTCAAATTCACATTTACCTTTATAAATGATACCTTATTCACTAGTACCTTCCATCAGTTGGGTAGGGTACATAGCGCCAAGCCAAAGGCACGGAAGCTTTCGCCACAAAATACAAGCATTAAAATCCTAGCCACAATTCAGACGGCACATTCAACCCGAGATAAGCGAATCAAGAAGACAAAATGACGTAGGGTGCAACTTTTATATTGATAGTCTAACAGTGATACAAACGAGCGAATTGAATCATATGCGCCGGTAAACACCATTATATATGCATCGCACAGGTTTTTCCTCCCTCTATATGATTCCAGTTCCCCCGAATGACAAGCAACTTCAACGCGAAACCTTCACCAAGTAGTCCTCATGACCCCAGCTTAAGAGTGGCGGCAGGTGATGCTGCCAATAACGACAGTGTTGGTAGACAGACGACCGGGGTTGTTGACGTCGAAGGTCTTGGCGGCAGTGTCGGAGCTAGATTATGTTAATTAGGCACTAACCAATGATTGATTATTGCAGCTGGACAAACTTACCCGTCTGCATTCTTGTGAGGCTGGCAAACGACGGTGTTGATATCAACTCCATTAGCGCCGGTAAGGTAAAGAGTCGAAACCTCCTTAAGGACTGCGCTCGTCTGGGGACCTTCGAAACCGACTAGCATGGTCTTGTTCACGAGACCGTTGCCAGCACCGCCGTGAGAAGACTCGACGGTGATCTGGGCGAAAGGCTTCTGGACCTGAGCAGCGGCCAAGCCGGTGAAGGCAATGGCGGAGGCGAAGATGGCGGAGAACTGCATTTTGAATGTTGGAAGGGGTTGACTGATGTCGATATTAAAGATTACGAGAATTGTTTGGTGAGTTTGTTGAATTGTAGTTTGCTTTGAAGATTGCGTTGTCGATGTGTTGATTAAGATTCGACTTTGCAGGACTTATCTACTGGCTTTATAGGAAGTTGTCGTCGACTCCTTAACCATCATCTCCATTATTAGACTCGCGGACCGCTCTAACGGTAAGCGCTAATACGTGTGCCGATCACCACCCGTTAGAATTCCCCGGAGGCTGATGATGGTAGGACGGGGCACAGAAAGATCTGCGCTCAGCCGCTATTCGCTTTGCGCCGGGGTGCATACACGTGGGTATTCGAACACGAGATTGGGTACCGGCATACTTTACCATGGACGAGATTTCATTAGATCCATTGGAAAGAATTTACGAGGCGTAAGAGGTGTCAATAGTTTATTTGCGGTGAGTACGGTACGGCCACAAATTCATACGACACTGGCCGCATTGTGGACTGAGCCGAATGAACCATGATTGGGCTTTTACACGAGGCCGACATTTGCGCCACATTCTATCTGGTCCCTAACTTCGGGCGGTGGTTGTTGTTGAGTGCCGTTGTCTTGTCCCGTATCCGGGTCCAGTTCAACTACACAACCGCTCCTATTCGTATTGTAGGAAGCAAGATCATGGAGACCCTGGATAGGATTTTCATGGTCGAAATGCATGCAATGATATGCTGGCAAGTTGAATGGGCTTAAACGCTTTCTTCTAATTAGGCGCTGCTACTGGCTAGGTTGACTGGGGGGTGGCACCGGCACTCTGCCGATCCCATCTCCCCTGAGATTGAGGCAACTGAATGCGGACATACGGGGCTGACGGGGCGAGACAGCTGTGTCGATCAACGAGCCCAGCCCCATCAGGGCATATGCATTTTTGAATTATCCTTATGTTAAGTATCGACGCCCGAATATACTAGCTATAAGGCTTAAGGCCCTTGCTCTAACATATGCCTTAGGTATGGTTACCTGAAGGTAGACTGCACTTTAGAGCTTTGAAAGGAATATAATCATCTTCGATACTGATGACTTGCTCTCTCCGCTAGAAAAGTTTCTCCACATGGGATCGGAGTAATTTGAACCTCGTCGGAAACTTTTCATACTCTAATCCATACGATAGGTCCCTATACCTTTACAGATTTGAATATACATAACTGCCAATAGCCTATCTGATTTCTGGTATTATATCCATGCACAGGAATGGTCCCGGTTCGTCCGAACCAGTCGAAAATTCGTTATTGTATGCCGAGAGTCTGCGTTGTTCAAAGATTTGAATACTCTAGGCTTCAGATCTGATCTTAATTGCGTAACACCGCTTAGATTCAACTAGATATTGGTTAATTCAGATCGACATGCAGCAAGACGTCGTCAACTGCTGTCGCGTAATCTTGCCGTGCTTCTCGAATCACGACAATATACGGTGATTTAGGGGATGTACCACATAAGAATTGGTCGGCGAATTAAGTCGCTTTGGCCAACTCATTCGGGGACCATAATTGTAGTTTTTACTAGTCTATCTCCACCGATACTCTTCAACTACCTCTGAATATCTATATTGAAGTTCCAAGTGAAGCTGCGCCCTATGAACTGCTATCCATACGTTAGTTATCAAGAGTTAGATGTGGATTATTCGCATATAGGAGAGCCAACTTATTCACGTCTAACCCAGCAGATTAAGGGGTGAGACACATAGTACGGTAATAAGAAAAGGGGCTTAGGACGAAGGATGTTGGAAGTCATGGACCAGCCGGAATAAGAAGGGAAGAAATAAATGTAGACGAGAAAGAAGCAAGTAAGGATACGACGTGTACAAGTTAATCCTTGGAGAGTATGGCTGTTCGAAACGTGGTGAGCTTTACGAGGGATGTTACGTTACTGTAACTGTGGCGATTAGCCCTGTTGGTGCTTTTGGACTTGACTATAGGAGAGCAATAAATACCTAGGATGCTTCCCAAAGTAGCGGTAGATGTGTCGTAAAAAGGGATGAAATATAAATAGGTAGTGATTAGACTTAAACGATATTTACTTGACGTACTATATAGAAGGATCATTGCCGATGGCCTTTTATAGCTGCGTAATCACCTTCGTCATTGATTGGAAAACCCGACCCAGAAACGCTGGTCTCGGCCCAAGGTAAGTAAGAACTCTGAATTATAACCTTACAATTCGAAGACAGAACGCGCTGGTATTAGATTACGATTCGGATACCGTAGGGCTTTGCGGGAAAAGTACATTGATACAATGAACCTCGCAGAACTTGGACAGAGACATACACTTTTTACTATGCACGGAAACCTCATCTATGAATATTGGCCTCCTAAGGTAGATTATAACTGCTGTTAGGTTAAGAATGCCTTGAAATTATATGTCTAGTTGATTTTATAATATTCATATCAATTGTGTCACTGCCAGTTACTGGGCTATTAGCTCAAGGAGACATACCTAAGTTACCTATGTTAAGAGATCCTTTGGCGTGCTTTCAACGCCCTTTTGCTATGAGTTCCAGTAGAGAATTGATCGCTATCGTATTCAGTCTTCAGCACCCGCACCTTCAAATCTGAAACTGAAACGATGAATAAGAGTAGCGACGGCAAGATACATCCCGGCCCACGTAAGGTTGGGTATGATTACACTAGTAAATATTTTACTATGTACAGCAGCTAAACTCATTGTACGCCGATATAGTTCCTCGCACTCCTTAAAGAAGATTGTAATGTAATGTCTTGTTGGACTTTTCCAATACTCGAGATCCCTCCACCGTCCGTGATCGAAGCTTATCTGATCCGGACAGATCTATGCCCGGGTTGATCTGTGTCATTTGAGCAGAAACAGCCGGACTCAATCGCAAGGATAAACGGTAGGACGCAAGAGTAGTAGAATAAATAGGTATTGAACGAGGAGAACTTCGACTGGGGCTTCGGAAATGATAAATGTGCATACACGTCTACGATATGAAAGCATAAAATTCGTAAGTGGGGAGAGGAGGTAGGGGAGGAGATCAAGTAGGTCAGTTTCGAGGGAGACTGCGCAGATTAGTAGGCGATATTTTGGTAGGGGATAGGTCATAAAGGAGATCGCAGGGGAGTTGCAAGGCGACGTACCCTGCTTATTTTAGTTTCGATTGCCGTAGGACCTGGGTCATATTTTATAAGTACCTCCTAAGGTAGTAAGGTACCAAAGTCAGAAGTAGTTAATAGCTTCTTCTTTATTCATAAACTCTTCGCCAGACTTGCTTATTGCTCAGATGTGAAATGCTTGAACTACTAAACAAGTACCTCGACTCGACAGGTCTCCTTAGAGCATATGGTCTTCCAGCATCTGATGGCATTGGCAGAGACGAGATTGCGAATCGTATGAATTCTTGGTTAAATAGTACAATATGTATTAAGTGTGTGAGTATCAGGTTACTATATTATATCTTACATACATTAGGTACATAGGCGTACAGCGTATCATGACTCCCTTCTGTGCCACATCTACTGCGCGACGGCATATAGAGCACCGAGCGCCAGCGCACCGTAGAAGCCAATGGCGCTGCCGGAGAAGGAATTGGCGCCATTGTCGGCTACGACAACTCCGGATGACTGGTTCTCCATTAGCTAAAAGTCATTTCTTTAGAGTAAGGGGGTAGACTGACGGTGGGTGCTGTTCCATTTCCGTATCCGCTGCTGGTGCCCGTGGGGGTGTTTGTGGTTAAGGCTGTGTAGGAAGCGCTCGTCGCCGATGCGGATTCGGTGACGGAAGAAGCCGGTGCTGACTCGGTTGGAGTTACTTCCTGGGTGCTGGAACCAAAAGTGGGTGTCTCTGTCGGGAACCCGGTAAAGGTTGATACTTCGGTAGGAGCTTCAGTGGGAGTTTCAGTCGGGGCCCCGGTAGGAGTCTCGGTAGGGACCTCGGTAAGAGTCGGCGCCTCAGTCTCAGAGGCCTCGGACTTGGAGGTCGCGGTGGCGGATGCAGTAGGTGAAGCAGATTCCGACGCACTTGTCGCACTGGAAGAACCGGCGGGAACCGCCGGCCCCACATCGGGTTGTTCACCGGAAAGAGGCGACGTTGATAGGCCGCATGAACTTGCGCTCTTTGTTAGGGCATTCCCGTAGTATTGCCAGATGTCCTCGTTGTCGGGTCCGGCGCACTGCAAGCAGGCCTTGTAGTCGGCTAGGAAGATATCGTCATTGCATACATCCTCGCTGTTTCTTCCCTGGATAATAGCTTGGCCTAGGTTGAAGAACATCAATATCTATCAATTCGTATTTCCCGGTAGAAATCAAGGATATAATACTTACCACAGTTATCGTGGCAGTTGTAAGAAGGAGACCCAGGGTCCTGACGCTTGAGCAGACGAGCAAAGAACTGAAGCTCGTCCGTAGAGGCGGAGGCCGCGGTGGCGGCAAGGATTGCTCCGAAAGTCCAGCGAGCTACAATCATTTTGGCAGTTGTATGTCCAAAAGAACGAACGTGTTGGTTAAAATTAGAACGAGTGACTTATTTCGAAGTGTCCGGCTATGAGGGGAGATCGATACGAAAACAAGTAAATTCAAAGTGAAAGGTGACAGCGGCTCCCGCCGTCTTATAGATATGTATCTTGGACACAAGTAAGCTTAACAGAGGGTAACCGGGAAATGCATGCAAACATTCAGCTAAGGCAAGGGGGTTTCACCGAACGTTGGCTAGGATCCGTGGACGAATGGTATGAAAGTAGCCGATGCTCGGAGATTGAGCTGTAGGTATTCCAAGTAGGATCAAGTCGCTACTTTGAGTAGTCCGGCCTGTTTTGAGAATTGCTTCCGTAAAGGAATTCATATTCCGGCTATAGGCTAGGCCTAATGCCTGGCCTGGTACATAGACTTCCCAAGCGAAGGTTTCCGAGGCACGATGACCTATACACTACCTAGGTAGTATTGCACGTGTCATCGCATGTGCTGGGATACCCTTTACCTTAGGATGGATAATTAGGTTAACTGTTAAACCGAGAGTTAATATTTGGCTTTATTCCATTTTCATCTGTCTATCATAGCTCTGCATAGTTTGTAGACAGGACAGACTAGCTGTAATATCGGCCGAGTCTTCGATATCATCGCTCGATGCCATCATATTACTCTGCGGGTGTCAGTATTCCGGAATCAACGGGTCATGAGATTTTCCCCCCGTCGCCTACTACTAAACCTCTTTGGAACCCATTACGAGAATAATGAAGTTCTGGACCCGTATTGGATGTTCGATCTGATTAGATTGATAAGATTAGATGGAGTGCCACACCCTGTTGAGTCTTCTCCGCTATGGAGTCTGATCCGTTGCAACCCAAGAGCGAGCTAGCAAGGATTGAACAAGGGGATCTCCTCTTAGCGCCATCAGATAAACATAAGTTGGCTGGTTGGGAAGAATAAACGGTGAGGTGAAGCTCTACGGCTTTGGAGTTTCTGTCTTGTGTCCTGGTTAGCCTTTTATATAATACTGAGGTAGTCACGGTAGTCATACGATGCGATATCATATACGTAGATCCTATACTCCAGGTGTAAGTCGGATTTTGCTTCATTATGCTCCCAGATTTCACTGCGGCCGTATATGCCCGTGTCAACTAAGAGGTACCTAAGGTTGCGTCGTTACCTCCCGCGCTTCGATTCGAGTTTTCGTTACGCGAGTGACCTGACTTTAAAGGCTCGGCTGCATGAGAGCCGAGGTGACTCGCGATCTGAGGATTGGTAAGAAATCATACCACCGATTCAGTCTAGCCACCCAAGTCCGTCCTGTCAGAGTGCCAATCTGCAGGTCTGATTCGTTTATTTTCTCCTAGGCTTATACTATCTATACTCATGCTAGCTAGATTGATAAACCCGTCCCCACACGGTTCAGGCGACTATTCCAAGATGGCGATGGCGAGAGGTGGTCTTGGTTACTACGTTACTAGCAGCGGGATATCCCGTCACTTGTTACTTGGAAAGTACATTTAGCTGATACTCATGATGCCTGTGCGATGACTCCTAAATTGTTGCTTCTGGCACTATGATTGAGTACACGATATACGTCATGGTCATCGAAGCTACGACTTATATGTTGACATTCTTGAAGTTATTCCAATGATTAGTTCCGTTAAGGTACGGGTGAAGGAAGGGATACGTGCTGTTGAAATAGGGCATAGGTATGTCTTGGAGTAAGTAACAAAGAGAGGTAACGGGTAAATTCGGCAACTAGAGAGAGTTCCAATACCCATACACATAGCTCCAGATACGGCATAAGCAGTCCAACGGTCCTCAACGGCGTAGAATTAGGGCATCCATCTACTATTAACCTGGGAGGAAAATAAACGAGTCTTTGTGAGACCTTCCTAACCTAGACGGCCGTCTCCTTACCACCAATTACTCTGCCGTCATCGGATCATTGCTCTTCCTACACCTTTACATCTCGCAGGGGACATGTAAGTCTTCTGTAACCGCCTACGGTGCTTGTTCGGCCAATTGGGTCCTCAAAGACCGGCTTGTCCCACTCTTTGGAGTGTGGAATCGTCGAGTGTTAGCTCGATCGTGGCCCGGGGTCTAAAGCTGGCTAGGCCTATTGTATCACATCCCGACCTGACATGTTAGTTTCTCGTACGAACTAGTTTGTACTCGGGTGTTGTTACGAGAAAATCTTATAGTACATAGACATGAACGCCGTAAGTACGTCGACAAATCCGAGATGCCTATTCTTCACTAGGTAGCTGGCTAGTATCTCCTTGGGCAAGGAACTGTTACCCAGGGTTGCCACCTATGTAGACGCAGGTTGTAGAATCTAACAACGTCTTGGGTCGGCTTATCTCGGACGAATGACTGTGCGTATCCTTTAACGAGTCGATGGTGGGAATCGAGCTTGGCAAGGAAGTGATTGGCTTGTGACAAGGTGCCGGCTATATGACCTAAATGAACTTCCCACGGCTTGCACGACTAACACTTATAAGATCGTTCTGCGCCTGTCTTCACCCTTCAAAACGCTCCCCCAGCCACGACCACCTCCCCGTAGCTATATAGGCAAGCACCCACGTTATCATTATAATCATACCAGAGGTAGCTCCTTGCGGTATATTGTCTATTCAATATGAGGTTCAGTCAGTTGTCCTATATTGCTGCGCTCGCTGGGAGCCAGCTCGTCGCCGGTGATGGAGAGGCTCACGGCGAAGGTCTCGAAGGCAGCGTCATGGGTCCCGTTGCTTTCCTCTGGCCTGATGACAGACCTTGGAGCGCTTCAGCCGACAACGTGGGGCCGTGCGGAAGCTCCAGCGGCGTGACTAACAGAACTGACTTCCCTCTCAGTGAGTACCCATAGCAATGGCATGGGCAAGTATATCTTGAGCTCACCTTGTCTCCGTTTAGGTCAGGGAACTGTTGCCCTATCAATCGCCGACGATGCTTGGAACGTCAACTTCTCCATCGCGTATGATAATAGTTAGTACTATCGTGTATATCGTGCGCTTCAACACTGACAGCACCCCAGCACCAACTATCCAGAGCCAGTTCAGTCAGCAAGTCGTTAGCGAAGTCACGGAGATTGAGCCTGGCCACCAATGCTACAAGATTGCCGACGTCCCGAACACCGTAACCGCGGGAACCAATGCCACAATCCAATTGGAGTATTGGTCGAATGTTGACAATGAGCTCAATGGTAGAAATCAGACATTCTATGCCTGTGCTGACATTGTATGATATCAACGGCACTTGACCCTATATATGTACTGTATACTGACGCCTTCTGTAGACCTTCGTCGAGCCCAAAGACATGAAGATCCAACCTCCTTGCTTCAACGTAACAGTAGCAGATTTCGAATCCGGCGACTCATCATCTACTTCTACCCCAGCACCCAGCGCCACAAATGCTGCATCTGACGCAAACGCGGCCCCTAGCTCGGGCTCATCTGGCGATGGCCTATCCGGCGGCGCAAAGGCAGGCATCGCCGTTGGCGTAATCGTAGCTTCTCTTGCGATTGTGGGTATTATTGCGTTTGTACTCCTTCGGAGACGTAAGACCCAGACGCTCGACAATGAAGCAGTCGCTGCGGCTTCGAAGAACCAACCTGAAGTTGCTTCTGTAAACAGTCAAGGACGTTAACTTGTTAAAGCTTCGATGAATCGATGCCATGGCACCGGTGAGGTAGCTGTCTATGATAGGAGGGGGGTTGGGAATAGGGGCACGAATTAAGACGAATACGAGACTATGTCCCTTATGCCCAAGGGGTAACCACTTGAGACTGGTTTATATTTAATGCAATATATACAATATCGTGAACCAAAAGCCGTGTCCATCTATAACCTTGTCCTCTAGCTTTTTCCGATCCAAACGCTACATTCATAACAATCGTGTGGCACATAACCGTATTCTCATCTCCGCTACCCCCTCCCACCACATTACCAGGCGAAGATTCGACCCCCAGCATCCCTGATTTCCATAAACTGTTGGACATTGACGTTTTGCTGGTGGTGTCGTGGAGGGGAGCTCGGACCTGCCAACATCTTGAAGAGGGCTTGGCGGAGGGCCGTAATGTTATTACCATTACGTTCGATTGCTACCGCAAGGTTAACCGTCCTGCCGTGTACGAAATCCCAACCAAAGTGCACGGCAACGATGTTTCCTGAGGAGTTAATCACCGGACTTCCCGAGTTTCCTATAACCGCATTAGCACTTTTCCGTCAACATTACTCGATACGCGAGATTTCGTCTTACGTACCTGGTAGGGTGTCTCCAAAGTGTTCGATCATCTTCAACGACGGATTGTAATGTACAGGAGTGCGAGTCTCACATAGCTGAATGAATGTCTGATTCTATAATTTAAAGGCGGGATCGTCTATGTCAAGCTCCCATCATTGGCTAATAGATCGGAGGCTCTCGATAACCTGTGAGCGTTTGCCCATCTTTTATACATAGGTGTGGTTACACTAACTGCATGGTGCCATGGTCTACATGGTTATACTATCTGGTACTGCATGGCCCAACCGCTACATAACCCGATCCTGACTATGTATGTCCTCAAGTGCCAGCCCGACACGGTAGACTCCACCGTGTCTGGCTGACACTTGAGGACATAGTGCTTATGTATAAAACATCTTATTATTATTTGGCGATACTGCGATACTTAATACATTAGGTATATATGTACCTAGGTACAGTTGAGAGTACCTCACGTCAAAATAACTGAATACATACATGTTATGCTGATAGGTCCATTACGTTGTTTGCGGATTCGTAGGAGTTACCTATCCCCTTAAGACCTGGACATAGGTAAATTATATCCACTTCCTCGACGTATAAAATACACTAAGAAGAGCTTATATGAATTGGGTCTATTTAAGATCTTATCTTGGTTGCTGTAGATTTAATCGTGGAAAAGAGAGGGTTTTCTTTTGGTAACGAGCTCAGCGAGTTCGATGAGTCAAATCAAGCCAAATAACTCTAAGGCACCTACGGTATCGATACCGGCAAAAGTCCGGGTAATAAAATCTACGGGATCCGATTAGTCAGAGTCGGGGTAATCTAAGATATACCCACCCAGCTCTACCCCCAACACCAAAAAGTTATCGTGATCTTAAAAAAGACAATTACGAATAGCCTCATTACCTTATACGTATAGGGGTACGTACCCTGATACGTACTTAGAATAAAATAGAATAAGGTCATCTTAATAGCTTATTATTACGTCAATTGTACAAAGGTGCTAGAAAAGACCCTGTAATTACCTTAATATAAAACGTTGCCGTTGATAGTTTGCCTTACATTGACCAATCATATCCCTAGATATATACTAAAGTGGGCCTGGACAGCCTCAACTTATTTGCTTAATAGGCAAAAAAAATTTTATACCTGACCTGAGCAAATATCCCACAAAAGCTATCTACCCAAGCCAAGTCAAGTCAGGCCCGAATCAAGTCAAGCTTTTATTTAATTTGTCGAACTCGCTGAACGAGCTTGATTCTTTAAATCTATGGATAACAGGTAGGCTTTGTATTGTAGTGGATGATGTGTGGATAACGTGTGGATATAATTGTTAACCCATGTCCGGACACTGTCTTGTGCTAGAGACGCGCATCGGTCTTGGCCATGTACCTAATCGAACTTGTGTTTGACGGGGATTACATACTGTGTAGTGGTCAGTAAGACGCGCCTTCAATAGCATTACCTATTCGCGTCTACGATCTCGTATCCACCTCCTAGTGTAAACTATTCCAATATCAGATAACTCGATCCTAATTGAAAATTAAGATATTAAGATATCATCAACTCGATTTGGTCTTCCAACAAATCTCAATATGAATGGGTTCCCCGAAGCTCCCATAGAAATCTCGGATGGTTCCTCCGGGAATGACGAAGATGTCACGGATTCCGAGGAGTGTCTGGACGAGATAAAGAAAGATCTACTAGAATGTCTCGATAAAATCCAAACCGCTGGCCGTGTCGCTGTATCTAAGCAGCACGATACGTTTATCAACCCTGGTTTGAAGATTGCTGATACTCTTATACCATTGCCATTGGCGCCTCGTGATGCTGAGACGATTAGAAGTGTATCTAGAGAAGCTCCCTTTGGTAGAGGTGACGAGGTATGTAGCTCTAATGCAAGCCACGTGTCTCCTGCGAAGGAAAGGAATGGTCTCAACTCGAAAAAAGGTCTCGAGAGTTACACATGATCAGACCGTTAACTTATGCTACTGCAGACGGTGGTTGATACTTCGGTACGCAAGACGTGGGAACTTGACCACACTCAATTCACATTTGCGAATCCTGCTTGGCAACCCTACGTCGCCTCCCTATTGGACGAAGCTGCGCGAAGTTTGGCTATGTCAGAGGTGAGGGCTGAGCCTTATAAGCTGCTTCTATATGAAGAAGGCTCTTTCTTCAAACGTCATAAAGACTCGGAAAAGGTCCCAGGAATGATCGGAACGATGGTCATTTGCCTCCCTTCGAAACATGACGGCGGTAGTGTTCATCTATCTCATGCTGGCAAGAGCTATGTCTTTGAAACAGACAAGACTTCGGACTTCGGCCTAACGTGTCTCTCGTGGTTCTCTGATGTTACGCACGAGATCAAACCTTTGAAGTCCGGGTACCGCTTGGTGTTGACATATAACATCATCCATACGGGTCGCAAGCGCATATCTGCTGGACTGGTCGGAAAGCAATCAGAGCGTCTCCGTTCGGTACTGGTTAAGTGGGAATCAAAACTACCGTCTACGGAGAAGCTAATTTATATGCTTGACCACAAATATACCCAGTCGAGCCTGAAGCTGAGCAATCTTAAAGGTCGGGATAGCGCTGTATGTCAATGTCTGTACGAAGTTGGCCTAGGCTGCGGCTTCACCATTTTTCTTGCCAAGATGACCCGAACGCAAAGCGATGAACGCTACGGGTATGATGACGAAGAGTCGACAGAACTGGAAGACGTGAGGACTTGTGATGGATTGACTGTTTGCAATCGCGAATCCTTGGAGGATGAAGATATCCTAGGGTCCGGCCTATGGAACCGAACCCCCGACAGTGTAGAAGAAGGTGAATTTACTGGTAATGAAAGTATGCCGTCGACCCTCCGTTACCACGACACCGTAAGTTCACCAATAGCCTAATCTCTGTCTTCAGGCCCCTGTATTAACTTAATTCAGGTAGTTGTTATAGTGCCCATGAGCCAACTGCCCTCATTTATTCCCATACCCGGCGTGCGTACTGCATTGAGCTTGGTCAGCCATACTTTAAAACACCGGCCGGATGATCATCGTCTTCATGCCTCCATGCTGACCATTTTGGAGTGTGCATTTCCCGATAGTTTGGCCGATGGCATATTGTTATCCAGCGTGATCGATCTAGCTACCAAGTTGCGAAGGAAGACACTGTACCAGATAGCTGTTCGTACTGCGCTAAGGGACTCGGCTCCTCGACAGTTAGTACTAGAAAAAATAGTCCGGCTCATGAAGGATCGTCTCAAGGGCACTCAGAAACACCCGAACTGGGATTATTGGTACGTCCATATTTCTAGTGATCTTAATGACCTTTCTCTAATTACTCTAGGTTCGGCGATGCGTTTTCTAAGACTAACGAGATTTCTCTGGTAATCCAAGCTGATGTATTGAATCGTCTAGACGCTTTGATACAAGACGACGATCTAAAAGTTTCTTTTCAGAGCTGGAAGACATCGATGTCAGAAAAAATGGTCGAACCAAAGCAAAAGCTGGGCATGGAAGATCATGATTACCTGGTTCGCCTGCTATTTTCACAGTCTAATGACTTGGCGTGGTTGACAAACTGGTGAGTACAGTGATTTGAAGCACGCAAGATTACGACGGGCTGATACATATTTTTTATTAATTAGGTTTGCGCCGACACTGTCAAAGAAGGGTTCCAACGAACTCATTTATACAATATTACGGGAGCTCTATTACAATCGCAGGCGCAAAACACTCGCGAGAGCTACTGATGCATACCGGTGCATTCTGGAAAGCAGTACAGAAAAACTGGCTTTGCGCAACAGCAATTTCCCAGCCCCTTACCCCTACCCTTCCATACCTTTCAGCGAAAATAACTTAAGTTTCGAGAAGATCATAGAGGTTATAAGCCTAGGTCTGGACATGGGACTATCCAAAGAGGCCATTAAGCTTCTCGAGATAAGTTGTACTAATATCTGTCGATCCAGCCTGATACTAAAAGGAAAGAAAATCCTCCCTCGCGGTATAGTTCAGAACTTCTTAGAAGATCTATTAGCGGTCCTACAGAAACACAAGGTCCCTCCCCTTGAATGCGTCAGGGACATGTTTGTAGCTCTCTTCCGCGATATCTTGATCGGAAGGTTGCCAAAGCGTCCCACAAAGCCCCGTGGTTGGAAACACAAGCCGATAAACTGTTCCATGAACTGCCGGGACTGCAGAGAGCTTAACTCCTTCCTTGTGAATAGCGAAGAGAAAGAGCGCGAATTTACCATGGCTACGGAACAACGACAACACCTTGAAAGTCAGCTACCGAAGAATCTTTTCCATTGCCGCACTAAGACAGGCCGTGCGCCGTACGGATTGGTCGTAACTAAGCTAGGAAGGGAGTTTGAGGAGGACATGAAGGATTACCAAGATCGCCTTACGTTCCTCAATAGGGAACTCAGACCGTTCAAGTGCGAGTATATGAAATCTCTCTTAGGAGAAGAGCTATACCAAGAGCTAGTCCTCCTGAAAGATGCGTCGGGTGTGGACGGTGCTGGAACAACGGGGACTGCCGGGACGAAGAGGAAAGCGAAAGAGGATCCTGATGGCCCCAGTGCATCGAGACCCAGACTTGTAGAGTAACCCAGGTAGTTCCGTAGCAAGTACTTTAGTATATGAAAGAGCACAAAGCCTGAACCGTATGTATATGAGATAGCGAGGCTTCGCCGTTATACGCCAGGCCTATAATAATCTGTATTTTAAATAGGAGAGTTCCATAGGAATGCTGGACATCCTACATTGTCATATTAGGCCATGCAGATATGAGGAAGTGGATGCCCACGATCGTCGAGGGCTCGAGCCTCCTTATTCTCCCTACATACCAGACCGCGTCAACGCATTTACCACTTAGAGTCCTTGTTTACCACTTTAGATCCCGGTCTACCACTTTAGATCCTGGTCTACCACTTTAAATCCTTGTCACATCAAAACACTTAAGAACATAACAACAAATTCGACGTGATCCTTAAACCACTAACTATTCAACCGTTATTGTTTACTATACGACCATAATGAACACCATTACTCAAATTTTCGTACGGAAGTCTTTGGCATTATCTTCGGAAGAGTTTCATGAAAACTTCGAAACCGATTTTTTACGAGAGTCTCGTAGAGCTCCAAAAAGAAGATAGTCTTCAGTTTCATCGAAGAGTTATAAGTACATTAAACACCATATTGAAATTCGGCTCTGACAAAAGCTACCAGAAAATGATGACTTATATTCGACACCGCACGCTTTGCATACGCACAAAGCAAGACTGCCTATCAGTTTTATACGACGTTCTGTGGGAAAGACTTCAGTTCAAGACGAAAAGGGCCATGAAAATTTTTGCATATCACAACGGTCCTATTAATACTATTATAAATGTGTTCGGCTCAGGCGTGATCCCCATAGTTGATTCACGATAGCTCAAAAATAAGTACGTATTTTTCCCACATGCTCTGATTACGATATCACGAACTAAATTTTGTACAGCTGGAGGAAGAAGCTCCAATCCGATGGGATTGAGAAGGGGGGATGTAAACGTGTCAAGCTTAATATTAAGCTCGAGAACCTCCTCAAAACTATTGTGGGCGATGCTATGCTTCGTGTATGTAAGGAGGCGGAGACGAGTATTCTGAAACCCCTACTGAATAATGAACCGCCGCTTCCTACAGCCGCATCTATAGATCCGACGGGAGGGCCGTATACCTTATTGGATATGGTAGTGCCTCTGCAGGTTGATTAGGTACGCAACGGGGGTGGGCAACGGACACGAGCGGTAAGAAACGCAAGAAATTGAAAAGAAAGAGGATTGGTGGGCATGAGGGGAACGAGGGTTTAACATATGACATTTAATATGAGACATTGGGACTGAGATTTTAAAACATATCTTCTTTAATACATCGATCTTGCTTTCTTACCTCTTTGCGGGCCTTTTAGATTACCCACGATATAATGTTTGCGTACACTGTTTTACGTAGACAAATGCACTACACGTAGGTATCTATCAGAGGCTGCCCTTGGTATATCACCACTACGGAGTAACAGGTAACTAGCTGGTAAATAACTCATATGGTATATATTTCGGAATACTACTAACGCCTGCCCTCTCCTAAATCTAAAAAGGAACCAAAGTTCCCTTATATACAATATAGTAAATAACTAGCTAGTAAATAGCTTCAAGCTAAATCTTAAACCCCTTATCACGTCATATACCTATCGTAATCCTTATCATCTGATAGTATCTGGGTCCTCTGGCATCATGTAGCACACAGTACAGTACGTATGTAACTGCTATGACCAATACAAACTGTCTTCAAGATGTTTTCATTAGGCAACAAGTTGGCACAGTCACAGTGTGCTTTCCACGTACAAAATATTTGCCAAAATCATTGATCATCATCCTTCATGAAGCATAGTATAGAGGATAAAAGAGATCTCCCGTAGCACATATTCACCTGATATATATTGCAAGCACCAGTCATGGATCTATCTCATAGCCGAACGCCCCCGCCACGTCAACCGCTTGAGACCGTCGCGGTCTTTCATAAGAACAAAGCCAAACGACACGAAACGCCTCTTATCAAACAGATCGCGATAAAACATATCACAAAAGCGCAAGAAGCATTCCCAGTCAGAGCACGTCATCGTCGTCATCATCGCCAGGACAAGCAAGTTAATATAACTACACGTCGGTTCGAGAATCAGGCACAATTCGATCGTGCAGTTCAAATTTACACTCAACTTCAAGCCATCCCTAACCTAACCAGTCTAGTGCCTCGTCTACACGGCCAAGACCGTAAACGGCTCGAGATCGAGTTACAATACCCTACTTGTGAGCTGCTGAGCATCCATGATAGAGTACGAGGACATGGTGCTGGCTATGATGACCGACCGGTACCGTTGTTAGGTATGATACGGGGTGTCCGTCATTTAGGAGACGGTCTTCTGAACGATATTGCTATTCTCGGGGATTCGCAAATTGCATGCGATGTTGACCTGTCAAGCTTGCGCGTCGTATATCAAGGGGTTCGTTTTCTTCCCTTTCTCGAGAATTTCAGTCTAGAAATAGGAACGGAGGATAAAGATAGCACCGAATGGACTGACCTTAAGGTTACTATGGTCAAAAATATCAAGGCCCAGATTAGTGTACTTCAAGTAAGTCGCTATTTTATACAATCGCCTGTACGAAAGAATTTCTAACGTATATAAATCTATCTAGCACCTTGCTCGACTTGTTGCACCATCCTGGTATCAGCTTCGAGTCCCTGAGATAGACTTTGATCCCGAACCAGTTATTGAGATGCTGCGACTATTTGAGCCATCGTATTACCAGCGAAACTCCATCATTTGCCGTGTCAACAGATATATTCCAGATCTAGGCCAGTATGTTACCGACTATGTCTGGCCATACCTCTATAGGCTGTTATCACGACCCGGTTTCCTCAGCGAGTCGCAAGAAGAAGAAAAAGAGAAAAGAAATTATTACGAGGTAGTTCAGCACGTACTTGAACTCAGCCGTGGGAATCATCACCAAGAAGAAGAAAGTCACCTCGCCGTTCAGGCCTCCTTATGGATTGCTTATACCGTGTTGCTGGACCAGCTATACGCCAAAGATATTTTAGATCAGGTCCCGAGATGTGTTTCCCCGTTCGATGATCCGGATGTGGCGGAGGCACACACGAGCGATGAAAACTACCGCAAAGTCCTGGAGGCACATCACGAAACGTCAAAGGCCGTCCAGAGCCTTTATGATGCCGGAGGGGAGCTAGAAAGGAACTTATACTGGGTTTTTAGCGGCTTGCGTTTGCCGCGTTAAGCATTTCCGTATCGTGAAATGTAATGCTTACCTGCCGCCTTACTTAGTTTAGAGAAAATCTAGGTAGGATTAGCTATCAAGCTACTCGATAGTCGATACTACGGCAGAAGTTACTATCGACGGTTGGAGGGGTCCTCTCTTTCTGTGTGAGACTATTCACGCTGGGAATGAGAGGTAAGTATACTTCTCGAAAGAAAGCGTATGGACGTCAAAAGGAGAGAATCCTAGGGCATAATGGCCTAGAAAGAAGCGCCATCGCCAGCGTTCGATCCTTCGGGGATCGCTGTCTTGTCACTACGACGCGGAGCACGTATCCTAACAGGATCTGTTAGGGATATTTAGACTTAGCAGGCGCTGCATTCCAGCCTCCGAGTATCATAGGCGTATTGTAAGCTAGCCATCGATTGCTAAGTAAAATACTGAAAGTACTTTTCAACTACTTCCTGATAACTGCACCGGAGAGGTCTTACCTAGTAGATACAAACAAGGCTATTCGCGAGAAATTGTGTCAAATTAACCAGTAAGTCAAATAACTCCAGAAAAAGCTGTTTCTTATAAGTATATGTTCATGGACTTTTAATTTATACTTACTATAATAGCGTAGGCAAAGGTAGATAGAGGTAGAAGATATTGGTATTAGATAGATGTATCCGGAGAGTGTCTTTCATCCTGAAAATGATAGAAGCAACTTAAGATAGTCAATCAACCGAGTTTGCTCTTAAATAGAATCATATTATTTAAAATTAATTATTAATGATTGATTACTACCTTCTCAAACACCTTAACTCCCTGCCAGAATCCTTAATGTAAAGACTAAGTTAAGAGGTATAATACCTAGTACAAGGACATGAAGCATCGCTCGTAAACGCCCAACTTGCATTCAACCCCTATTCATTTATCTCATCCCGTCCCACCTCACCTCACCTCACCTCAAGCCACCAAACGCGCGATCCAGCTCCTCGCCCTGATCAACCGCCATCTCGCTAATCCCCGCCGTCCCCCCCGGACCCCCATCCGCAACACTCATCTCCGCAAACCGGCCCGCGACCACCACCTCCGCCTCAGCAGCAGGGTAACTACCCGTGCGCTGGGGCTGCAGCAGGCGCGCGTCGCTGTCGAGCCAGCCCGGGGCGACGCGGCGCTTCTCGGCGAGCTCGCGGTCGCGGATGCGGTCCTGCAGGTCGCGCAGCACGCGCTCCGAGTCCTCCTGCATGCGCGCGAGGTGCGCCTGCAGCGCCCTGCACGACGCGACGATGTCGTCTGGGTGCGCGGCGTGGCCGGACTGCGCGACTACGTATTTGACTTTGGCGTCGCTGGCGCCGGTTACGCCGCTGGAGGGCGGGGGCAGCGTCGATGGCATGGACTTGTATGTGTAGGGGAGTGTGGCGGCCGTGGGGAGGGAGACGAAGGGGGAGACGGTTAGGGGGATTTGCGCTAGGAGGGGGTGCGTGCCTGTAGGTAGGTTAGATGAGTGTTAGTATTCCGTTCTGTATTGGTAGGATCGATTAAGAGGGAGTGGATGCTTACGATCATCGCGCATTGTGACCATTGTGCAATTGATATCTCTCTTGCAGCTAAGGCAATAGAGTGGAATTTATCTCTGGGCTATCTGTTTGTTGGTAATTACCAAAGGTAAGGTACCCGACTTGACGGATAAGGGACAGGTTCGGTTGTGCTATGTAAGATCCAAGTATCGAAGCTGCCGTGACGTGTATGACGTGAGATATCGATAAGCGATAAGCCCCTCTATTCCATTTCTCGATTAAACCAAATACATAATTCAAGACCGCCACAGCCTTTCGCCAGTAACAACTAACAACTTCATTTTCACGTTTTCATATATTGACTTAGAGTATATCGCGACAACACGCGGCTGATATTGGATAATAACCTCTATTATCATTAATCGCGGCGAGAATTCCATAAGCCATGTTGCCTCCAACCGTAATTAGAACTTGTCCTTCGGTAGACAACGACTTCCAGCCCTTAAGTGAATATCAAGCTCAAACCCCAGATACCTTCTTCGATGGGAAGCCCATCCTCTATTATCATGACGAAAACGTCAAGGTGTGGGTATCAAACGAGCAATATGAAGCTCTATATATCTTCTCGAAAGGTTCCGAGGACGGCCTTACACCCTTAAATCCTAGTCCGCCGGAATGCTATGCGCTCGAGAATAATTGGGGGAAGCATTTATTCGAGGAGAAGGTCGAGGTATTCGTTGCATCAAAGTAAATATTCCTTTACTAGATCTCATAACTGAGTGTTACTAACATCTTCTAATAGCAAGTTAACACTTTTCTCTCATAAGAGTGGAACTGGAATCGAGATTCCTTATCCAGCTATCACACTCCACGCCATCAAAAATTTCCGTCATGTAGAGAAACCAGATGAGGTTTCGTCCAAATTCATCGGAGTTTACATGCAACTCGAGTTCTCGAATTCAAGTGGAGAGGGTGACGAAATCTTTGATCCCATCGAGCTCACGCTTATCCCATACAAGGCACTGCCAAAGGAACAATCCGCAACTGAGACACTAATTATCGACCCCTTAAACAGTGAGCGTGCTACTGCGTTATTCAATCAGGTCTCGGCGTGCTCGAATCTACACCCTGACCCCCATGAGGAGGAAGAGGAAGAGGAAGGCGGAAATGAATTCGACCGCATCGTGTTCGAGGGTAATGCGGAGGGAGGTGCGATTGAAGGACTACCTGGTGCTTTTAGGGGAGACCTCAACGGTGGTCTGCCGCCTCCAATGCCGGGAAGCTCCGGCTGGATTACCGCTGATAATGTCAACCAATATTTCGATCAAGATGGCAACTGGATCGGGGAGAACGGTGTGAGTGGTGAACTCGGAGATGGCGCAGGTCGCGTTCGAGGACATGTCGAAGTAGACCAAGACGGCATGGAGGGAGTAGAAAATGGCGACGGTGCTGACCCAAAACGTCCGCGAACCGAATAAGCGAGCTATATATGGAAACCAAGCGTCCAACCGGGTTCGCGAGCATGTACTCTCGGCTTGCCTGATATTCGGGACGACTTACGACTCGTGCTACCATCCGGGCACACATGTAATAATTTAATGCAGTTCGTTCGTAGTTTACGATGTTAAAGAGAGCTTCATACCTTGGTAAGTTTTACCACTCACTTGATTCTTAATTAAAACTAAAATATCAATATGTAGTAAGACTAGGATAGATATATACCCCTTGAAGCTGGATTAATACTGGATCCGACTACGGTAGTTCATTAAGAGAGTTGAATAATCCGATTATATGGTATCTTCTAGGGTACCTAATGTTTCCCTAGTATAAGTATCCTCGGTATCTAAAAGTCGGGGATAGATGCTCTGAAATTTTAAATAACTATTATATTGGAACCCCCTAACCCAACCCAGTTGCATAACAGGATATATATAATATACGACGAAGGTTAAAGATATCAGCACACTGTGTTTACATTACAGAGGAAATATTGCGCTCGTCGAGAGCGTGGTATACAAAGTCGCGGCGTCTACAATTAGCCCTTCAGGAACCCCTTCGCGTCGTACAGGCTTTCAACACTCGCCCGCTTAGCCGTGGCCTCTTCGCGACTTAGCTTCGTGGCATGCGTCATGATCTGGCTGGCGTGCTTTACGGCGTCTGTTCCGATGTTGCTCCCCCTTTTGGCGTCTAACCCTTGCACCACCACCGTGCCCCGACGGCTTCTCCCAGCGCCACTTCGTCGTAAAGGACTGCCGTTTCTCGCATTGGTATTGATATTGGTATTGGAACTGGAACTGGCGTTGCGAATTACGGTACCGCTACCCACGCTCGACTGGGACAATCTGTTGCTATTACTCTTCAGATCCCCTCCTAGCGCGAGATAATTCCTCACACCGCCGCTCTGCCGCCCGGGACTAAACCCGCCTCCTCGCATCCCTACGACCGTAGAACTGGCGACGCTGATGTCGCTCATGGTGCTTAGCTGGCTGTTCATGCGCCGTAGCTCGGTAATGGCTGTTGACATGCGCACCGTCTTGCTGCGCTTGATGGTCTGCGCGCGCAGCGGCGGGACTTGGTCTTCGTCTTGCGAGTATATGGATCCTTCGGAGGGCATGCTGCGCCGCGGCGGGGGCGGCGATGCGGGCACCCATGTTACGGATTCGTGGTTGAACTGTCGCGGCTCTTCGGCTTGTCCGTAGTTCGGGATGCGGAACCCGATGCGCGAGGAGCGGCCCGAGTTGGATATCGTGTGGACGAGTTTCTCGGGCGAGCCGTCGGGGGTGTCGTTGTAGCTGTAGTTATAACTGTCGTATACGGATGATAACCCGGCTTCGGAGACTACGGGGCTGGGGGCGCGTTGGTGGTTTGCGAAGGTGGGCGAGTTGAGTATGGATCGGGGGGAGGGTAATACTCGTCTGCGAGAGGGAGAGGGCGTCGGGGTTGAGATGGAGGCGCTCTCTTGGGATATGGTTCTTTTGTGCGCGGGATATTTCGCGTCTGACTGTTTACGGGGTAGTTCGGCTGGAAGTGGTGAGAAGACCTTTGATAAGCGAGCGGGGTTTTGCGGCGGCGGCGTTGACATAGTGAATGGGTCGTCGTCGTTTTCGTCCGATGACGGGAGCGTGAATGATAGTTTACGTCTTGGTATACTATTGGTTTCTATACTCTGTCGCGAGGATAACCGAGGTGCGGGCGATGTGTCCATCCCCAAGGTTCCTCGACGAATTCGTAGGGGAGGAGGTACTTCTTCCTCCTTGACGCGAGACTTGGGGCTTCGCTCTGGGTTTGCCTCGCGGTTTCTGCTTGGAGAGAGCACCTCGTGACTAGAAAGAACTTTGCCAGGGATGCGCCTCTCTACGCTGCCCTCTGGTATCGAGTCGACCGGCGGGCTGCGGACAGATGTTTCTTCCATGCTATACAGTGTCGATAACGCGGAAGACAAAGTACTACCGTTTGAGAATGGACGAGCCGGCTGGCTCCCTTGCGGGCTAGGACTAGGTTCTGCCGACCTGTTGACCCGGCTCGGGCTGGACAAAGCGGTTCGTACGTCTTGGTACGACTCCCTCTTAGACGCAACGAGGCTATCTGGTTCTGATAGCATCGAGACTTGCGATATCCGCGATACGTGGGATTGCTGTCGCGAATGCCCAGGAGTCCGCATCGGACGTTGAGATAACTGTGGTGGCTTTGGAGTAGATCCTTCTAATTCCGCGTACGACAGTGTTGCCGGAGCGCTCTTGTGGCTCTTGACGGGACTGATGTCCCCTCTGTTGGGAGTCTCATAACTGAAGTCCATATACCCCCCATAATGGTTTCCTTGGATTCCTCCATTAAGCACCCTTCCAGGGGTACACGGGGGGGCCATTAGAGTCTGCCGTCGCGCGCTCCTATTCCCGTCTTGTAATCTCTCCGCAGTCATGCGCAGAATTTCCGATAGTTCCGTGTCAGTCGCGCTGTGTTTCAAGATCGGCTGTCTCTGCGTCTGCCCCTGCGGGATACTAATAGGGGCTGGTAGACGCGCTCCGCCGGCTAGTTGTTGGGCGGCTTGGAAGGAAACCCTGTTACGGTATCGTGGGTTGTGGATGATATCTGGTGGTGACTTTGACGGGCTGTTAGAGGCGGACCCGGGGCTTGGGTTGTTCGAGGGCCCGTATGATTTTTGAGGACTGGTGTAGACCTGCGGCTGGTGTTGACTCTGCCGTGGTGTTGCTGTGTACCCGGTTACGTTTGTGTCCTGAGGTGGCCCGTTCATCCTCTGTTCGTTGGGGTCGTCCGCAGGAGCGTTGAGTTGCTCTTCTATTCCCGTCTCGGTATACGGCAGAGTAGGGCTTACTTCCCCTATACCACTCCTTGTCGAGAGACGGCTTAAGGAACGGCCTAAACCACCGTCGAACCAGCTCACTCTCCGTTTGTGCTTCTGTTTTGACTTCCTTGGAGAAGTGATAGTCGGGCCGTGAAGCGCATCCTCGTCGATCCACGATGTCTTGCGTCTGTGTTGGTACATGTCGTAACCGCGCTCCTTGTCCGGCGACCGCGGCTTCTGTCCCTGCTGCGTATCTACGCTGCCTCTCCTGCTCCCGTCTCCCCCAGAAAAGCTTCCCGGACGTGTTCGAGCGGGAGATATGACGTTCAGACTCGAGCGTCTGCTCCTACTCTCCTCCATCCCGACCTCGTCGTCCTTATCCATCATGACAGCCACCTGCTCGCCGATAAAGCTCTTCTTGCGTAGTCGTCGCGGGCCCGTTTCGTTCGTTGTCGTGTCCCCGGACTCTACCGCCGACTCGGGAAAAGCAGACACACGACGCTGATCCCGCTTCCTGGCAAGTTTGATGAGCAGAGGCGCAAGCGCCGCGAAGAGAATCACGGCCCCGCCCACTGCGATGCCGGCTATGGCTCCTGTCGAGAGAGCCATCTCGGTGCCGGCCTCATGTGCCGCTATAACAGACGCGGTATTCCGACTTCTGATGTAGGAAGACATTTCTTGTATCATAGTCGAGGTAATGCCTGACTGAACTGACTTCCTAAAGGTGTGTTTGGTCTCCTTTTGGATCGCATTCGTACTTCTTCTCACGCCTTCCTTCCTCGCTCACTCGCGGGCTGTTTGGTTAGTAGGACGTGTAAAACTTCGTATTGACATTACATGGATATGGAGGATGCTTCACGAATCCGCGAAAGAGTGTAGTTAGTCACCAGGGAGAACAACAAAATCACACGAACTAACGAACGGAGAGGAGAGGCGGTTCAAGACGAGGTGGTCGACATAGAATAAATCAAAACAACACAAATCAAAATCCTCATGCCCAACCCTAAACACTTACAAGCCATACAATACCCAAGTAATCTCAGCATGCGTCATCTCGAGTCCCAAATCTACTGCTGGAATGCGTTGCTATCAGCACCAGGCGCGTTGCGTGGGCCCGTAGAGAGCAAGTCGCATTCCAAGCGAGCCCATCCCTGGCCAACGAGACAAAGGCATTTGGCCGTGGGCGGGAAGAATAACCGCTCATAACGCATGCATTCTACAGCTAATTACGGTCGAATTTAAGATTAAGACAGACTGCAATTGGTTTCGTCTTACTGCCAGACCTAGAATAGCTACATAGGCAAGCTACTTAAACAAGTTAAACTCAAGTTACAGGAATTGCCAAAATAGTGCAATAGAAACCACGACACATTGTCGAGAACACGACGGACGAATTACTCAAAAACACAGGCGGTAGACTGATTTATTTCATTGTCTTGAGATGGCTCATCGATGGGTATAAAACTCAAGGCTAAGGGACATTGAAAAGATCTCTTGCCAGAAGAGATGCATCCCGAAAATGCAACGAGTACCTTCAATACGCCAGCTTGTATGCTTCAAATCAGACCATTTAGACCCACTGCCCCTACAGTCGGGTCACTGAACGCCGAAATATGAACCCCATATGCAATATCACTTTTCAGTCAGGCATCAAGTATGCATCGGGTGGTGAAATTTAATGCAATCGTATTTGCGTTAATGCCTTCCGTTCTAACTCATCGCATATGTGCTGCTTTTCCACAAGGAGCCTCCACAACGTGTTTTCTTTTTAAAAAAAAAGTCTCTGGGTGAAATCGGATCAGACCCTGAAACATGATGCAAAAATTCATCGCCGGTCCATATTGGCGAGCAAGTATTTCCACCGAAACGAATATAAAAGAACGCGTAGCTTTGTTGATCCTTTAAGTCCTCCGAGCATGGTGTCCGTGCTGCAATGCATGTCTACCATAGAATCTTCGTGGCTTTACCGCGGGCGGCTCGACTGTTACAGTCGTGACGGACTCCTCCGTTACATATACAACGGGCTCCTTCCAGATTACAACTTCAACCTGGGAACCGCGCGTAATGGTCTGCGTGCTGACCACTTCGTACGAGACGCCAGGGTCTGAAGTAACTGCTGGGGCAGGAGTAGTCGTTGGTGGCACTGCAAGGGCACCGAAATTCTGAGATACCGGAACCGATTGGACAGGGGCAATTGAGCTTGTGCTTGCCGGAGATGCACTAGACGATGTAACAGCTGGGATGCTAGAGGACGTAGCGGACGACGAGGCACCACCACCGAATAACCCGCCAAGTATGCTGGTGGCGGCGGAAATGATAGGGTTAGCATCGCCGGTACCAGGGGTGGCAGACTGTGGACCGGCCTGAATCTGGACATTACCAGGGAGGCTTGTAAGGTTGCTAGCAGAACCATCTTCCAGGGCTAGTATCGACGGAACATCGAATTTACAAGAATTTTGTTCATCGTCAGTCTGGAGAGGCCCGTTGTTAACAAAGAGATCGCAGTCCCGAATGTTGCCGGATGCGTTCGTGCAGGTGTCAACAGCTTCCTGCAAGAAGTCAACGTCCCAGCCAGTCATAAAATCGCCATGATAGCCAAATCCTTCCAAACATGTTAGTATTATATTATTTATACAAGCTCCGAGTATGTCTGCTTACCAGTTGGGTCACCATTGGAAACGACAAATTCTCCTGTGCGGCCCTTGAATTGTTTGTTGCCGGTATCCCAGATAGTCTCGTAGAATAGAGTAACTAATCGCTTCGGATGGGTGTCGGGGCAGTCACCATTTCCAACCAAGTTGGGATACGCCATATGGCTCTTGTGGTCCGTAGCTGTGATACTACCGTTCCAGCATGATGGGAACATCAATTCGATGCGGAGGCCATCAGGGCAGTTTGCGTCGAGCCAATCCTTGTCAGGCAAGAAATGACGTTGCAGCGAACCTTCGGCCGCCTTCTGGTAGTTCATGCAGTTGTACCCGATTGCACGTTGCTCGAGGTCGCTCTGGCTGGTTTGCTTGAGAGCAGCCCAATCAGACTGAGGAGGGTCAGGCGACAGTGGATCACCGACAGTATAGTCTCGTCGATAGTTGCTTCCAGCGATCATCTGGAATCCGGCTGGGAATGCCGTAACGTTATCTCCTCGCAGAAGATAGTATCTATTTTTCATATTAGCTTCGACATCAGGCACTCGGCATTACGCGAAAGGGATAACCAATAAAGGGGTTAGTTGATAGGCGATCTCCTAGATAATGCATCAAAAAGGTATGGAATAATCCAACCTAAATACCCAGGTTTTGCAGCAGTAGGTAGAACGAGGAAGCAATCATTAGGACTTACGCAAGCATCCCTCCAACCTGAGGAACGATCTCAAATGTGTTGGTCTCGTTGTCTTGGAAGTAGAGCGCAGGGGTCCAATATGCCGACTTGTCTTGCTTCACGGCACACGAGCTGCAGTTCGCCTGAATAAGATCATCGTAAGTAGCGCTGAGCCCAAAACCTATAGGAGTTGGTCAATAGACATCCCTCATATCCAACATGCAAGACAGATAGGCAGGCGCATTAGCAAATATAGGAACATACCAGAAGAGCCGTGGGCGGTATGGATATGAGAAGATAGCACACCAGCATCCATAATCGGATCAATACGAGCTAGACCTGTGCGGCCATGGCACTCCATGCGCCAAAAAGCTGACACATCTCCGAAGGTGCTCAGGAGGAAGAAGGCGGAGAAAACTTTGGACGCCATTTTGCGATCGTTAGATTCAACTCGAAGCACAATGTTCGCCGATTTGATCAAAAAGTTTTGCGCGGAGTCGTTATCTGACTAAGGGTTGTTGGTTTATTTTTTTTTTTTCGGTTTGCAAGAAAAAGTGTAGCCGGCTCACAATCTCGTTGCTTTGTGTAGTGGTTTGCTGGTCGCTAGGCACCGAAGCGCAAACGGTCAGATGAATTTAAGTTCAGTAGTTCGGCCGTGAACTGCTTGGATGGTTCGGTTTCAACACTCAGTTACTGCCAATACGGATAATTCACTGACGGGAGCCGAGGAACTGGCGCCCTTTGCTGCAGTATACTGAATTCCCGAATGGCACACCCAAGGCCGCCGATACTATCGCCAATTCCTTCCGCCTCGGTTTCCCCAATTCCCTATTTCTGCCAAATACACACTTGCTATCCAGAGCAATCAGAACTTTGACCCTCTTAATCGGTAAGTATCTGGTTGGCCTGTGCGTAACCTAAGTCAAGTGGCGTGAAATGAATATGAGGGTTGATATCGAGTAATCCAGATGCAGGGAACGACGGTTTCCGAAGTTGACTACCTAAATGCCTTTTTTCGCATCCAAATTCAGGGCTGCGCGATGCCAAACGGAACAAATATTTGCTTGATTTCTCAGAGTCGAAATGAATGCGATCAACAAGAAGAAAAGAGTGATGATGCCAATAATCTAGATGAAAATCTAGACTACTGTGAATATTGGTAAAGAGCGTGGGTTGACGTTGACCGTCGGGAGTTGTAATGAACGAAATGCTTTGGTGGTGATGAGGGTGAAGTCCCAAGAGGAGCAGAACGAAAGACGAAAAGAAGGGCGGCGAAGGCAGAGGGGATATTGAAAATAGCGACGCGTAGAAAGGGCAAAGGGTAAAGGAGCAGGAGGGTAGGTGGGGATTGGCGCATAAGGAGGTATTGGGCATCGTGAGACAGTACGGGGTAGGTACTATCCTGTACATAGATACATCCAAAAAGGGAAATAGAGAGGCCAGTCGCAACTTACCATTAGGTACCTTACGCACCTCCTTTTACTTAGGAAGTACTTATGCACGTAAGCATTGCACGTAAGCATTTCTACACATATCAGATCACAACCGCTTGTACAATCACATATGCGCACAGCTATTGGTATCTATGTTGCCTATGTTGCACCTATTTCGTATACAGTAGCATCATATTCGTCCTGCGCATTTCCCAAAAGCCGCTGAAAGCTGACTTGATAACGTCCTCGTGGTTGCGCGTCCTCGTGGTTGCGCAAAGAAGGGTTTTCTTGCTGATCTTGGCAAAAATGACAAGCTCGGTTCCAGGAAACCCTGTAGGATCGTCATTCCTACCTAAAAAGATTAAGCAGCTTTACCAGAGAAGCTAGATTGCCTAGGCTGCTAGGCCAGATCGCGAGGCGCACACTACTGATTGCTATGTCATCAAGGGGCTCTTTCCTAATAACGCTCATTGGCCGGAGATATTCAGGGACAAGAGCGAAGGGGTGGCACCCTAGCTTGTCCCACGCAGGTACAGATCCCGTTTCTCCAATTTCCCAAGCGACAGCGCAAGATGCGGTTGCAGCCGAACGATGTACCCACGTACCTAATATATAGAATCACCTAAGGCACTTACACATAAAGAAACTACATCGTAAAGAACGGCGCAGCCAGATGGATTTTACTCAAAAATAACTGCACCTCGTAAAACATCTCTCTTTTCTCTTCTCAGGTGTAACTCTAATCGATAATAGAATGGTCCCTGGGTCCGTAGTTCTTTACCGAGTGTTTGCTTGCTTGGGCATCGCTATCGGGTGCACGAGGGGTCTGCACGAAGCCATCCACAGTCCTCCATAATGGGCGGTCTGCCAAATCACCGGCGTCTGGTCTCCCCGGCAGCTAGTGTATGTAGTAAGATTATTAGGAAATCTCTCATTACGTATTTACAGTATTAAAAATCCTTTAACGCGTGTGCTTGCTTGATAGTGGATGCGGTGTGCGCATTAATCGCTCATCCAAGCTTCATGATCTATCCACATTCTGATATAATTAAATTTACTGATTGAGCTGGCCTCTTGGTATTGCTTGCTTCTAATCTCATGGCTGGAACCTCATATGAAATAGTAAATGCATCTGCAAACTCCATACAAGTAGTTGAACACAAGGTGATTATGGTGTGCTGAATATGATTCATTTCCACAACCTCTTGCACAAGTACTGCAGAAATTAGCTAGTTAAGTACGACTTACACTACTACAATAGATGCCTTTTGATTTCGTTGCACCTTTTTGTGATTCTTCACCGGGTGGGTATATACCAATAACAATGACCACGTACCTGCTCTGTACCTAGAGCCAAATCAAGGTAGGAGCACAGAGGGGAACATCCAGGTTCCTGAAACAAGTTTCAGCCCCTAGTATATAAGGTTAGCCAATCAAAGCGAATATTTGATCTAATGATTACTCGGTTGGGAATGTAGATTAGGACCATGGTTAAAAAATTCCTTAGTTGAAGCTAGAATTATTAGTACAAGCCAAGAGTATATTCTTCATTTTATTGATTTCACTAATACGGAACTACGTTCAGGTACTTATGAAATACATGTAAGAACAATCACAAAATTCAAGTTGAATTCTAATTGGTGTAAGCAAGGTTTGGCGGGTAAAGTCGCACAAGATATCCTTTCATATCGCTGAATTGTAGCACTGATGATACTTTCCCCAGGCTACCAGGTCACGGACGAAAAAAAAAAATGACGAAATGATCTACCCGCTGGAATTTCTTTAAGCACAAGGCGCATGCTATCATTGGCCCCTCTTCGCAAACGCTATTCAGCTCATCACAATTAAAGCTGAAGAAGGGTATGGAACCAGCATCATGCCCACTTCCACATAGATATACCTAACTTATCATTATCATAAAATCTTATCATCACACCTTAGGAGATTCCTTCTCTCTCTAAATCCTGTTAAATAAACACCATCTATCTGTAGGTACGAGGGGATTATGTCTACGATCCTCTCAGTGCTGGTTGTTAATCCGTTCGTCGACAACATGTGTACCTAGGTACATAATTCTTCACCTAAATGAGGTGACACATGCAGGTGCCCCTTCATGATTTTACTTGCCACATGGCTTGCGTATGCATCCTGCTCGCTTCTACCGCGAAACCCTTCAATTTAGGGGTATTTCTCCTATACTGAATTTGGCTCTTATGCGGAAAAGGAGGATCGACACCAAATCCTAAGCTACCTAAGTATGGAATAGTTAAAATGCGATATTATTGGATTAATATCACTAACCTAAAGGTTCTTGGATAGCGTCAATAATTTACAGAGTTGCAATAATACGTACCTTATAAGAGTCATGATTTTATAGAAAATCAAGATTCCACTATAAAATTTACACATCATGCATATGCAAATGGGTAAGGTGACCTAGATAAGGGAAGGGACTGGAATTTAAGAAAGAGGTTTACATAGGTACCGATAGGTACCTACGATATCGATTATGTAATGTGATAGATAACAAGCCACAATTCTTGATCCACCACCTCCCAAGCACCAGCCACGTTTTAACCAAACCATTGACATTGGAACAATTCGAATTGCGACAGCTGATGCAGATAGTTCCTATGAACATCGTGACCGTTAGAGGCGCAACCTAATCTCAACCTAATCATGCGGTGTTTTTGATGTAACGCTATTTCCATTCCTTCTGCGCGACCATGGACGATCTCTCCGGCCTTAATTGGTCTTCGACCAACCCGAGCAAAGAGGCCAACAAGCCTCCCCCTATGAACCCACCTTCGTTCTATTCCACTCTACGCCCGACGCCATCCCCTCAGCTCTCTGGCCGAACCACTCCGCTTTCTACCCAAGGCTCCGGCTTCAATGCCCCGAAACCACAAGCCGGTAAACCGGCGACCGATAGCTTCAGCGGCCTCGTGAGCTTTGGGGGCGCCAAGAGCAACGCCAACCTAAGCCTCCGAGAACGGCAAGAACAACTAGAAGCTCAAAGGCGTCAGAAAGAAGAGGAGGACAGACGAAAACTACAATCACAGTATGGAGGCGGCCAATTTTGGGACAACATTGGACAGGGCTCTACGCCTGCGTCCCGAACTATTTCCCCAGCTATCCCATCAGCATCAGTCGGTAGCGGGATAGGGGGTCAAAATGGACAAAATAAAGATGATGACGACGACCTCTTTGCCGCATTCAATAGAGATACAAAAGTTGACAATGCTAGTCACTTTCCTCCTCCCGAGCAGCAATTATCCGGGAAGAATACTCCAGCCAATACCGCTCAGATAGACTTAACCAACGCTAGCGCATGGAATAAGCCTACGGCTTCAGGTGGAGGTGAACTTGGTGATGACGATGACCCCTTCGGCTTGAACCAGATGAAGAAACAACCACAGCAACAGCTACTAGTTAATGATGACGAAGATGATGATTTCCTGGGAGATCTTGGGAAGCCTGTTGAGGAGGTACGGCGCAAAAACCAAACTGCTCAACCAAAGCCAGAACCAGGTCGACCCATCGAAGTCTCAGACTCGGACTCCGAACCCGAAATGCCTCCAAGGGGAGCCAGCTCTGATCCGTTTGACAAGGCGGTTGCAGAATTGGTTGATATGGGATTCACAGCCGAGAACGCAAGGCGAGGTTTAACGGAAAGCGGGGCAGGCTTGAATGTTCAAGCAGCTGTTGGGTGGCTTCTAGACGATGCACATAGGCAAGCTCGTAATAAACAGTCTCCTGCAGAACCCGCCCCCGAACGAGCTAGGAGGGACGATAACCGTTCTAGAAATCATGGCAATCCCGCGTGGATGAGTGGAGATCACACAGGTGATCCTCCTTCACGGAGAGACAATAGGTCGCCTGTTTCTGGGGATGACTTCTCAAAAAGGGCCGCGGCAGTAGGATCCAGTTTCTTCAAAACGGCTAATTCCCTTTGGAAGAGTGGACAGAAGCAGGTCCAAAAGGCAGTTGCTGATTTCCAGCAAGAGGGTGGCGATCCCAGCCAACCAAAATGGATGCGTTCAGCCCATGCAGATCAGTCACATGCAGGGAAGCGTGAGTCTCAAAATACCACGGACGAAGCTCTAATGCTGGAATCCGGTGCACGGCCAGAGAGACACTCGTCCAGGCCTACTCAAAGTCGGCATAGTGAACCGAGAGACCAATACCCGGCCTTACCCACTCGACCGCGCACGCATTCCCCA